CATCTGCATAATGCTACCCACAGGGCCATATGGCACAGTTGAACCAATCAACTCAACTCGAAAGGGTGCATGGGAATCACGCACGTTGAGACGCCCAACGCTAACACCGTATTCGTGCGTGCGTGATTCACGTGCACCCTTTCGAGTTCAGTTGATTGGTTCAACTGTGTCATATGGCATCACTTTGGGTATCCTCCCATAGAGATATAACTGGAATACTGGTCTAAGTGGCATTAAAATCTCTCACTCGTCTTCCTGGTTAAAGGATAAATCTACCAGTAACTACAGAAACCGTGTCAATGATTGTAGTTTGTAGTGAACATGGAGAAACAGCTACATGGTCATCTTGGATTGAATTTGTCCTAATTTTGAAATGTGGAAAAGGTCTGTGATCTTTGTTTATGTTTCATTCCCCTGCAAACTGCAGGGTGGCCCAAGTTCTGAAACTCTCGAAGGACTTGGGGAAATGATGGTATGTGCACCTATTCTGATAACATTCATTACATGGGGTCAACAATAGCCTCAGCCTGTACCACTTGACACTTCAAACATTGAGAAAAAAGTATCAAATATGAAGATTGAGGAGTGATGTCACTGTCGACCTTCTTGGATGAAGTGACCCCGACACCTGCACAGCTGCATTGTGTGTGTGGCTTTTGTTTTGTTATGTAATCTTTTAGATAATACACATATTTGTTCTGGAGTGATTCACTTGAAGCGGAACTATCGGTTACAGCATTGTTTCCCTGTCGTCACAGCGTGGGAGGCAGTGTTTGGTTGCATATGACTCATAGTTGATCTGTCCGGGATTAGCTATGATATAGTTAGGCCATTAATATGGATTTTATCCTTTGGGGTGATTTTCTTTACAATTTGGCTTGCCATGGTTATCATTCAGAAACAAATATATTGTGGCAGTTAATTGATATATTTGATTTGTAGGTTTTGTGCTACCAATCAGGAATGAATATTCACTTCTTTAAGAGGCCTTGTTCTCTTTTTTAGGTGTTGCAGTGGCCAGACACTCTATACACCAGATACTCTATACATGGTACTTTCTTAACAGAAATAGGGGGCATGGGTGGCCCAGTCGCCTAGGGCGCCGCGATTCCCTGTGCAGAGTTGCGTCCCTTGGGCATGCCAGAAATCTATGATTGTCAGTTCGAATCCCGGTTCACCCTGATTATGTTTCTAGGTTTGTCAGCACCATACCCGTGATCGTGGGTTTCACCAAAGTGGTAAACGTCTGAGACCTGCATCACTTCAAGCTTTCCTCCCACACGAAGCTGACACGCCGTGATATAACTGGAATACTGTCAAAAGCGGAGTATAACCCAACTCACTCACTTAACAGAAATAACATTATTTTCTAATAAGAAATTGTGTTGAAGGAAAAGAATAATTGAAATTTGATCATGTTTTTGATTTTGTTTGTTATTATTAAGGTAATAAAGATCGATCAGTCACAAAATGACATTGTGTCTGTATGTGCTGTATCAGGTATTTCACTGTGATTGAATAATTTGAGGCAGTATTGCATCTTTCGACCATTTATGTATCGTGATTATTTAGTGTATAATATCTCCATTCTGTTATGATAAGTACCTTGGACCCATCTGCCCGTCCAGTTAAAATAACTCAACACCAAAAGTAACTTTCAAAATACAGTAAACTACGTTTAAGAGGAACACGCTTATAACGAACTGACCGATATAATAAACTTATTTTTTAGTCCCAGCCATTTGTCTGGATCATTGTAATTAAAGATTTACTTTAAGGATTTGAGGGTTCCTCATACAAGGTTGCCATGTTGAATGTGGATCTGAGCCAATTTAAATCTCACTCAGGTTAACTTCGATTGGTTGCAGTAAAAAAACATGGCAATTATGAAAATAAAACGGGAAATATAATTCCTTAGATAAGCCAGAATGCCATCTACAGGTCTTAATGTAAGTATATTTGAAAACATGGGAGGTGATGGTTGCAGGTGAGGTGACCTGGGCCCTGATCCACAAAGCTATCTTAGCGCTAAGTCGGTCGTAACTCCCATTCTTTAACACTGACTTACGACAGTCGTAGCACTAAGATCGCTTTGTGGAACGGGTCCCTGGTAACTAGAGGAGACTGTGTTACTGTGGTATTAAGAATTGCAGGGACAGCGGGGTAGCCTCATGATTAAAGCGTTCACTCTTCACACCGAAGGCCTGGGGTAGATTCTTCACATGGGTAGAATTTTCTTAAGCTCATTTCTGGAGTCCTCCACCACGATATTGCTGGCATAAAGCATGAGAAATCCAACTCACTATATCAATTATAGATTTCAGTTGTTGAAAATAGGTTAATCATGTATGCCTTTCACAAAGTGTCCTTCACTGGCTTTGTTCAAGGGGCAGGATACTGAATCCTATCTTAAAATTTCTAACCTTGAAATGTGACAGTATTGATGTTAACCTGTGATGTTATTCATTATTCGTGCATTCCCTTTATAAAAAGGGATGGTAGATCAAGGCTCATGTTCAGTGTAAGGTGACATTGTAAGTTTTTCTAAGCTTTATCAAAATGTATGTCAAAATGAAGGTAATATATTATTATGTCATGTTTTATTACCTCCTTGAGACAGCGGCTTCTCATATAGAAATCTAGCCTTTGATGTTGGTATTTACTGCATGCTGACTCGGCATACTTTGAGGAGTAATTTAATTAATCAATGCTGTGGGGGGAATCATGGCCTGTTTATACATATATGGAATAGATTATTAAATTGGAGGTGTTTTATGCTTGCTCAGACCTGTCTGGTATCTCTTGCCTCTGTCAACCACCTCCATGGTCTAGTGGATAGGGCGGCTGCTCAGAGAATAGAAGGCTTAGGGTTCCAGCCCTGGCCATGTCATATTAAAAGACGCTTAAAGATGGTACTTGTTGTTTCTCTGCCTGGCACTTGGCATATTTACCGGGGATAAAACAAGGACTGGTCAGCCATTTAAACTCTGGTTTGCTTGGCATGATTATGTATGGGTTGCTGTGATAAAGCTGAAATATTACTGACAGTGTGGAATAACTTTTACTTAACTTCCAGACATAGTTACCCCATTGGGATTATAGATATATAAGTAATTCTAAAGGTGTTGAATAACTTTTACTTCACTTCCAGACATAGTTACCCCATTGGGATTATAGATATATAAGTAATTCTAAAGGTGTTGAATAACTTTTACTTCACTTCCAGACATAGTTACCCCATTGGGATTATAGATATATAAGTAATTCTAAAGGTGTTGAATAACTTTTACTTCACTTCCAGACATAGTTACCCCATTGGGATTATCGATATATAAGTAATTCTAAAGGTGTTGAATAACTTTTACTTCACTTCCAGACATAGTTACCCCATTGGGATTATAGATATATAAGTAATTCTAAAGGTGTTGAATAACTTTTACTTCACTTCCAGACATAGTTACCCCATTGGGATTATAGATATATAAAATTCTAAAGGTATTGAATAACTTTTACTTCACTTCCAGACATAGTTACCTCATTGGGATTATAGATATATAACATTCTCAAGGTGTTGAATAACTTTTACTTCACTTCCAGACATAGTTACCCCATTGGGATTATAGATATATAAGTAATTCTAAAGGTGTTGAATAACTTTTACTTCACTTCCAGACATAGTTACCTCATTGGGATTATAGATATATAACATTCTCAAGGTGTTGAATAACTTTTACTTCACTTCCAGACATAGTTACCCCATTGGGATTATAGATATATAAGTAATTCTAAAGGTGTTGAATAACTTTTACTTCACTTCCAGACATAGTTACCTCATTGGGATTATAGATATATAACATTCTCAAGGTGTTGAATAACTTTTACTTCACTTCCAGACATAGTTACCCCATTGGGATTATAGATATATAAGTAATTCTAAAGGTGTTGAATAACTTTTACTTCACTTCCAGACATAGTTACCCCATTGGGATTATAGATATATAAGTAATTCTAAAGGTGTTGAATAACTTTTACTTCACTTCCAGACATAGTTACCCCATTGGGATTATAGATATATAAGTAATTCTAAAGGTGTTGAATAACTTTTACTTCACTTCCAGACATAGTTACCCCATTTGGATTATAGATATATAAAATTCTAAAGGTATTGAATAACTTTTACTTCACTTCCAGACATAGTTACCTCATTGGGATTATAGATATATAACATTCTCAAGGTGTTGAATAACTTTTACTTCACTTCCAGACATAGTTACCCCATTGGGATTATAGATATATAAGTAATTCTAAAGGTGTTGAATAACTTTTACTTCACTTCCAGACATAGTTACCTCATTGGGATTATAGATATATAACATTCTCAAGGTGTTGAATAACTTTTACTTCACTTCCAGACATAGTTACCCCATTGGGATTATAGATATATAAGTAAAACATTGTTATTTATAAGTTTAGGACCCATACTTTGGTATGTCACGTGTCATGGTATGTCATGTTGACCCTTTGTATGTCACATGTCATGGTATGTCATGTTGACCCTTGGTATGTTATGGAATGTCATGTTTATCTTTGATTTGTCGTGATTGACCATGTTGATCCTTGGTATGACATGTGTCATGGTATGTCATGTTGACCCTTTGTATGTCACATGTCATGGTATGTCATGTTGACCCTTGGTATGTTATGGAATGTCATGTTGATCTTTGATTTGTCGTGATTGACCATGTTGATCCTTGGTATGACATGTGTCATGGTATGTCATGTTGACCCTTTGTATGTCACATGTCATGGTATGTCATGTTGATCTTTGATTTGTCGTGATTGACCATGTTGATCCTTGGTATGACATGTGTCATGGTATGTCATGTTGACCCTTGGTATGTTATGGAATGTCATGTTGATCTTTGATTTGTTGTGGTTGATCATGTTGACCCTTGGTATGACATGTGTCATGGTATGTCATGCTGACTCTTATTTTGCAGGTTTACCAAATAGCGTATGTGATATTGAAGGCTGCCAACTCTCCAAGACCAGGAAACTGGATCTTGGAACGGTCACTAGATGGCACCACCTACCAGCCATGGCAATACTTTGCGATGACAGGCCGTGAATGTCAGGAAGAGTATGGCCTTGACCCCACATATGGAATACCAACATCATTAGGTGATGATGAAGTGATATGTACCACCCGCTACTCTCATCTCATTCCACTGGAAAATGGAGAGGTAAGTTTCCGTCAAATGTGACAACTCTGGAACAGAAGGGTCACTCACATACTTACTCGCCCAATTCACCAATGCAGTGCTATTTGCTGTCTTTGGCTGCATGCATATGGTGTATCCTTAAGTTATTAATTTGGATATTTTGCCATGCTTATTTCTAAATGCCTACAAGAACCATCTGTTAAAATGGCTACAGGAAAGGGAGAACAAAAGTGCTGATGAAAAATGCTTTGACATTTGTTTCAGATTTTTATTTCTCTAGTCAATGGAAGACCAGGTATTAACCAGCCAAGTAAAGTGCTTTTGGTATGTGTGTTTTCCCAATATTCTACATGCTTAATAATTCAAATTCGTTTCACATTTTACATTATGTATATTATGTTTATTTTTATGTTTTCATATAGCCTAATAACGTAAAAGTTTAATGTCAAATACTATTTTCTTGATTTGATTATTTGCCTATTAAAAGATGAGTTTGGAGTAATTTGAAAATGAAGTATTTATGACTCAGACAAAGAATATTTTCCAGTCAGACAATATCTAATATTACGTCTTCAGGATTTTACATCAGCCAGATTCCTACGCATGAGATTCCAGAAGATTCGCAACCTCAATGCTGACCTGATGACCTTCCGAAACACCAACCCACAAGAAGCTGACCCCTCTGTCACAAGAAGGGTATGGGTCTAGTTCCTTGTATTGGGGATTGTATTGCAAAGAAACTTGTCATATGTAGCAAAGTCTTAAATTCAGATCTTTAAAACAGGCTTATAATGCTCAATGTTCAGCTGGTGCCAAATTCCAGCCTTGAACTAGACATTGTGATCAAGAGACATTGTCATTGTGTAGCAAGGGTAGATTAACTTCTTGGATTGATATGTGTGTTTACCTGTGTTTATCTGTGTGTGTGTGTGTGTGTGTGTGTGTGTGTGTGTGTGTGTGTGTGTGTGTGTGTGTGTGTGTGTGTGTGTGTGTGTGTGTGTGTGTTTACCTTTGTTTATTACATGTATTTATGTGTGTTTACGTGTGTTTATTATATGCGTTTACATGTGTTTATCTGTGTTTGTGTTTATGTGTGTTTATTACATCTATTTATGTGTTTATGTGTGTTTATTGTGTGTGTTTACATGTGTTTGTGTTTGTTTACATATGTTAACGTGTGTTTCAGTATTACTACTCCATCAAGGACATCTCAATAGGGGGACACTGTATCTGTTATGGACATGCCAAACTGTGTGGTCGATATGACTCAGAGCCTAATGTGAGTATAATTCAATATTATAAAGAATCATAAAAATAAATGAAAATAAAGTTTAACAAATGTTATATTTAGGACAACTCTTTCTGAGTAAAGTACAGAATCCCGTACTTATCCCGTATTTATAAAAAATGCAGAAAAGCAAGATGTACAAAAGAGTGTTTTGGAAGATTATCAGAACATAATTTTGTTGTTTTCCTGCCATTTAACCCCCAAGTCATTAACGTGTGCTGGCCCAGAGTGTTTCATTTTACCTCATCAGAGCCTGTGTAGGGGGAATAGGTGGGGAAGGCAGAGAATTAGGCTTGGTGACTAACAATTTTTAAATGCATTATGCATGTTTTATATAGACATATGTGTATATGAGGCGTTTGAATAGATGGCAGAGTTGTACAAACTGATTTCAGTAGCAGTTCTCGAAAATGACCTTTGGTAGTATCCTTGAATGATTCAATTAGCCCTAGTTAGCTCTGCATGTCCTGGTGTCTGTTTCAGCGCCTCAAGTGTCAGTGTGAGGACAATACTTGCGGTGACAACTGTGAGAGGTGTTGTCCAGGGTACCATCAGAATGGCTGGAACAATGGCAATGGCGTCAAACACATTTGTGAACGTAAGCAAGACAGTTAGGGAATATTATCTATATCAGTATTAAAGTATCTTAACAGTACTTATTTCAGAAGCCCAGTATTAACATTCATGTAATAGATGCACAATGTACTGATATGATGACACAATTTCAAATTCTCATCACAGTCTAAGGGAGGTAACTCTAGTAGACATTTAGTTTGATTCAAGTTGTGAGTACATATAAAAAGGTTTGAATTCAGGAATTGCTGCACTGTCTAAGGGAGCTTACACTACCAGACATTAAGTTTGATTCAAGTTGTGGGTAGATATTAAAGGTTTGAATTCAGGAATTGATGCACTGTCTAAGGGAGCTAACACTCGAAGACATTTAGTTTGATTCAAGTTGTGAGTACATATAAAAAGGTTTGAATTCAGGAATTGCTGGACTGTCTAAGGGAGCTAACACTAGTAGACATTTAGTTTGATTCAAGTTGTGGGTAGATATTAATGGTTTGATATTCAGGAATTGCTGCACTCATGATAACAGTTAAGGGTGTAAAGATCAGAACTGTATGTGATAGCACTGACATGACTGCGTAACTAGTATAGTTTATGTTGTATATTTCAGCCTGTAACTGCCATGGCAAGGCAGATGACTGTGTTTACAATGCCACAGTGAATGACCTAGGCCTCAGTCTCAACATGGAGGGCAAATATCAGGGGGGAGGTGTCTGTCTGAACTGTCGGGTGAGTCCAGATAATACACGCATGCACATTGAAGACATTTCTTTCAAAGTCTGAAAGTTGAGAAATATTAGAATTTCTTGGCTAAAGAGGTCCCCCAAAAGGGGATGAAGTGATTGACTTCAATGAGCATCAATCTACACAAATGGGATACAATGACATGCATCAATCAAGTCAGTGAGCCTACCACCCAATACGGTTGCCTAGTCGCTTCTTATGCGAGCTTGGGTTGCTGAAGACCCATTTCTAACCCGGATCTTCATGGGTGAGACGTGCATGGGTTGCTGAAGACCCATTTCTAACCCGGATCTTCATGGGTGAAATGAGCATGGGTTGCTGAAGACCGATTCTAACCCAGATCTTCATGGGTGAAATGAGCATGGGTTGCTGAAGACCGATTCTAACCCAGATCTTCATGGGTGAAATGAGCATGGGTTGCTGAAGACCGATTCTAACCCAGATCTTCATGGGTGAGACGTGCATGGGTTGCTGAAGACCGATTCTAACCCAGATCTTCATGGGTGAGACGTGCATGGGTTGCTGAAGACCGATTCTAACCCAGATCTTCATGGGTGAGACGTGCATGGGTTGCTGAAGACCGATTCTAACCCAGATCTTCATGGGTGAGACGTGCATGGGTTGCTGAAGACCGATTCTAACCCAGATCTTCATGGGTGAGACGTGCATGGGTTGCTGAAGACCAGTTCTAACCCAGATCTTCATGGGTGAGACGTGCATGGGTTGCTGAAGACCGATTCTAACCCAGATCTTCATGGGTGAGACGTGCATGGGTTGCTGAAGACCGATTCTAACCCAGATCTTCATGGGTGAGACGAGCATTGGTTGCTGAAGACCAGTTCCAACCCAGATCTTCATGGGTGAGACGAGCATGGGTTGCTGAAGACCCATTTCTAACCCGGATCTTCATGGGTGAGACGTGCATGGGTTGCTGAAGACCCATTTCTAACCCGGATCTTCATGGGTGAGACGTGCATGGGTTGGTGAAGACCCATTTCTAACCCGGATCTTCAGGAGCTATCAAAGTAGTAAACACCTGAGATCTGGACCTTTTTAAGCTGACCCACTGTGACATGATATGACTGAAATACATGTATTGTGACATTTGACCAAATTAAACTCACTCACTCACTCTGCTTGCCACATTTCAGGAGTTCACAACGGGTATTAACTGTGAGCAGTGTATTGAGGGTTACTACCGACCCAGCAGACTCGCTCTCACCGATTCCTTCCCGTGTCGGCGCTGTAACTGTCAGGAGACGATGACGTCCAGCAGCACCTGCATCACGGATGACAGTCGTGTTAGCGAGGGCCTGGTAAGTACTGTATAGCTTGAACAGGAGTCAGGTTTAGTGTCTTTCCAGCTCTGCCATTACAAAACTTAGGTTTTGCAATGTCTTCAACCAACCAAAACTTTCAAATGAGGTTTTGCAGACTACGATCTTAAATGAAAGGACAAATCTCCTTCTGACCACTGCTGTTTTATTGAAATACTACAGATGACATTTTACAAAAGATAAATTTTACACATGCAAACAGTAGTTTATTGTTTTAATTGGGGCCTGGGGGCCTGGTCGTCTAAAGCACTGCAGTTCGTTATGTTGAGTTGCATCCCTTAGGTGTGTCAGGAATCGATGGTTTTGAATTCAAGTTCAACTTGAATATGTTTCTAGGTTTGCCATCACCGTACCTGTGCTTGTGGGTTTCACTTCAGGCTTTTCATTTTGATATCACTGTCATAGTGTTCAGAGCTGCGTTTAACCAACTCACTATTTTTAATCTTCATCCTTAACTATTCTCAAGGATGTGGTGTTCATATGGCACTGTCCAAATTGATTGGTTCAATACAACATAATGCAATCCAGAGGGCTGTGGGGTAGCATTGTGGTTAAAGCGTTAGCTTGTCATGTTTGATTGTACATGGGTACAATGTGAGAAGCCCATTTCTGGTGTCCCCCGCCTTGAAAATGATGGAATATTACTAAAAGCGGCATAAAACCATACTCACTCACTCACTCATTATTGCAATCCAGCCATGTTTAAGGCTATACTCTCCTTGAAATGTACATCTGTGTGACAACCAACACCTTCAGTGTGGAGGAAGCTATTGTGAGTGAGTTTATTTCAATGCTAGATGTGAGTTTTGCTGTATGTACATGAGTTCTAACATGAAGATTTATCGTGCTAGAACCCTGGTGACTGTGTGTGCAAGCCCGGGTTCTCGGGGCGCGGCTGTAATAGATGCGCCTATGGCTACTACGGGTTCCCCAGGTGTCGGATCTGTCCCTGTAACCCTGCTGGGAGTGTCAACCCAGAAGAGTGTCGCCGCAGGTGTCGATGTAAGGTGAGAGTCATCACAGGTGTCGGTGTAAGGTGAGAGTCATCACAGGTGTCGATGTAAGGTGAGTGCTATCACAGGTGTCGGTGTAAGGTGAGTATCGCCGCAGGTGTTGATACAATGTGAGAGTCGCTGCAGGTGTCGATGTTAGGTGAGTGCCGTCACAGGTGTATGTGTAAGGTGAGTGCCGTCACAGGTGTCGGTGTAAGATGAGTGTTGCTGCAGGTGTCGATACAAGGTGAGTGTTGCCGCAGGTGTCAATGTAAGGTAGGTGCTGTCACAGGTCTTGGTGTAAGGTGAGTGCTTTCACAGGTGTCGGTGTAAGGTGAGTGCTGTCACAGGTGTTGGTGAAAGGTGAGTTTTGCCACAGGTGTCGGTATAAGGTGAGTTTCCCTGCAGGTGTCTGTGTAAGTGGAGTGCTGTCACAGGTATCTATAAGGTGGGTGCAGTCGCAAGTGTCGATGGTGATGATGTAAGCGGAGTGTTGATGCAAGTTAGGTGAATGCTATCGCAGGTGTCAATGTAAGGTGAGTCCCATCATAGGTGGCAGTGTAAGTTGAGTGCTGTCACAGGTGTTTTGTAAGGTGAGACATGTCTCAGGTGTCATACCTGAGTCAAGGTAATCTATTGCTTCAAATGATGTCCAACAATTTGTGCAGATGAAGCATAAATAGAGAATATCATGAAATAACTTTTGATATATATAGATAATATATCAACACATATAGTACCCAAGCTATGTGGCATGAATGAAACTATGTGAAAGGTAGTTAAATATAGTAGTCCTTGTGTTACATTTGAATGCTAAGATAACACTTATGTCAATGGATGATCAAGAAAGCAAAATCTCACAAGCAGCATCTCCAGTAGGAGCCATGCAGTATATGCATTATGTATGACAGAATTACCAAAGTTTGACCAAGCACCTGTTTGTATCCAGGTCAATGTGGAGGGTAAGCACTGTGACCAGTGTAAGCCTGGCTACTACAACCTGGACAAGGACAACACAGAGGGCTGTACACAGTGCTACTGTCATGGAGTCTCCTCGGTCTGCAAGTCTGCTGAATGGGGACTCAGTCAGGTAGGTGGCCGTAGAGTTGGGGCGAGTCCAAATTTACTACCTGGGTACCTGACCCCCTATTACCTAAACATACCCGGGTACCTGACCCCCTATTACCTAAACATACCTGGGTACTTGACCCCTTATTACCTGAACATACCTGGGTACATGACTCCCTATTACCTGAACATACCCGGGTACCTGACCCCCTATTACCTGAACATACCTGGTTACCTGACCCCCTATTACCTGAACATACCCAGGTACCTGACCCCCTATTACCTGAACATACCCAGGTACATGACCCCCTATTACCTGAACATACCCCGGTACCCACTGACTGTAGGTCTCAAGAGTTGGGAACAAAATGTCTGATTGGGAATTGTTTTACCGCAGCCCTGGCAAAAACTATTTAGAAACATGTATCAAACGTTCAGCTCATAGGTACACTGAAGTTGACTGAAGCTTTATCTTTACTCAATATTAAACAAGTCAAAAGGAATGTGTGCATCGTGAGAAAGAAATGCAAACATAAGCGACTTGTAGTGTAACCCCTGAGTTATAGTGAGTTTAAACAATATATCAGGTGACTAACCACGGGTCCGGGTAGTCCTGTGGGTACCCGGGTCCTACTCAGGACCCACCTGACCCGAGTACCTGAGTTTACCCATCCCAGCCCTTTTACACTCCCTGAACGATATCATTTTCCCTTCTCTCCAGTCAAGATTTTCGACATGTTCTGACACTCCCAACTCACTGGGGCTTCTTTTCAATTTAAATGCTGCTTGCTTCTATCAAAAATATATATTTTCAGAGACTAAGTGTTCATCTACCTATTCTTCATCCCACGCTAGTTGTCACTCAGTACTGCTAAAAATAATTAAATGCAGCTAAACACCGTTGTGTCAAAGTTGAAGGGACCTACATAAATACTTCGAGTTATCCATGATCATTGCCGACTTCTTAATCATTTTACACCAGTGAAACAAGAAGAATATCAACGCAAATCCTAATCCGTAACACATTCCATAATTTGAAATCACAAGATAAACATGTGACAATCACATGACTCCATTCACTTCTGTGATTGGTGTTGATCAAAAGACCTGTTAATCCCTGATAGACACATCAATTAGATGTTTCTTTGAAGTTGGCCATGATCTGAGTGTAACCAACAAGACAGAAGGCCTTTGACTGAACTCAATGCATTGGACATTCTCCGCTTGTAAGCTTTGTTAATTGAAGTGTTAAGACCGATGTGTCAAGATTGTCTTAAATTGAGTAAATTTGTGCTGGAAGTACATGTTTGGGACTGAAAAATAACTTCAAGACCGCCATAACACATCAGAGTTAAGATAATGATGAATAAAGAAGGAATAGGCAGAGACCAAGCTTTTACTTTGAGACAACCATAAGTTTGACATATCAGGTTTGACACAACAGTGTTTGACTCATGTACTGTTTTTGTTTGGTGTTACACAAAGATTACTGTTTGTTTTTCACTGCGGTCATCAATATTACAGCTTTCTACCAGCTGCATGGAAATAATAAAATCTGGAACACACAAACCAGTGATTGATACCATGAGCAGCAATCAGCGCCACTGGGGTACAATGACACGCAATCAGCCCAGGGAATGTTTCACAAAGCTACTGTACTGTTAATGTTACTCCTCACATTCATTAGACCCGGGAAGATTCCAGGGTACAATAGGTCTTGAGCAACTCATGTTTGCCGTAAAAGGCGACTATGCTTGTCGTAAGAGGCAGTCAACGGGATCAGGTGGTCAGGCTTGCTGACTTTGTTGATGCATGTCATCGTATCCCAATTGCATGGATCGATGCTCATGATGTCAATCACTGGATTCTCTGATCAAGACTCAATTATTTACAGGCCTCCATCATGTAGCTGGAATATTTTTGAGTGCGTTGTTAAACAACAAACCAACAAAACAAACCACATTCATTAACATTGATGGCATTGTACACAAGCACCTGCAGGCAACTACATAGACAAAGATGAATGTCAGTGCTTTGATCTATGTCTGATGTAATGTGAGAGAAAATCTAAAACAACATCTGATGCTCCCTTGCAGGTGAACGACATGAATGGATGGGTGTTGTCCACGAGGGAGCCAGGGGGACTCACCCTCCTGCCCAGGATGTTCGGGGACTGGCTGGAGGCCAAGACGTACCTCCTGAATGGCGGCAGTGGTAGTGGAGGAAGTGGGTGGCCGGTGCAGCAAGCGGACATCTTGTACTGGGTCGCTCCCATGATGTTCCTAGGCAACAGGGTAGGCAGTCATCATTGAGTATGCTTTGATGATCTAGATTTATTGAAGAATTGTTTTAAAGTTAGACGTGATACTTAATTTTATTTTTTATTTTCTTGTTCTGTTCTTTGTGCTGATGGTCATTATGATGATGATCATAATGAACAGTTGAAAACTCCTTGTTTTAGGAAAAAATTAAGAATTTGCTGCTATAGTATCCTAGATTATTTGTTTTAACTAAAACAATTCTATTTGTGTGATTAGCATCATAGGGCCATTTATACACATATAGTTAAACGATGGTCTCTTTTTAAATTTCAGTTGACGTCCTATGGTGGAAAATTGGCTTACACAATTAAATACACAATAGACGATAACCTGGACCTGCGTTATCACTTGAGTGAACCTGATGTTATCATAGAGGTATGTTCATGACAATGTTCGGGACTGATATTTCTCAAGGAGAATTGATGTCTAACTTTGAGGGGGCACAGGTGGCCATTCATCTGAGGTGCCGCAATTCCCTGTGCAGAGTTGCATCGCCTGGGCATGCCAGAAACCTATATTTGTGGGTTCAAATCCCGGTTCACCCCATTTATGTTTCTAGGTTTGTCAGCACCAAACTCATGCTGGTGGGTTTCACGAAAGTGGTAAATGTCTGAGATCTGCATAACTTCGGGCCTTCCTCCCACATCAAGCTGATCGACACACCGTGATAAAACAGGAATAGTATTAAAAGCAGCATTAAACCCAACTTACTCACTCACTAGCTTTGAATCCATATTTATGTCATTTGTTAACACAAGCACACATTATGTCCTTGAGAGATAACAACTGAAACAATCCAAGGGGATAGTTGGTGCCTTAAGGTTGCACTAAGGTTGACAATGGCCATGGTCCACAGTGGTCCACAGTGGTCCAGAACTACCATACTCTAGCTGAGATACATCTTTGTTTTGTTCAAAGAATATATATATATTTTTTTCAAATATCAAATCCTGAAGCTGTTATGATTAATGGGCTGGTGGGGTAGCCTATTGGTTAAAGCGTTCGCTCGTCATGCTGAAGACCCAGGTTCGATTCCTCACATGGGTACAATGTGTGAAGCCCATTTCTGGTGTCCCCCACCGTGATATTGCTGGAATATTGCTAAAAGCGCCGTAAAACCATACTCACTGACTGTTATGATTAATGATCGAATTGTAGGTGAAAATGTAAAGAAACATTGCCATGAAGATTTCTTATCATGATCCACATGCTTAGAGGGAGATAACTCTATCTTTAAGTGGCATTTTAGAATCTGTAGTATCAATGAAGACAGGGTCAATTTATGGATTTCAACTTATTTATTCTTTAAATGAGACGATGCTCTAGTACCTTTGTCTAGCAAATGATCAACAGCTGGTTAGGACATGGTTTTATAGCCATGTGTATATACATATGCTAAAAATTGACTTCAATGTTTTTTTGTGCTTTTGGAGGTATAAACATAAAAAATGGTGTTGATACTGTGAACACTGATTTTTACATTTACAACTCTATAAACTCAAAAACATATTGAAGTGAATTCTTAGTATACGTCAATTCTTATACATAAAATACATCCATTATAATAACTTCACAGGATGCTTATTAATTCATCCACACAAAAGCTGTATACAACAGTACAAAATCAATGACATGATTCAGCTCAATAATGCAACTCAAGCCCCGCCCATTCTGTTATCAGCCAATCAGGAAACAGTAGTCCGTTAGCGGATATGGAAACATAAATGTAAAAAAGTTTTCTTGTTAAGCCTAAAAATGCCACGGAATCACATTATATTTATTTATTGGTACATATACATAGAGGTTTACAAAGATTAAGAAAAACAACAGAGTGACAAATGATGAAAGGTGTTGATTTCTAAATCTTGTCTTCAGGGATAACTCCAACGATCTCCAGGATTGATCTGTGACATTTGTTCATTATTCCCAGGGAAATGGCTTCACCATCATCAACGGGAAACAGTTTCTTCGAGAAAAGGAAGAAAACAGCCTGATGGTGAGACTGCATGAATCCTACTGGAAGAAGCTGGTGCTCCGAGGCAACAGTTTCCAGGAGGAGCCGGTCTCTAAACAGGAGTTCATGCTGATCCTGCAAGGCCTGACCAAAATCATGATCCGAGCCAGCTACCACACTGCACAGGACACCATATAGTAAGACCCTCGTGTGGATCTCATTTAGAATAGGTCCCTAGCAACCTATTATGGTTGTAAGAGGCGACCAATTGGATCAGGAGTTCAGGCTCGGTGACTTAAAGATTGCGTGTCATCATACCCCAATGACATGGATCATTGTTCACAATATGCATCACTGGATTGTCTGGTCCAGACTCAATGATTTACTGGTCATTGTCATAGAGCAGGAATATTGCTGAGTGTGGCAATAAACAATAAACAAACAAATATTCAGTAAGACCTGTCTCAGAGACATACCGGGGTAGTAAGATGCAGTCCAAATTGATTCAAGTCATTTAAACACCGCTCCCTTTGTCTGTTATTTCATTTTATGATAGATATATATACTACTCAACTTTTGTTTTCATGGACCAAGTTTGTTATTTTCTGATTATTAAGAATGAAGTGATACAAAGTAGTCTTGGACTGTGCATTATCGATGCATTATAGCCTACTCAAGTGTGCATTATGCTGTATTGCTGGTTGGATAAGCATACATATTATTGTCAGCAATTGGCCACATAGTTTACTGTCAAAAAGAAGGCTTTACAATGTGCTTATACCACTAATGTGCTTCATATGAAATGTTTCACATGGTTGTTATTCTTCGTAACAACCCTTCACTTGCAAAGTGCAGAGGTTGGATAAATCGATGAAGATTGGGAGCAAGCAGCCTTGGTTCATGGTTTTGCATTGTCGCATAAAGCACATCATGAATCATGCCCACATGGTATGAGTTGCTTAGCCTCTGGGAATGATATGGACTTCAACATTCTCGGCTGACTCAGAGATAGTTGAAAGTCCCTATCACCTTTGAGGACGACACTAGCCTATACTTAATGTCACAAAGTACAACCATGATTGGCATTATATTCTGTTTTCCCCACAGCTTGAAGGACGTGACTCTAGACACTGTGAGTCCAATATCCCAGACCAACATCTCCCTGCCATCGGTGGAACAGTGTGTGTGCCCAATGGGATACGCTGGTCTATCCTGTGAAGTGAGTGTCAAAACCTAGTGACCTTATGATTCTTGTGAATACCCTACCTCTATTACATCATAGCCATAAATTCCTGTTTATGCTGAGAACCGCACTAGAAATTATAATAAACTTTCAATAGGCGTCCTCTTCACTGCCAACATATCTAATAGTTGTGAGGGAAACCCTATCCCTTGGAAGAGACGCAACTGTGCATGCGCAAGGCAGGAAACACCTCACTTCTATCCTTTGTCTGTTTAAATCTCTGTGGTCAGCATTGTGCTTCAAAGTTATCTCTCAATTGACATGAGGGGGCCCGGGTGGCCCGGGTGGCCCAGTCGTCTAAGACGCCGCGATTCGCTGTGCAGAGTTGCGTCCCTTGGGCACGCCAGAAACCTATGATTGTGGGTTCGAATCCCATTTCGCCCCAATTATGTTTCTAGGTTTGTCAGCACCATACCCGTGCTCGTGGGTTTCACCGAAGTGGTAAACGTCTAAGACCTGCATCACTTCGGGCTTTCCTCCCACATCAAGCTGACACGCCGTGATATAACTGGAATACTGTTAAAAGTGGCATTAAACCCAAACTCACTCACTCACTCCAATTGACATGTCTGTGCTGTCACTCACTCACTCACTCACTCACTCACTCACTCACTCACTCACTCACTCACTCACTCACTCAAATGCAGTAAGGTAGGGCAAGATTCAGTTTTCTTCTGTGGTACAATGTGTCAAATCCATTCATGTTGCTGTGGCTGAAATGTTGCAGAAAGTAGCTGAAACAAGACTTCCTCTTGCTACATTGTTGGCTGAAAATCTCTCACTTTTGATTATTGCTCTACAGGTCATGTGACATGATCAGGACACTCACTATGTTGTCTTCTGTTTCCAGAGTTGTGCGCCCGGTTACCGCCGCCTCAACAACACTCTGCACCGAGGCATGTGTCTCAAGTGTAACTGTTTCAACCATGCCATGCAGTGCGACCCTGTGGATGGCAAGTGCCACGTGAGTCTCTGCTGCTACATTTCTTTTAGGGCTGGGACGAGTCCAAATTTACTACCCGGGTACCCACCCCACTATTACCCTACCCTACCCGGGCACCCACTCCAGGTCTCAGGAGATGTCTCAAAATGTCCGATTGGGAACATGTTTAGCATAGCCCTGGCAAAACGTATTTAGATACATGTATTAAACAATCTGGTCATGCATACACTGAAGTTGAGTTACGTTATATCTTTATTCAACCATATGAAAAATCAGAAGGAATGGGTGCATAGTCAGAACGAAAAACGAACAGTAGTGACTTGAAGTGAAAAGAGTTAAACAATATATCACATGACTAACCACGGGTCCGGGTAGTCCTATGGGTACCTGGGTCCCACTCTGTACCCACCCGACCCAGGTACCCGAGTTACCCAACCCGGCCCTAATTTCTTTCCATCAATACAACTCCATTACAATCTGTAGTCAAGCTGTCAGCAATATATGCTTGTGGATGTCACCAAAGTGGTAATTGTCTACAACCAACATAATTTGTAATTTCTTGTGGGAATGCAGTGAAACTGAAATATGTATGAAGCCATCATCAAGCTCAACTCACTTAGTTACACTGTTGTATTCTGATATGCTTTAGCTCAAGACCAGTTCAAATGGTGTTAGGCCAAACTCACTCACTTCTATTTCTGATGAGGACTGGATCAGAAAATACTAACCAAGGAAACAATCAAACAACTTTATGATTGCACAATGTCTAATTTGTTTACAGGAATGTCAACACAATACCATGGGGGCCCAGTGTGATAGGTGTTTACCTGGTTACTATGGCAACCCCAGACGTGGATCGCCTGACGACTGCAAGCCCTGTGCATGCCCCCATCAGCGGAGAGATGGCAGCCCAGACCTGTGTGAATTTGACCCCACCCCAGAGAACAGGGATGACTACAAGTGTTCATCTTGCCCTGAGGGTCAGGCGGGGAAGCATTGTGACAGGTATTTGCAGTTTTGTCACACTGAAAATCTGCATACCCTATACGTATGTGTATAATGCACACTTTTTTGGCAGCTGTATAGAGGTGGTTGCACGTTATTCGTCTGGCCAATGAGCACAAAATGCTGGAAACTGCATGTCAACAAAAAGCTCTCAGTGTATTTCTGACATTAAATTCTTAATCTATTTCATTAATTTACTTTAATTTCATTCAATATTGTATGAATTTATGTATACATAACCTCTATTACATCATTGCTATAAATCGTGCATTTTGGCTGTCCAAACATTATAATATCTTAAGATTTTTCAACAGATGCTCCTCTTCACTGCAAACTATCTAATAAGCCTTAAGGGAGATAGTACTCTCCTGCAAACAGCAGATTTATGGCTATGATGTAATAGAGGTAGTATTGTTAGAATTATACAAAACTGTTGTTTGATTTTGGCAATTTTACACTGACAGCATGTTTTGCTTAAGCTGTAAACAACTAATTTTATATTTTAAAGATATCTTACTTATAGATTGCCATAATATACTACTCAAGTTTTGATAGGGATTGGGAGTATCAAGGTTGGGTCTGAATGTGACTGATTAATAAGATATCTTATCATACGAATAGTATTCAAATTTGCCATGAAACTGAAGTATGTGCAGTTTAATTTCAAGTTGATTAAACATAAATACTCCATTTAATAAGTTAATTGTTGTCATCATGTTAAGTCACAGTATCACCACAAATATTTTGAGTAGTATATATCTCCATGTATATATCTCGAGTGTTGCATGACACAACATTCAATTATACACTTTTTGATAAATATATTGTTGATACATTTAGAGTTATTTCTTTTCAGATGTGCTGCCGGCTTTTATGGCAACCCTGACGTTGAGGGTGGGTCGTGTCGCCGCTGCTACTGCAGTGGCAACATCGACATGGGTGACCCTGCATCATGTGACCCTGTGACCGGCCAGTGCAGGCGGTGCAGCAACAACACTCAGGGCGAGTACTGTCAGAAGTGCATGCCAGGCTACTATGGTTCTGCTGTACAAGGGAACTGCCGAGGTAAGTACCGGTGTCACAAGTTGTACTTGGGGGCATGGGTGGCCCAGTCATCTAAGGTGCCACGACTCACTGTGCAGAGTTACCTCCCTTGGGCGTTCCAGAAACCTATGATTGTGGGTTCGAATCCCAGTTCACCCCGATTAGGTTTCTAGGTTTGTCAGCACCATACCCATGCTCGTGGGTTTCACCGAAGTGGTAAACGTCTGAGACCTGCATCACTTCGGGGTTTCCTCCCACATTAAGCCGTGATATAACTGGAATACTGTTAAAAGTGGTGTTAAACCCAACTCACTCACTCACTCACAAGTCATACATCTGTTACACCGTGGTAATGTAAGAACCAAATTCCTGAAAAGGTAATATAAGGTATCTTTGAGGTATCACTTCCGAAGTTGATAAGATTGACCTTAGTGGCTGAAGACCACTCTCAACCCCGTCTTTATAACAGTTAAAACAGTAAATATAACAATTTTCATGATGATGATGATGATGATGATGATGATTTCAGCATGTAACTGCTATGAAAATGGGTCCTACTCGAGTGAATGTGATGAGAGGAACGGTCAGTGTTCCTGCAAGCCTCGCTACACGGGTCGTCAGTGTAACTCCTGCCAGGTGGGTAGCTATCCATCCTTGGGTAATGGAAGAACAATCACATTAATCAGACTCATCAGTGACGTGAGATCATAACGATTTACTCACATGTTATAAAAACAATCATTGAACTACACGGTATGATGATGTTTGATATGCATGGCAAGGGAATGAATTTAAACATTTTTCTGTAAAATAAAAGAAATATTTGAAAAAAATGTCAAGCAGATCTTTTGCCTTCTACTGAAATACTTTGCTAATATGGCTGAAATAATGCTGATGCGAAGTTAAGTTTTAACTCACTCATTCAAGGACATTATTTACCTCTGCCACATGTGTTTGGATATTGTTTTACTTTGTTTAGGTGTCTATAATTAATGTGAAGATTTGTAAAACAATTATTCCCTTCCTCAGCCTGGGTATGGAGATATCACTAATGGCTGCCCCCAGTGCCGCTGTAGTCGTATTGGGTCCACCGACCTCCGATGTAGCTCAGTCACTGGTCAGTGTCCCTGCAGGCCAGGCATTGGTGGACTCAGCTGTGACCGGTGCAAGGACGGCATGTATGGCTTCCGAGGTGGACGCTGCTCAGGTAGGCTATCTAATTCAAGGGCGGTCAGGTAGCTCAGTGGTTAAAGCATTCGCTTGTCACGCTGAAGACCCGGTTTCAAATCCCGACATGGGTATAATGAGTGAAGCCCATTTCTGGTGTCCCCCGGATATTGCCGAAATATTGCTAAAAGCGGCATAAAACCATACTCACTCACTTTCTAATTCAGGTTCAGGGTAGGCTAGTGGTTAAAGCGTTTGTTTGTCCTGCTGAAGATCCATGTTCAGATCCCTCATTTGTACAATGTATGAAGCTTGTTCTGCATGGATGTTGCTGTGGTGTAAAACTCACTCATAATAAACAAGACAATTAGTTTTTTATCCAAAGCTTTGTTCATAGTCCTCAGTTATGTGGTAGCGTCACATCCAGCCTGGAAGTTCTTCTTAAGGGATTGACCATTTGATATTCTGGGAAGGGGGCCTGGGATCTATTGAAAACTTCTTGAAAAAAATAATAATGTGTGAGACTGTTGAAAAAGAAAGAAATTGTCTGCCACAAAAATTACATTGTTGCAAGGTAATTTTTAGAAGAAGAAAAATATTTAGGCTTATAGTTTTAATTACAAAAATGTCAGGTTTTGCATCTTAAAAATATCTAGTCTCCATACAAAATCCCACCCCAACCCCCCAAATATCAAATGGCCTGTCCCTAATGATCAGATTATATAGTGAAGTGAGGATTTTCTATGTATTGCATCTCTCCCCCTGCTTGCAGACTGTGAGTGTTTTGGTCCCGGCACCAATGGAAGCATTCGCTGTGACCAGAACAGTGGCCAGTGCGAGTGTCACCCGAACGTCATGGGCCGCAAGTGTGAACAGTGTCAGGTGAGCTACATCACTCACAATGTACGAGGCACCATTCCATATAGCCATCTTAGCGCTGAGATGATCATAACTTCCATATTTTAGATAGGCTTACTGTAGGCGTAGTGCTAAGGTGATTGTTACTCCCATACTGTAACAGGCTTACTTTTGGCAAGAGCTAAGATTACCTTTTGGAACAGGGGCTGGATATTACTGGTAACCTCACTTGCCCCACGTGCAGAAAGTGGGTGTTCCCAAAGGGAGGGGAGACCTTATGGTTTTTTGGCTCGGTTTTTCTTGGTATCGGTGTCGGCATCAGCATCATCATCGGCATTCCAATGTTAACATGGAAACAATTTCAACTTAATCTCAAATGAAGGTAGAATTTGTTTCCCCTGCCATTACTTTAAAACAACAGTTTTCAACAAAATGTGGCATGTGCATTGCTCATCAGCTTAACTGTTGCCGTTTGCTAAATTTTTCAAAATTTTATTTTATTTTTCCATGGAAACAATTTGGACTTAGTCTCAAACAGCTCTAGGCTTCATTTGTGAGCCATGACTCTCAAACTAATGATAATTTGACCTGAAACTTTACATGTGCAATGACCACATGCTCAACTATTGCCTTTTCATATTTTTCAAATTTTAATTTTTCTAACTTCTTGTGTTTCCATGGAAACAGTTTATTAAGAGTCTACCTGCCAAGCATAAAACTTCTGATTGTTCATGATGGGTACATATACTGGCACAATTCAGTCTATCATCATACTGCTGTTTCAAGTTCAATAGTTTTATCTGCGGAGACATCCGGTTTTTTTAGTGAAAACACTTTCTAGTATCTCTGATATCTTTATGACACAAAGCACATTGTTTAAAAGATGACAATGTGAAAATATTCATGTCTCTCATTTATTACTGAACAAATTAACAATTATATCCGCAGGATGGATTTTGGGGCATCCAATCTGGCATGGGTTGTCTCCCTTGTGACTGTGATCGTATCGGGGCAAGCAGTCACCAGTGTGATACTATTGACGGCCAGTGCCCATGTCGAGCCAATGTTGGCGGCAAGTTCTGTGACCAGTGTCTGCCAGGCTATTATGGCTTCAACTATGATGGCTGCAAGAGTAAGTGTGAACCCCTCCCAAACACAGCGGCCATTTTGAAATGCTAGTTGGGTCCATTTTGTAGAAATTGGTTGGTATGATAAAAAAAAGAACAGTTTGAAATGTGTTATTTTAAGACTGATTTTGATATTTTTACCTGTTTGAATCTTTAATACTGCTTAGTACTTCAAAATTGTATTTTTTATGCTAATAGTGCAACAGATAAGTCCAGGTGAGCTGCTGACTTCTCTAGTCCCAATGTACTTCAAAGAGAAGCATGGAATTGTTTGTTTGTTTGTTTGTTGTTTAACGCCGCACTCAGCAATATTCCAGCTATATGACAGCGGTCTGTAAATAATCGGGTCTGGACCAGACGATGAAGTGATTGACATCATGAGCATCGATCCACGAAATTGGGATACGATGACATGCATCAACCAAGTCAGTGAATCTGACCATCCGATCCCGTTAGTCGCCTTTTTACGGCAAGCATGGAATTGAATGACAATGGTCAATGCATGACATGCTATGGGACTAAAGGAAATGTCAGATTTAAAAGTTAGGACAAACAAAATGAAATACTGTTATGCAGTACCAGATGTGTTCAAGTGACAGACAACTAGCCTTTTGTGATTTCTGTCACTTGCAAGTTTTAGACTTATGACATAATATAGTACAAAAATATGGTTAGTATATGGGGAAAAGGCAGACTTTTCAAATTTGTGACACGAGAGATGTCTTGTTTTTGTTTATGCTGTATTCACTTACAAGTAGGAAGAATTCAGCTTAACATTTCTCATGTTCAAACGACAAAAACTGCTTCCTTACACAAGTCATTTTGAGTCAACATTGTTTTCCATATTTTATCCTCACCACTTTACCTGCAAGTGTTGAAAAGGACATTTTATTCTCATTCATATGGACATATGTGATACATTTCAAAACAGTTTCTAAAGATTTATATCATTCAGATCTAGCAGGCGGTTGGGTAGCCTAGTGGTTAAAGCGTTCGCTCGTCACGCCAAAGACCCGGGTTCGATTCCCGACATGGGTACAATGTGTGAAGCCCATTTCTGGTGTCCCCCGCCGTGATATTGCTGGAATATTGCTAAAAGTGGCGTAAAACCATACTCACTCATTCAGATCTAGCAAGACCAAAAGGTTCCTTACCATTCCTCATCCTTTAACATTTTCTTTTCAATATCTTAAAATATTCGGGATGATTTTATTAAACTATAAGATATAGCCTCGTCCTCGTTAACAAGCATGAACTTAAATTAAACATGAAGCTCATTATCTTAAGGAATGAAATGATTATTTGTGTGATTTTGTAGGATGTGAGCGATGTGATCTCCCTGGTCACATATGTGACCCCAGGACAGGAAAATGTGTATGTCCCCCCAACACAAAAGGACCTCGCTGTGAGGACTGCCTCGATAACTGCTGGGGCTACAACAATGAGACAGGCTGCAAGGTAGGCCTTGTACAGACCTATGTATTGACAATACTCATGATAAATTTATTTCAGAAATTAAGTTTAATTGATAGACATAATTATCAAGATCAGATCTTTGATATATACATAGTTTATTTTCGTCAGGTAATTTTCTTCTATTAATATTCTTTTAACGTTATTTTTATTTTTATTTTTTAAATCTTAGAATTCTTTGCTTCAGCAGAATCTGCTTGTTTACAGAATATGAGACTTTGCTTGTTTGTCTATTCTTAGAGAAATGGATTTTGGTAATGCTTAGCTTTGAATTTTTAATCATTTTAAAGTTTATCTTCTAGTATTTGCTTGTAGCAATAAATGTGGACAAGGTCCTCTTAATTTTTTGACTTTTTCTGATTGATCTAGAATTAAATGGCATGCTTAATATAATAGTGATCTTATTTCCATAATTCCCAGTTCACAAATCATCAACTTCATTTTTTTTATTTGAGTAATTATTATTGTTAAATATGTGAACATTTGATTAGCTTTTCATTTGGGAATGGATGCATGCATCAGTATTTGTTGGAGAATGTATGATGTTGGAGCATGTAAAATGTAGATGTATCATTGCAAAGTTGGTCCTATGAAGTTTGGTGTTACTAACCTGTGTGGACAGTCAGTCCGTGTTCCTTGTGTAGACTTAGCCCTTGTCTCAAGAACAGTGTGTTTATGTTTGTTTACCCTGTCATGTTTGTTTGTCAAATATGTGAAATTCGCATTATTCTTGCACATTGGAAATATACATGTTGTACACAGAGCACCTTGCCTTCGATACCCACGCAGCAAACTGTAGTCTGTATATTTTAACAGAAGTCACCACAATGCAGACCATAAGCATTTTGCACGAAAAGTGAATTTGTATCAATTTCTTTGCATTTCAGTATTTTACATGTTATGAGAATAAATAGTTTTGGCATCATAACTTCAAACATTTTTCTACAATCCCTTGACTTTTTCATTTAAAAATAAAAGAATTATTTTGGTATGATATATTTTTAACTTTTTTCACGTTTTGCAAATGCTTTGATACATGTTTTGTACACATGCACACACCATGCAAATGTATGTTGTAGTTGTCACTCTTGCACACAGTGTAAACACATGATGAGCTTATTTTACAAGAATTGTTTTTAACTTGAACTCTACATAAACAGGAGCAAGTAAGGTGTATTATTCTGGAAATACAGAAATCCCAATTGGCGTATAATTAGGTTGCTGTTGTCATTTGGCAGATTCCAAAATTTGTTTAGAAAGATGCAAGTACAATTGTTTATTAGTCCAATAACGAAAACATAATTGTAGATAATATGATATAAGCCATACACATAGAGCTCTTGACAATGTTGACAAAATGATGGCACATTATTGACATATTGAGTCTATCTGTTTGTTCATCTTTGTGTCCAATTGTCTGTCAGTGTGTTGAAGTGACTTGGTATAACACTGGTCTCCCTTGTTGGTCCAATTTCCCCATCTTGGGCTCCTGTAGTCATCCCTACTGTCCTTTGTCCAAGCCAGTGTCCAGCATCTTCCCAGTCTTGGACCCGTTTTGTCACCCCTGACCTACTGTCCAATCCAGTGTCAAGTATCTTCCCTATCTTGGGGCCCCAGTGGTCTTCACTGTCCTATTGTCAAACCCAGTGGCAAGCCGCTCTTTATCTTGGGCCCAATTAGTCATCCATTTCCTTTTCTACATCTTGAAGCTGGGCACCAATGTCCATCCATGTTCCCAAGGGTCCATCTGGAAGTCAGTCACCCATGTCCATCCATGTTCCTGAGATTCCATCTGGAAGCCAGGCACTCATTTCCATCAATGTTCCAAAGGGTCCATCTGGAAGTCAGTCACCCATGTCCATCCATGTTCCCGAGGGTCCATCTGGAAGCCAGGCACCCATGTCCATCCATGTTCCCGAGGGTCCATCTGGAAGCCAGGCACCCATGTCCATCCATGTTCCCGAGGGTCCATCTGGAAGCCAGGCACCCATGTCCATCCATGTTCCCAAGGGTCCATCTGGAAGTCAGTCACCCATGTCCATCCATGTTCCAAAGGGTCCATCTGGAAGTCAGTCACTCATGTCCATCCATGTTCCAAAGGGTCCATCTTGAAGTCAGTCACCCATGTCCATCCATGTTCCCCAAGGGTCCATCTGGAAGTCAGTCACCCATGTCCATCCATGTTCCCAAGGGTCCATCTGGAAGCCAGGCACCCATGTCCATCCATGTTCCCAAGGGTCCATCTGCAAGTCAGTCACTCATGTCCATCCATGTTCCAAAGGGTCCATCTGGAAGCCAGGTACCCATGTCCATCCATGTTCCAAAGGGTCCATCTGGAAGCCAGGCACCCATGTCCATCCATGTTTCCAAGGGTCCATCTGGAAGCCAGGCACCCATGTCCATCCATGTTCCCCGAGGGTCCATCTGGAAGCCAGGCACCCATGTCCATCCATGTTCCCGAGGGTCCATCTGGAAGCCAGGCACCCATGTCCATCCATGTTCCCAAGGGTCCATCTGGAAGTCAGTCACCCATGTCCATCCATGTTCCAAAGGGTCCATCTTGAAGTCAGTCACTCATGTCCATCCATGTTCCAAAGGGTCCATCTTGAAGTCAGTCACCCATGTCCATCCATGTTCCAAAGGGTCCATCTGGAAGTCAGTCACCCATGTCCATCCATGTTCCCAAGGGTCCATCTGGAAGCCAGGCACCCATGTCCATCCATGTTCCCAAGGGTCCATCTGCAAGTCAGTCACTCATGTCCATCCATGTTCCAAAGGGTCCATCTGGAAGCCAGGTACCCATGTCCATCCATGTTCCAAAGGGTCCATCTGGAAGTCAGTCACCCATGTCCATCCATGTTTCCAAGGGTCCATCTGGAAGCCAGGCACCCATGTCCATCCATGTTCCCGAGGGTCCATCTGGAAGCTGGGCACCCATGTTCTACCATGTTCCCGAGGGTCCATCTGGAAGCCAGGCACCCATGTCCATCCATGTTCCCAAGGGTCCATCTGGAAGTCAGTCACCCATGTCCATCCATGTTCCAAAGGGTCCATCTTGAAGTCAGTCACCCATGTCCATCCATGTTCCCAAGGGTCCATCTGGAAGTCAGTCACCCATGTCCATCCATGTTCCCAAGGGTCCATCTGGAAGCCAGGCACCCATGTCCATCCATGTTCCCAAGGGTCCATCTGCAAGTCAGTCACCAATGTTCATCCATGTTCCCAAGGGTCCATCTGCAAGCCAGGTACCCATGTCCATCCATGTTCCAAAGGGTCCATCTGGAAGTCAGTCACCCATGTCCATCCATGTTCCCGAGGGTCCATCTGGAAGCCAGGTACCCATGTCCATCTATGTTCCAAAGGGTCCATCTGGAAGTCAGTCACCCATGTCCATCCATGTTCCCGAGGGTCCATCTGGAAGCCAGGTACCCATATCCATCCATGTTCCAAAGGGTCCATCTGGAAGTCAGTCACCCATGTCCATCCATGTTCCCAAGGGTCCATCTGGAAGTCAGTCACCCATGTCCATCCATGTTCCCAAGGGTCCATCTGCAAGTCAGTCACTCATGTCCATCCATGTTCCAAAGGGTTCATCTGGAAGCCAGGTACCCATGTCCATCCATGTTCCAAAGGGTCCATCTGCAAGTCAGTCACCAATGTTCATCCATGTTCCCAAGGGTCCATCTGCAAGCCAGGTACCCATGTCCATCCATGTTCCAAAGGGTCCATCTGGAAGTCAGTCACCCATGTCCATCCATGTTCCCGAGGGTCCATCTGGAAGCCAGGTACCCATGTCCATCTATGTTCCAAAGGGTCCATCTGGAAGTCAGTCACCCATGTCCATCTATGTTCCCAAGGGTCCATCTGGAAGCCAGGCACCAATGTTCATCCATGTTCCCAAGGGTCCATTTGGAAGCTGGGCACCCATGTTCATCCATGTTCCCAAGGGTCCATCTGGAAGCCAGGCACCAATGTTCATCCATGTTCCCAAGGGTCCATTTGGAAGCTGGGCACCAATGTTCATCCATGTTCCCAAGGGTCCATCTGGAAGCCAGGCACCCATGTTCTTCCATGTTTCCAAGGGTCCATCTGGAAGCCAGGCACCCATGTTCTTCCATGTTTCCAAGGGTCCATCTGGAAGCCAGGCACCCATGTTCTTCCATGTTTCCAAGGGTCCATCTGGAAGCCAGGCACCCATGTCCTTCCATGTTTCCAAGGGTCCATCTGGAAGCCAGGCACCCATGTTCTTCCATGTTTCCAAGGGTCCATCTGGAAGCCAGGCACCCATGTTCTTCCATGAGTCAGTTGTCCATCTTTAGGACCCACCAGTCATCCAGACCTCAATATAATTCAATGCATCTGCCTACATATGTAAATGATGGTTCTTTGACCAACCATGTTCAATTGTCAATCCATGTCCTGTTGTCCATTTTAAGCCTTATTGGTTATCCGTGACTGATTCTTTTTTAGTTGTCCGGTTTATGCCCCAGTGATTATTCATAGCTGATTGTCTTTCCATTTTCACTTGTCCATATTCAGACTCAATTGGTCATCAATGGCTGATTGTCCATCCATGCTCCAAATCTCCTCTATGGATCCAATAGGTCATACATGTCAATCCATGTCATAATGTCCACCTGTCCATAATGTCCGTACATCCAAGTGTTCCCATGTGCGCTGTCTTGTGTTTCAGCGTTGCAACTGTAGCAAGGATGGCTCCGTGTCGCTTCAGTGTGACCCCGACGATGGTTCGTGCACATGTTTGCCGGACTATAGGGGCTACAGTTGCAATAGTTGTCTGTTTGGTTATTATGACTTTCCTACCTGTGAGGAATGCATGTGTAATACTAACGGCACGCTTGCGGACAAATGTCGTAGTGATGGCAGTTGTCATTGTGATCGGAGAGGGATGTGCAGCTGCAAGGTTTGTATCATATCACAAACTATTTTCAGCATTTATTTCATTTATCTACATGAATTTACAAAGTGTTTCTACATTTAGGCCTCTATAAATGCAAAAATTATTGAAGTTGAACAGAAAAATAATTGTTTTACATTTGTTAAAAAGCTGAAAATATGTTTGTGATATATCGCTTTTGTTTTTAAGCTTAAATTCTATCTACTAATCAGTGTTCCCAAGCTATGGTTAATACTATAACCTACATGTCTACTAACTGAGTTTCATTATTGTCCCAGTTACAATCATTTATGCTTTTTCTCTCGATAAAATTTCGTTCGGTATAATTCATATACATGTATGCCATTAATGCATTTTTTTCTTACAGTGGACCATATAGCTTGTCATTTTCAATCAAGCCCCCATGCATGTTGCCTTTTGCATGAAAATACTTGTTTGTAGCCATCACTCTTAAGCTAGTTTATGCATGGATGTAATGGTTTGACAGGTGATTTATTATTTATATGTATACTCTTTTTTTTAATCCAAAAAATAAGGATAGGAATTCCAGGGTTATTGGGTCCGAAGTACCCGTGCTAGTAAAACATGATTCAGTGAATCATGTGGTTATAATGTGTGACCTGTCTGGTTTTGTGTTAAATACTTTTTGTGCATGCCATCAACCACTTTTATGTCGGGGTTCCATTCCATAAGGCAGAGTTATCTTATCGCTAAGGTGAACGTAACTCCCATACATTAACATAGGCTTACGATCATTGTAGCGCTAAGATCACTTCATGGAGCAGGGCTTTGGCCCATATTCTGCCCTAACACAGGATACTGTTGATGGAACATTATTGTCTGGCAGAAATCAACTCTCACTCCATATGACCTTTCAAAATATGTTTGTTTTTATCCATCATAAATATTTGCAATCACCTGTCAATATCACGTCAGTATTAGTTGCATGAGCATCATGTAGATAGCTGTATAGTTTACCTTTTTCTGTCAACTATGGTGGCTTATAGTTTGTAAAGTATGTGTTTCTGACCATTCACATTCTTTTTCTGTGAAAATAATATTCAAACTTGTGATTTGGGTACAAAACTCAATAATTTTGGTTTTGATAATGTATTTCTTAAGATAATACCAAATCATGAAGAAAGTTCATATTATATAATCTTTAAAAAAATATGTTCTTTTCTTACAATGGGACAGACTGATTTAATCGTTTCCCATCATTAGTGTTGGTTATAGCTGATTGTCAAATTAACGAGTGTCGGATTAACGAGACTTGACTGTAGAAGATTTTAGGGAAAAGAAGTTGTTTTGTAGTTTTTAGACATTTAATATATAACTTTTTTCGTTCCATAGAAAAATGTTGAAGGACGGAAGTGCTCCAAATGTCGGAGGAATACATTCAGCCTTGACGAAGACAATCCTAGTGGCTGCACAGCCTGCTACTGTTTTATGAAAACCCGGACATGCTCCCAGGCCCCCTATGTGTGGTTGACTGTAAGTCTAGGACTTGGTCCCTGTACGATACATAGCTCGACAGTAAGGTCGCCTAACAATGACAAGAACCCAACAGAAACATAACTTGAGTTAATTAATATAGATGTGGCTTGAGATGTGGCATTTCTTTATACAATTTTACAGTTCACCCATTACTCTATGTGTAGCATTTTGTATTCATACATGACCTTGATATGATATTGATGTGATACAATACTCGTATCGACCTGTGAAGATCCGGGGTAGAATGGGTCTTCAGCAACCCATGCTTGCCATAAAAGGCGACTATGCTTGTCGAAAAAGGCGACTAACGGGATCGGGTGGTCAGGCTCGCTGACTTGGTTGATGCACTGTCATCTATCAATATTGCGTGGATCGATGCTCATGATATCAATCACTGGATTGTCTGGTCCAGACTCGATTATTTACAGACCACCATCATATAGCTGTAATATTGCTGAGTGTGGCTTAAACAACCAACCAACCAACCAACCAACCAATACTCGTATCATGACTGGGAGTATCACGTTGCACTGAAGTGTTACACCCCTGGGATGTAGGTAGATTATCTTGTACACTGTATGCTATACCAATCAACATTTGCTAAGGAACACATCTTTGACTAAAAACTATTTTGATCCTAAACAAATATTGAGTATACTTACTCTTGAAGCTTATTACCCTGAACTATACATGTGGACTATACAGTTACATATTCTATGCTATTGACTATTCCATTTGATAGTCAACAATATAAACATTTTATCTATAAAAAATGAAGTTACTATAAAGACTATGTAATAATATCTCAAACCAGTGCGATGTTCCAAAGATGTATGAGGTTTGTGTGTGTGTGAAGACATTTGACTTCATCATTAGAAGGTCATGTCAAGTAGGCACTACTGAAAGACTACTCAACATTTCTTGGAGATGTCATCACTGGGTTTTGAGGGGTCACAGGTCATCAGCTTAGGTGCATCAATTCTCTGGGAGTTAAGTAAGGATAAGAGATATGGATGAACTTCTTCTTTATTACAATTAGGAGCGACGTTTCAGTGATGCATCACTTGCTTGATAACGAACCTACACCAAAACGTCACTCCTAAATGTAATGAGGAAGTTGTTCATCATATATCTTATCCTTACTTACTGCTCCACACTTCTAAATGCCTCTCAAAGAAGTTCTCTGGGTGCTGTGTTCCTTTGACAGGATCTGCTGATCACGTGTTCGACGACCAGATTCCCCTTGTTATGTCAACACCATACCAGTGCTTGGGGGTTTAATTAAAGTGGTAACTGTGGGCCTATCACCCATATTCAAACTGAAGTGCTTTTCTAAGCATCGCTAAATCCAACTCACATGTGGTTTTGATAGTGTCATTCGAATCATTATATTTTTACTACTTGTGTAGCTATCTCAGGGTTGAAATAATGTGGTTTGATTGAAAATAGTTTCAAAAACAATATGTGTATTTCATGAATGTCTACAATACTGTACATACTCAATAGTTGTGGGTGCTGCTTGCTAAGGATCTTGAGTTTCTGCTATAGTGTACATATACTACTTAAAAAAAGTTAAGGTCCACCCTGTCATGCCATGAAAGAATTGGATGGTCCGTAACTTTTCTTGAGGAGTATATACATGTAACAATATATTACTCAATACACACACATCAATCAAGAATGGCAGAATGTGTGAACCAATTAGCATATAAGAATATATTATTGTATTACATCAGATTGAATGTATCCTGATTCAAGATTTATCATATTCATCTGACCTGTGAAAATTGGCATAGAATAGGTCTTCAGCAGTCCATGCTTGCCATAACAGGCGACTATGCTTGTCGTAAAAGGCAACTAACAGGATCAAGTGGTCAGGATCACTGACTTGGTTGATGTATGTCATCGTATCCCAATTGCGGGGATCGATGCTCATTGTCAGTCACTGGATTGTCTGGTCCAGACTCGATTATTTACAGACCGCCGTCATATAGCTGGAATATTGCTGAGTGCGGTGTTAAACAACAAACAAAACAACAACAAAAAATCATATTCATACAGAAACATTCAGACCTCCAGGCGATTAAATTGTTATCTTTAAATGTAATATAACTGCATTGTCCAGATCTCCGCACCCACGATGAGACGGACCATCTCCCAGCTGGGCCCTAATGTCATACAGGACATGTTCGGCTTCCACATCATCCCCTCTGATGTGGACGAGGTTGCAGTGCCAACCACGATGACGGACAAGGCTCTTTATTGGTCCCTCCCTGCCACCATGCTGGGAGACAGGGTAGGTGACCAACCTCCCCTTGCTATAATGCCATCCTCATTCCCTGCCTACAAGATGTGTGGATGTTTAGAAACTTGCTATAATGCCATCCTCACCCCCTGCCTACAAGATGTGTGGATGTTTAGAAACTTGCTATAATGCCATCCTCACTCCCTGCCTACAAGATGTGTGGATGTTTAGAAACTTGCTATAATGCCATCCTCACTCCCTGCCTACAAGATGTGTGGATGTTTAGAAACTTGTTATAATGCCAAACTTATTTAATGCCCAAATATGAACAAGGGTATCATGATTTCAATTCTACTTTCGTTAATTCCTGGTTTAGATGTTTATTAAACAGAATACCAGACAATGTTACGTCAAATTCATAATTATGCCCTAAGATGATTGAGGATATTATAATTTATTTCCTATCACTAAAATTCCTTGGGTAGATTTTTTTACTACATAATTTTATGTTATTTTGACTGTTGAAATGCCAACTGAACTTATTGTGATGCCATGAAACATGGAGAAGGGTAGTATGTGTAGTATGACTGAACACTGTTTTACATGTTTTATAAACTTCATGAAGTATTCACAGCAAATAATAAAGGTGACTTTGAATTCTACATGACTTGATTATTTGGTCATATGATTGTTCACAATAATTGAAAAATGGGTTTTTAGTTATATAAGGAAAAGCTACACGAAAAAGCTGACTGATACGAAATACCTCTCATTCACCTATTTCTTTTCCACCAGATCCTGTCCTACAATGGCCGCCTTGACTTTGTCCACTATTTCGAATCAGACAAACCTGTCTTTGGAGGAGGCTTTGGATCTCAGGATGACAGCAAGTTGTCTCCCCTTGTTGTCCTCATTGGCAATGGTTTCATCTTGACCTACAACAACACCATGACCCTTGAACCTCGACACCCGGACACCTTCACCGCAAGATTACATGAGGCAAGAGTTAGCCTGGTCTTAAAATTTTCAGTTGATCTGAATATTCTTGAATCATCATTTGACCATATTTCTTCCATGTATTTGCATAACTTTTCCTTATACATGAAAGTCAAGGAGGCCTACAACACTAATTATAGCGCCTCCGGTTTACACAAGAGCAAATATATTATTGGGTGAAAAAGGAAACATTTGCTGACCCAAGCCAACAACATCAAACAATTATGTTCTGTTCCTTGTCAGGGGCGGTTGGGTAGTCTAGCGGTTAAAGAATTGCTTCTCAGGCAGAAGACTCGGGTTTGATTCCCTGCATGTTTATAATGTGTGAAGCCCATTTCTGGTGTCCCCTGCTATGACATTGCTGGAATATTGCTGAAAGCGGCGTAAAAACATGCTCACTCACTCACTCACTCACTCACTCACTCACTCACTCACTCACTCACTCACTCACTCACTCACTCACTCACTCACTCACTCACTCACTCACTCACTCACTCACTCACTCACTCACTCACTCACTCACTCACTCACTCAGTCAGTGTGACAAATACCCACTGAATTTGTTGAATAACAAAATAATGAGAATACCATATATGTTGGCTAAAATATAAAGAATTACTCATATTCAAGAGATATTAGATTGGTTTGATGCACAAACGAATATACTGGTATGTTGTGTGAACCGACGTTCAAGAACGCATCACATGTGATTCATAGATCCATGATTCGAGATGCACTATTTGACTTGTGTAGGATTATCGTGTAAAGTTTGCATAAAAAAGTGCAGCATAGCGTGATAACAATAAAGACACTGGTGACACTTGACTGGTTGTTAGTTTTGTCATTAAGTTGTACACACTGGAAACACCTCTCCTTAACATTCATACTTTTCTATATGTTTCTATGTTTTATGCTTGTTTGGTGGTTAGTTTATATATTCTTGTCAGACAGGCAGTAAAACATTATTTGTTTTTTAATCAGATCATCAGCAAGAATATCTAATGGTCTTCTGCATTCCTCTAATTTTTTAGATGTTTACACATTAGAGGTGACGATGATGTTTGATTTTTGAAAAGGATGCAAATGGTTTAAGTATTTGTTTGTCAGAGTGACAGTCCCTGGTTCGAATCCCTATGAGATAAAGCCAGATGTAAAGTCAGTTCATGGCTTCTATAGCGATGTCGTAATGTCACTGTGTTCCTGCATGAAGTGGTGGTACCTATACTCAATCAGTCATACAAGATCACTACATTATAGTGTCGGTTACACTGTGTGTCGGATTCAAGAAGTAATGCTGAAAGTGGTGGTACCTATACCCAGTCAGTCATACTAGACCACTACATTATAGTGACAGTTACACTGTGTGTCAGATTCAAGTAGTAATGCTGCTAAACTGTGTCTATTTGCAGAACTACTGGCGTATCCCGGGGCAGACGTCGCCGGTTTCTCGCCGTCTGCTCATGGTGGTGCTCCAGCACCTGGAGGCCATCTTTGTCCAGGCCACCAGTGACGGATATGCAACATACGCTGAGTGAGTTCAACAGGAAATACAAATACTAAAGCTTATTAGCAATGACTGATGATTATTATGAAGACAATTGTACTTTATTATGGGACTGACTGGAGCTAAAGTTTTCTGATATAATTGACAGTGATTGAAGTTTCTTATTTATTTTCCCATTTCTTTTATTTTAAGTTAATCTCAGTATAACCTTAAACCACTTAAAAGGCAACAAAAATAACTACTGAAAGCTTCAAACTTAAACTGATAAGATAAAACAAATAAGCTCTTATACCTTTTATGGTATATAAAGTAAATATCCAACATTTTATACAAATTTGTGTTTTTCTGACAAGAAATAAACATTTACTACACTCTTTTTTTAATTTCGACCAATTAACTCTTGATAACAAATCAATAAAATCGTTAGTTACCAGTATATAACATATAACAATATAAACTGTAATTCTGAGTTTCAAGTTGGTTATTCTCGAAAATTTTAGCAGCTGTGATCCAGGACAAATGTAATCTACAAATCTAGTATATTTGTATCACTAACTCTATTGCAAAAACAACATGCAAAACGCCAGAAATGTGTTGTTGCATTCCATTAATGAACTTTAAAAAATGCAAGTTAACAATTATGTAAATTAACTTTGGCGAGTGCGAGAATGCCAGTTGAAGTGGGTCACATGTGATGACAGAAAGTTACAGCAGCTCAGTGAGCCAATTTTTAAGTTTCGAACACGGACAAGTTGATGCCTGACGTGCATGCTGCCACTGTATGATGGATGGATATGGAATATTTATTAAGTTGCAGTTATTTATTCAGAATCAGAATCCACAATCATGCAACGTTTCATTCCGTATCAGCACATGAATGAACAAATGAATGAAAAGAAGTATACCAGCGACCAATGAAAACCCGAGTTACTTTTACAAAAATTGTAGTTCCCAAAAACATTACAGATCATTTACCCTCTACACGGCTTCCCTTTTGGGTAAGAAACGTCCTTATACTTTAACGTCACTGTTGTTCGAGGCTGTGTATTCTGTGATGATAACACATAGAACAGAGATTATTTATGCTTCAGGTTATGTTTTAATTCTGATCTTGTTTTCCAGATTGGGCCCAATTAGTTTGCAAGTGGCGGAACCAGCCACATCTATTTCATCTGGGGACGTAGCCCTTGGTATTGAGTTGTGTGATTGTCCTGATAAATACTCAGGCACAAGTTGTCAGGTAAATGCTTTGTACAAAGTAGACACAATTTATGGAAAACAACTTCTTTATTTTACTGTAATGGAGACGTTTCAGTATAGATCTTTATACCGTTGTCAAGCAAGGTTGAATAATGAACATGGTACAGAATATATATGGTAGGTGGAGGATTAACAGTAACAACAATTGCATACATGAGGGAGATTAACGTGAGTAGGTTTAATAATTACAACAGAAAGATAATACTGTAACAACATGATGGACAGAGAACACATGATGAGGAAGCTAAATAATGCTAATTGGCTTCCTGAAATTATCTATATTCATGTTGAAATTGTTTTATATCAAAGAAAACATGAATGTAATATAAAATCAGTACCATCAGTTTGTCTACATGTCCATGTTGTGTGTTCAGAGAGTTATTGGCTTATCCTCAGATCTTATTTTGCATTGTTGTCATTTTCAGAATCCTGGTGAGGGGTACTTCAGAGAAAAGCAAAATGGCACCAATGACCTTTCTCAACCTGAAATTACCATTGGTCGAATCAGACGGTGCCGTTGCCATGGACACAGTGATGTTTGTGACCCTGAAACAGGACTGTGCATGGTAAATATCAAAACAATGGCATGGTGTGTAATAAAACAGTGAGTGAGTGAGTATGGTTTTACGCCGCTTTTAGCAATATTCCAGCAATATCACGGCGGGGGACACCAGAAATTGGCTTCACACATTGTACCCATGTCAGGAATCGAACCTGGGTCTTTGGCGTAACAATCGAACGCTTTAACCACTAGGCTACCCGACCGCCCCTGTAATAAAACAGAACAGAATTGATTCAGATGAGTTTTTACCTCATGACAAGTGAGTAGTGAGTTTCTATTAACTTTGGATTTTGGACAAAAATGCTTTGCTACAACTTCTATCAAGCATCCTCGGGCTTTAACTGTAATTAGGCCCCTTTCACAAAGTGATTGTTGTGCTAAGGTGATCGTAACTCCCATACTTTAACATAGACTTACTACTGTAATAGCTGTATGAACGGGGCCCAGGACAAAACTATTCTTTAATACACTAAACATGAGGTAGATCAAACATTATTTCTTAAACATAGCGACCCGTGAAGATTCCGGGGTAGAATAGGTCTTCAGCAACCCATGCTTGCCGTAAAAGGTGACTTTGCTTGTCATAAAAGGCGACTAACGGGATCAGGTGGTCAGGCTCGCTGACTTGGTTGATGCATGTCATCGATCCTAATTGCGTGGATCGATGCTCATGATATTAATCACTGGATTGTCTGGTCCAAACTCGATTATTTACAGACTGCCATCATATAGCTGTAATATTGCTGAGTGCGGCGTAAAACAACAAATCAACCAACCAACCAATCTTAAACATAGCCTTTAATTGTCTCAGCATTCTGTAGTTATTACATATTAAAAGATGTAACCAGATATTCTACGTTCTGCTACAAATGAGGCAATCTACCGTTAGATATAGATTAGGATCATATAAGTCTGTTTTCCTTGAAGACAACAAATCACCATGATGTCAACACAGAAGTGATGTCATACGTGTACGATGTCGTCTCACGTATGACGTCATATGGCTATGTAATATTTAGAGGGTATTATATGAGTGTTTATGTCAGACTATGTTTACGACACAAGTGTCTAATTTCTGGTATTTCTCGAGCGAGGGCAAGGGAAATACTGGAATTTAGGCATGAGTGTCATAAACATAGTGTAATATGGACACAAATATAATGTTCTATTTATTACCAAACAAGATATTTACAGAGACAAATTTTAGTGTTTACCTATAAGGACAGCAAGTTTCAACAGTAGCTGAACCACAATTTGTCAATTAACGTCAATAATCTTCTGCTATGACGTCGTTTCTAGTGTGACGTCACTCTGACCTCACGTCGCAATAAGATTTGAATGACGTCAACAATGCTGTCCGGATGAAATACAATACACTGTTGTCTGGTGACGTGATATAACCCTAGGGCACATATGATTTTTATGAACCCCGATATGTTTGCCCTTGTAGGTAATAAACTTCGTTCTGCCACAAACGAGAGACCTGGTGTAGATGTAGGAATCTGTGTATTCTGTCTGTTCCCAGGAGTGCCAGCACAACACTACAGGAGACCGGTGTGATCAGTGTCTGCCAGGGTACTTTGGGGTGGCAACCCGTGGCTCCCCCTGGGATTGTTCTCCCTGTGCTTGTCCCCGCATAGAACCCTCAAACAGGTAAACAGGTGATACTGAGACAGTGAAATATTGTCAACACCGGGTCCTTAGGATCATAGAGAATACATCAGTAATTTAAACAAGTGGATTATTGTTATAATTCCATGATTCTAATAAAGATTTTGCTGGGACCATAAGGTCTTATTTGATGTATTAAGTCATGGAGCTTGAGACAAGATTTTATTGCACAGCAGAATCAACATTGGAGTGAGCAGAGGTTATTTCTAGAGAAGGCACAATTATTTCTAGAAGATATCATAAGGATTATTTCTTCAAATGTTTTTCGTTGTATGTCAAGACTAATATTTCTGGTATGCCAGGGGAGGTAACTCTGTACAGCAAGTTGGAGAGAGAGTTGGATTTAACGCTGCTTTGAACAGTATTTCAGTTACATCATGGCATGTCAGCATGGAAAGCCTTACGTGATGCAGGTCACAGACATTTACCCTTTAGTGAAACCTAGAAACATAATCAAGGGAATATGGAATTTGAAGCTATGGTCATAGGATTCTGGCATGGCTAAGGGATGTAACTCTGCACAGCGAATTGTGGCACCTTAGACAACATGCGCCCCCATGCCCTTTAGAGACTAAGAATACTATATAGTATATGAAAGTGTTCACGGGGGCACGGGTGGCCCAGTCATCTAAGGCGCCGCAATTCGCTGTGCAGAGTTGCGTCCCTTGGGCACGCCAGAAACCTATGATTGTTGGTTCGAATCCCGGTTTGCCCCGATTATGTTTCCAGGTTTGTCAGCACCATACCCGTGCTCGTGGGTTTCACCAAAGTGGTAAACATGTGAGACCTGCATCACTTCGGGCTTTCCTCCCACATTAAGCTTACACGCCGTGATATAACTTGAATACTGTTAAAAGCGGCGTTAAACCCAACTCACTCACTCACTCACTGAAAGTGTTCACTCATGTTTTGTTTTGCTCCCCAGTTTCAGTTCATCGTGTGAGGACATATCAGGTGTGCTGACCTGCACCAACTGCTCAGAGGGCTACACAGGGTCTAGATGTGAAAGGTATCTACTGTAGAGTCCACTTCTACATACAGAAGGGCACCAGTGTAGTTTGATGCAGTTTGTGTTTAAGTGAATACTCTTTTCTGATTGGTCAATGAAAGGTATAAAACCTACATGAATTTCATATCAGGGAACTTTGGAGACAATGTCTGGTGGGCAATCTCATTGCAGTCAGATATTAGAGCTAAAGCTAAGATCAGATTTTAATTATATTGTCTCATTTACTGTTATATATGTTGTTATCTTATGTAATAACATCACAAAATGCATTCTTGGTTTTTTTTCAAAATGATTTAAAGTAAGTGTGAAAACAATTCTTACATAAAAGGAGAATTGTAAAATTCATTGACTTTGAAAATGGTTTCATAAGGTGCTTTTGTTTGTACTGTGATGTCACATTTGTTGCATAATAAGACACCTAACTGCCTGTTGAATAATATGATGCTGTTTTAGTGGTTTGGAATTTAAAACTGAACATTACATGACTTTCTTTAGTAGTGGCAACTTATATTTTGTTTGAAATTTTAGTATTAATATGTCTCATTCATGTAATTTACCTTAAAATGTAATGAAATCCCTTTTGACACTTTTTGTTGACACTTGTTTCATTTACGTAACTAACCGACTATGCTATTCAGATGTTCACCTGGTTTCTATGGCAACCCACTGAAACTTGGCAGCGAGTGTAAGCCATGCAATTGCAACAAGGAAGGATCTGTGACTGCCTCGTGTGACGTGAACACGGGCCGCTGTGACTGTCTGCCCGGTATTGAAGGCCTCAAGTGTGATGAGTGTGATGTTCATGGCTTTGCTGTACAGAATGGCACCTGTGTTTGTATGTACTGCATCTTGTTCCTCTCCACAACAGTCCATTTTGGGTTACAATATCTTGATTTGCTTCTGTTCCAAAAATTAAAAGAAAAGAAATTCCTGTAAACACTTTCATTATAAAGATAATTATCCTTTATAAAACTTCAACTGTAAGTTAATTTATTTTGGAAGAAATAAAAAAAAATAAAAAAAATTTAAATCCCTTGTTGAGACTACAGTCTTGTTATCAGATACATGTATTTGTAATTTCCGAAAAATAAGGGGGCGGTCGGGTAGCCTAGTGGTTAAAGCGTTCACTCGTCATGCCAAAGACCCGGGTTAGAATCCCGAAATGGGTACAATGTGTGAAGCCCATTTCTGGTGTCCCCCGCCGTGATATTGCTGGAATATTGCTAAAAGCAGTGTAAAACCAAACTCACTCACTCACTCATTGAAAAATAAGACGTCCAGTTATTTTCAGTGATACCCTGTAATTATGGAGGGTACTATGACCAGTTAATATTTCAGACTTAACTAATCAGATATATGTGATGTTGCTTTTAGTGTATACAAACCAACAGAAATTGTCCAGATAGCGAGATTTCCAGGCTAATAGGTCAGGTTTACCCAGGTTTTATGGTATAGGGTTCCATGACAGCTTAATTACTCTAGTGTTCAATTGATTAGATATGTAAAGAGGTAATATATACCGTAATGTTGGTTGTCAATACAGATGCTGCATGTAAGAAGACTTGAGTGAAACTTCAGTCTCCATAATTGGGACACTAATGTCATAAGAATCATTTACATTGTACATTTTGTGTCCAGTAATGTATTTCAACATTTTCTTCATGTCATGACTTGTTTTGATTTTCACTTTGTCAAACTTTCCATCCACATAGAAGACATGCAACAGGTACACATCGATGCATGAGATTATTGCGTGGAACTAGACCACCATTATCTGCAGCATGAATACTGCTTCTCCAAACTCAGATTCTTCCTACTTTTCACCCATCAAATACTCTTTGCAGTTCTATTAAATTCTTTTGGAAATCATTAGCCTCCTGTAGAAATAGACATATAATAACCTTTGAGCAATATATTTTTCTGATATGATAAAGGTAATTTTGGAATGATATGATTTGATTTTGAAAACCTGAAGCATGAAATACCATCTTAAACCTTGTGATGTTACTGGTAGTTAGTTTGGGCTGTTCCTTGAATAGCTTTTCACATTTACTTCACCTTTTGTGTAGTTGTGAAGTATAGTAAAGGCAAATCAGAAGTTGTGTAAAGAACTTTTATGAAGAGTTTGTCAGTTTTACAACAAAGGGAGATCACCCTCATGTGTTTGTTTTAAGTGAATGGTCATTGTTAAGGTACCCACCATTTTGTCTAAGTTGGGGCAGTCTTGGAGTTTTTTTCAAGAGCAAATTCGATGCTATTTTGTCAGTCCACACTGTTTCAAAAGTCACAAGACTCACTATTGTTAAATGAAGTTGTGATTTTAGACATCCTGCCATTTTGTTTTTCCCCTTCTCTGCCAACAAGCTGTTCAAAATTACAATGATAAAATTATGTAATTAAATATACAGATCTACGCCCCTTCAAATGGTTTTCATTTGACACCTTAATTATCACGGCATTTCGAAAAAGTTCAACTGATCGTAATATCCCAAACTGCAGGTCAGTTATAGTGTCTGATGACTCAATCTTATATCTGACATGTTATGCTTTGGTCTAAAACAATTGAGCAAGTTAGAAATGCATATAAGTATATGAGCATACCTTGGAACACATTCCCTGCCCTTAAGCTAAGGTCAGTGCCAGACATACTACTGTACTGTGGGGGGAAAGATGAAGACTCGCACAAGGTCTTACAGTTTGTTTTGCATGGTTCACGGACCCACCTACCTGAAAGATTAAAAAAATCAGAAGAACAATTTAGAATGACCAGGGTTGTTTTATCCACCAATGTTAAAAATTGCTTTGACAAGAAAAATGACAATGAAATGTGGCAGTCAGATTTTAAATTTACGTGTTTAATATTTATAAGGACCAAAACCAGGCTAATTTTTTATAATATTTCTATTACCTTCTGATTCAAATAATTCTTTGAGATTATTAAAAAAATCCTGTTTATTTAATTTATTCTTCAACTTACAGACCAATTTTTTCACAATTAAGAATTGTAAATCAAGATAAAAAAGAAGTATTTCCTGAAGTAATAGGTATGATGGAATATAAGTCATCAGTCATTACACTCATCTTCATAAATTGTCATTTGTTGGTTTTCAAACTAATTCAAGATAACCATACTTTATTGATCAACGAGTCGGTATGTAAACAAGTTGATCAACGAGTCGGTATGTAAACAAGTTGATCAACGAGTCGGTATGTAAACAAGTTGATCAACAAGTCGGTATGTAAACAAGTTGGGTCAATGTGATGTTCTGTTTGCAGCATGCTACACTGGCTGTCCGGGTGTTCTGTTGAATGACCTCAAGAACATGACCTTGGCAGTGAGTCTACGGAACATCACGGTGCCATTACCCTGGAAAGAACTTCGGAGGATCCAGAACGAAACAGTTGAACTTCAGGTAGAAAGTGGAAGTCAGAAAAAACACTTATAAATTAAATAGATTGAAAGGTTTTTTTCAATTTTCTTTCTTGTATTCTTCAATCTAACCATTGCTGTCAAGGACACACAGTGAACACACAAAGTGGTAAAATGAAACTGAATTTTGGGAACGTTTTCACTTTGGTTAATGCATGGGAAAATGGAGTTACAACTGTAAAACCATATTTTGTTCCAGGCCCTTGTGAACATTTCCAAGATGGCAAGTCTGGCCAATGTCTTTGACTACAGAAACCAAACTGAATTTTTCAAGGATGTGGCTGAGCGACTTATGAATAGGGTAAGTTTATATAGATAAATTGCAAGTGATTCCATGGCATTTGATGGGCTATGCTACCAATTGTTTTGCATTTACGTTTCCATAACCCAAAAAATAGAATTAGGGCCACACCTGTTCAGCAACTACTGTTTCCTGTTTGGATCATAGTTGGATAGGCTTCGGTTGAACTGTGCACTGAACGATGTCACTGATTTGGTCTTGTTGTCTACAGGTTTTATTGTTAATGATTAAATAAGCAGTCTTTGAAATTATTGTTGTCATGTATATATTAGAATTGACTTGATATGTTAACACTAGTGTGCATGCTGTGTAAATATGCATAACATAGCAGAGTTATGCAATATGTGCGCACAAGTATGTACGTTTATAACTCCATGAATGCAACAAATATTAAAGTCCATTCTTTACTGGAGGCACGGGTGGCCCAGTCGCCGCGATTCGCTGTGCAGAGTTGCGTCCCTTGGGCATGCCAGAAATTATGGTTGTGGGTTCGAATCCCGGTTCGCCCAAATTATGTTTCTAGGTTTGTCATCACCATACGTGTGCTCGTGGGTTTCACCGAAGTGGCAAACGTGTGAGACCTGCATCACTTCGGACTTTCCTCCCACATTAAGCTGACACGCCGTGATATAACTGGAATACTGTTAAAAGCGGTGTTAAACTCACCTCACTCACTCACAATTCTTAACTGATAATTTCATGATTTATGTGATAAGCCTTTTTATTGTTGTCTCTTGTTTCTTCCTGCATCTTTTTTTTTCAACCAGTGAAAGTTTTTATTGTTATGCTTTAGTGCACAAATGTACATTGCAAGGGTAAATTATTCTGACGAAAGTGTTTGCAATTGTGTGGTCTAAGCATTACACTGTAAAGTAAGGACAAGAAAACTTGAACATTCCAGGTGAGCCGCACCCAGAGACGAATTAATGGCTTGATTGACGATGCCTCCAAGATGCTGAACAATGCCACAAAGATTGAGGACAACATTAGCAGATTGTTTGACGACATTAGGGGTAGGAGTATTCTGTAGTCTTCTTTTAGAATGTTATTCAGTACATTATCTTTTGGAACTTAGGCGCGGTTGGGTAGCCTAGTAGTTAAAAACCATTGTGGTTTTGGCAGAATCATGACAATATTTTGAACAAATTCAGCCAATGAGACTAATTGGTGAAATATGGTGAAAAAACATCAGCTACAATTTAACCTAGATAGTCACCTCGCTACAGCCATTGTCACATATGCAATCAATAAAAATCAACTATTAATATCACTTGTTTTAGCTTGTGATGGCAAGCTAAAGTTTACAGACTTTGAGTAGTTTAGGAAAAAAATATAACTTAATCCAAAATATATATTTTCATCAATTCCATATAGTCAGACATAACAATTATGATTACTAATTTGTTATGAAAATTACTATACCCATGAAGATCCAGGGAAGAATAGGTCTTCAGCAACCCATGCTTGCTGTAAAAGGCGACTATGCTTGTCGTAAGAGGCGACTAACAGGATCGGGTGGTCAGACTCACTGACTTGGTTGATGCATATCATTGTATACCCATTGCGTGGATCGATGCTCATGACTTCAATCACAGGATTGTCTGTTCCAGACTCAATTATTTACAGACTGCCGTCATACAGCTGGAATATTGCTGCGTGCATCGTTAAACAAACAAACAAACAAACATACAAACAAAACATGAAAATGACTAAGTTTATACGCCAATTATCACAGATATTCCTAACTGCCTCACTTTCGGGTTGGCATCTATGTATTACCATACTATACATAATTAGTGGAGGCATTCCACCAAAACTTCAGTATCATCAAAACAGGTGCTTTGTGTGGGAGGAATGTCAATTAGGTTTATTAATTATGGTATACAATTTTTGTAGTTCATGTAACCATTTTAACTGAAACAAATCTTTCAGTTGATGCTTGTATTTACACAGATTTGGTACCTATCAATCATATCCACCTGTAATGTATATATATTTGCACCTGTTAATCATATTCACCTGTAGCTAACATGTAATCAGCACCTGTCAGTCATGTTCATGTTATATATGTATGTTGTGCACCTGCCAATTATATTTACCTGTAATATATCCATAATATGCACCTGTTGGTCATATTCACCTGAAGAGTAGACATATTGTGCACCTGTCAATCAGATTCACCTGTAATAAATGCATATTGTGCACCTGTTGGTCATATTCACCTGAAGAGTAGACATATTGTGCACCTGTCAATCAGATTCACCTGTAATAAATGCATATTGTGCACCTGTCATTAAATATACAATCACCTGGAGTCTTTGTTTGTTTCAGGTGACATTAATGACCTGGAGACTTTGGTAGAGAGATTGTTCAACACTCAGTCAGGCGTCAATATCACTGCAGCATTTGCTGAGGCACAGCGTATTCTGAATGAGATCTTGGGGCGAGATTTCAGCAGAAGAGATGATGACTCGTATGATGAAAGGAAGTAAGTTGACAAGAACATTATTTGGCGATACCAGTAGAAAGATAGCATGGTGTGACATATAGTCATAACTCATTGTTCCATTTGTGAGTGTCTCAGCATTTAAGTGAGGCATTATGATTGCGTTCGATTATCCAGGAAGCTCACATCAGGGGAACTTGTTCAAGGAGATTTGTTTCGGTGATTAGTTCAGAAATGTATAATGTGGACTCATTTTATTGTTAGACTGGCATTGGAGGTCTGATGAGGTTAGACGGTCTCTTGGGTACAAACTACTTTCTAGATCTCTTGGAGACAAACTACTTTCTAGATATATCGTGGGGACAAACTACTTTCTAGATCTCTTGGAGACAAACTACATTCTAGATATATCGTGGGGACAAACTACTTTCTAGATCTCTTGGAGATAAACTACTTTCTAGATATATCGTGGGGACAAACTACTTTCTAGATCTCTTGGAGATAAACTACTTTCTAGATATATCGTGGGGACAAACTACTTTCTAGATATATCGTGGGGACAAACTACTTTCTAGATCTCTTGGAGACAAACTACATTCTAGATATATCGTGGGGACAAACTACTTTCTAGATCTCTTGGAGATAAACTACTTTCTAGATATATCGTGGGGACAAACTACTTTCTAGATATATCGTGGGGACAAACTACTTTCTAGATCTCTTGGAGACAAACTACTTTCTAGATATATCGTGGGGACAAACTACTTTCTAGATATATCGTGGGGACAAACTACTTTCTAGACCTCTTGGAGACAAACTACTTTCTAGATATATCTTGGGGACAAAGTTCAGAAATGTATAGGGTGGACTCATTTTATTGTTAGACTGGCATTGGAGGTCTGATGAGGTTAGACATCGTGGGGACAAACTACTTTCTAGATCTCTTGGAGACAAACTACTTTCTAGATATATCGTGGGGACAAACTACTTTCTAGATATATCGTGGGGACAAACTACTTTCTAGACCTCTTGGAGACAAACTACTTTCTAGATATATCGTGGGGACAAAGTTCAGAAATGTATAGGGTGGACTCATTTTATTGTTAGACTGGCATTGGAGGTCTGATGAGGTTAGACATCGTGGGGACAAACTACTTTCTAGATATATCGTGGGGACAAACTACTTTCTAGATATATCGTGGGGACAAACTACTTTCTAGATCTCTTGGAGACAAACTACATTCTAGATATATCGTGGGGACAAACTACTTTCTAGATCTCTTGGAGACAAACAACTTTCTTGATGTCTTGGGGACAAACAACTTTCTAGATATATCGTGGAGACAAACTACTTTCTAGATATATCGTGGGGACAAACTACTTTCTAGACCTCTTGGAGACAAACTACTTTCTAGATATATCGTGGGGACAAAGTTCAGAAATGTATAGGGTGGACTCATTTTATTGTTAGACTGGCATTGGAGGTCTGTTGAGGTTAGACATCGTGGGGACAAACTACTTTCTAGATCTCTTGGAGACAAACTACTTTCTAGATATATCGTGGGGACAAACTACTTTCTAGATATATCGTGGGGACAAACTACTTTCTAGATCTCTTGGAGACAAACTACTATCTAGATTGTAGCATCTACTTTCTAGATCTCTTGGGGACAAACTACTTTCTAGATGTCAGCATCTACTTTCTAGATCTCTTGGTAGTAGAGTGATGAACCTCCAGAATGATTTGATCCAAGTGACCTTGAACGAAGTTGATAATCACAACACATGTAACAATCTTCTTCAAGGCTTGCAGAGAAGTTACTAAGAAGAGTGCTCAGGTTAAAGAGGAAGAACTTCAATGCAACAGACACGGAGAAGAACCTGAAGGTTCTGACAGACGCTCTGGAGGACCTAAAGAATCAATCCCAGAAGGCTAGCGATGTTGCCAGAAGGGTCCTGCAGGAGGAGACTCTTAGACTTGGTGCCAAGCTGGCGGACATTCTGGTGAGGCCTTCATTGGTGGATTGTGTTTCACCTACCTTCATGTCATCCTTTCAATTTGTCCATTGGAGACAGCTTAGTCCGAAAATGTGTTGCAGCATGAAGGAAACATTGAAGTGTTTAAAGAATTTATCCACATCTAAATTTCTTGTCTTTTGTTCGCTTAGTTCGAAAATGTGTTGCAGCATGAAGGAAACATTGAAGTGTTTAAAGAATTTATTCACATCTAAATTTCTTGTCTTTTGTTCTCTTTGATCAATTAGTGGTGTAATGTACCTATGATGTATCACAATACAAGGGCTGTACAAATGATACTGTATGTTTATTAAGAAAACAGTAAATGTGAGTGTCTGACAGTGTGTGTTTCCAAGAAGTGAGAATGGTCACAAGAAGAAGTGAAAATGTGAGCAAGGAGAAGGAGCGGTTGTCCGCTTTCCCATCATTGTAAAATTGCCTGCTTGAATTGAACCTTTTTGTCCACAATAAAAGTGATTCTAGGTCAAACAGTTATATTATCAATGTCTTCAGTGCCTGAGGGCATGCAGGGTTGCCCCGTGCAGGTCTGGCTTAGCCAGGCCAGGATCCGCTGGACATGAGTGTGAATTCCAGGTTTGTTCTGATTGTGATCCTTAGGAAAAGTATGATGAAATTGAAGACCTGGGTTCTGATACCAGCAACCTGGTGGCAGATGGTAACTACTACATCGACGAAGCCCGAGACTTACTGGATCGGCTTAAAGAAAATATCTGGGTATGTTCACTCATTGCTATGGTTTTTATACTGTTGAATCTGTCTAAACTAGTTACAGTAGGACAGAATAATTTTTCTGGCTTAGTGAAACAATATTTACCTTCCTTTAACTATGAAAACTAACTATATCAAATTGATTAGATGAGCACTGGAATTTTTGCAGTATTGGGCCATTATTTTTTTATTTGTTGGATCACAGCTTTTTTGTCAGTCAGAAATCAGAGGAGGGAATAATTATGTGTTTTTTGAAAGGTGACATCATACATGTTGATTACGTCGGGCGCTGATGGCAGGGGACATAACTCTATATTTTCTATACAAGGTCTACACTACAACTCATCAACTAAACAATGCAATTTTGGCAAAATATTTAGGCCAAAGTGAGCATCATACGTTTTTTATTATGTTTTTCATGCACTGAGTAATCACAAAATAATTTTGCAAGTGTGACAAGTTGCAAAACAAAAAACAACCTAAATGTAAATTTGGATTATTCATTTACCCATTTTTTAATGGATCAGGTGGTCAGACAGTGACTCGGTGACTTGGTTGAGTTACATCATACGTTGTGGCATGTTGCTAAAAATACTGATCACTGGATTATTTTGTGCAGACTTGATTATTTACAGCCGCCATCAGCTGGAATAAATTGCTGAGTGCTGCATCTAAACAACAAACAAACCCTTGACCTGAAATTATACCTTGTCTACCCAGACTCTGCAAAATCGCCACTCTACTCTGGATGCTGTAACTGACCGTCTGACAGAGATCGTGGGGAACCTGAAGCGGACAGTGCCCCGAGTGACGAGTATGGTGGACCAGGCCTGGGATCATGCCCGGAGACTGGCCAGATATGCCGCAGAACTAGACAGGTGAGACACGGTGTAGTGAGAGGGCCACACCAAGTGGATTATTTGGTTTTACTTCTAATCCTTCTGGACATTTCCTTATGTGACTGGTGATTTGTTATAGGATGGGGTGTGGGTGGGTGTGTGGGTGTGGGTGGGTAGGTGGGTGTGTGTGTGTGTGTGTGGGTGTGGGGGGGTGGGGTGGGGGGTGGAGTGGAGGGGGGCCTTGGAACTGTATCATATTTTGCTTACACACTCTCACAATTTCTGTAACCTTTTTTTCCCTCTACCCCTCCCCCCACAATACATGAAACAATTTTTTATGACACCCCCACCCACATAATTAATCACCAGTTCCAAAATAATTTTCTAAGATATATTTTTTTATATTTAAAAAAAAAGATCTACATCATTTTTTCATACCCCACATATAGTTGTTATATATTTTTGGCGTTTACTCACTTTTTCATGACACCCCTTAATCTCAACACCCACACCCCACACCCCTATAATAAATGGCCAGTCCCTAACTGATATGGATAGGGAGTGCAACATGTCAGTGAGTAGGTGAGTTGGGTTTTACACCACTTTCAGCAATGTTCTAGTAATATCACAGAGGGAGACAACAGGATTGGGGTTCACACATTGTGCCCATGTGGGAATCGAAACAGGCCTTCAGCATGAAGAGTTTAACCACTTGGTTCCTCAACCACCAGTGAAAAATATAAAAGATCTGTTTAGATTGTACCAGGTGTTTCTTTTTTATATAGAATGACTTTGATGTATTCCAGTGGCAACTTTTCCAAATCGATTAAATCAGTTTTTAGATATTGTCGATTTTTGCAACTTCCCTTATGCCGAGAATGTATCTTGCTTTTCAATTTAATGCCAGCTAGTTTAGGCAGTTATGGTAAAATAGCTACCGTATTCAACGTAATAAGTGCCCCCCTCTAATAAGCACCCACGGCGATATTTGCTTATATATTGGCTAGTGAACAATCCCAATTACCACCCCTTCTGATTGATCAATGTACACTTATTTGTGTGTTATATGCACCCTTAATTATAGGCAATTAAATTCTGGAAAATATATCTGTCGTGTATAATATGCACAGACTTTTCTTTTGTATCATTTCAGGCTGTCAGCATAAACCATGAAATTTATGATCTTTCCACTGTTTTTTTTTTCTCACCAAAATTATATTCTAATAAGATTCCCCTATTTCTAATTTTGAGAGCGCCCTGGGCACTTATTACGTCGAATACGGTATATATAATATTACTGGTCAGAAAGTCTCACAACCAGGCTGAAAGTAATAATTGAGTAAATTCACTGATTATATTGTTGTTTATTTGTTTGCAGAATACTTGACAAAATTCTGAAAATATGTAAAAAAAATTATGTTTGTATATATTTATGAATAAATCTATTTTTATTTTTAGATTGTTTAACAAGACACGAGTGAGTGCGGAGGATGCCTTGAGGGCGGCGAAGGTGTACGAGAACATTGTGAAGGCCATTGAGACTGCAGAGGAGGCAGCCAAAGATGCCTTGAGCAAAGCAAGGGATGCCGTCAGACTAGTAGGTGTCAATAAATAGAAGTCACAACACCCTCCCACAGTCATATGAAATCTCTTGTTATGATCATGGGTTCGAATCAGGGTTCATCCAGATTATCGTTCTAGGTTTGTCAGCACCATAGTGGTAATGTCAAAGACTTTGTACATAATTGTTAATGGTGTTGGGAACAGTGTTGACAAAACAACTGCAGCATAATTTTGTTATTTTAGAAGATGCCCATCTGGAAGTTTCCCCAAATGCATTTTTGTGTGGATTTTATGTTCATGAAAACTACATTATTATCATTATAATGGAGTCACATGCATATTTTTCTATAGTCTGTTTTAGACTGCCATCATTGGACTTAAAATAGATCTGAACTTACTGTTTTCGTTTGGATTTTTCTCCTGTAATATTGTCGATAGGACTCCTTTTGAATTAAATACTTCAAACCACAGGTAGGTTATCGTTAGTTACTCGATGTTTCAATAGCAACAGTCTGAGAAATTTTCTAATTTTTTATAATATAGTTATAGTTATACCAAGGTTCCATCCGTCCGTCTGTCCATCCGTCCGCTGAAAACTTTGCCCGCACGATTTCTCTTAAACTATTCAGTGGATTCATCTCAAACTTAGTACATATAATCTGTGTCATATGGAGGGGTGCAGTCAAAAGAAAAAAATTGTTTTTATCAGTTTTCCATTTTTTATGAATTTTTCAAACCCTAACCCTATCCTAGCTATTTAATTATGAAACTACTGACACACTAGGTGGGTCGGGGGTATTAGTGAGCCACACTCACTTTTGCCCTTGTTTTTTAGCATTTTTCTAGCATTTCCGACAGTAGCTTAACATATAATTCTCCACCTAATATATGTCTTCTTCAGGCAAACTTGGACAGGATTCGCTATGATGTTGAGAAGTCCATTAACCGCAGTCGTGCTCTGAAGAAGCAGGCTGATGAGAAGAAGGATGGAGTTGACGTCCTTGATGCTGACCTGATCTTCCTCCAGAAGGATGTGGATGGGGTACAGAAGGTCCATGAGGACACTCGGAGAATGCTGGACATGTTGAAGAGAGACATGGCCAGGCTGCCCTCAGGTACAGAGCCATTGTCCAACCACTTCATACAACAAATCTATATACCGTATTCGACGTAATAAGCGCCCACGGCGATATTTGCTAATATATTGGCTAGTAAACAATCCCAATCAGCACCCCTTCCGATTGATCAATGTACACAGGACGTATTTATTCGTGTGTAATACGCACTCGTGTGTTAATTATGGGCAATTAAATTCTTGAAAAATATATCTTTCGTATGTAAACATTTCAGGCTGTTGGCATAAACAACGAAATTTACAATCTTTCAACTCAAAATAATATTCTAATAAGCGCCCCCTATTTCTAATTTTGAGAGCGCCCTGGGCGCTTATTACGTTGAATACGGTACTCCAGTGCAATTTGCAGAAATTGTCAGCAAGTAGAACCTGTACAATCTTTATCGGTGACCTATCTCATTTGAATTTGGAATTTCCTGCTTTTGATTTTATGGAAGTTACATCATTTGTCAAATTGGAGAAGTTAAGTTTGTGAAGTAAGCAAACATTTTTACTCAATCAAACTGATAAGTCCATCTGAACTGCATATCTACAGTTGTTATTGTTTGCAAAGTAGTTTGTTCGAATGTAGGGCTGCTCTCATTAATATCAGGTGCATATTAGGCCAGGGGTCAATACTTACATAAATTTGGTCACTCATTATTTTCATGATTTGCAGTATTATGACCAATGGCATTGGAAACAAATTCAAAAAGTCACATTTTGTAAGTTGATTGCCTCACTGTAGGTTTTCGTGACCAGCTGGGCAGGCTGACCCAGACTGTGGACGATGCAAAACGCAAGGCCGGTCGTACCAACAGGAAGGTGGACAAACTCTTGGACAAGATGAAGAAACTTCGTCCCAAGATGGAGGATCTCCAGAATCAGAACACCCAGTTCCTCATTCAGCAAGCTTCAAATCAACGTAAGTGGCAAGGAATCCTCTTCTTGTAAACCTGCACAAGTCATGGTTTGTTCATCCCAGACCTGACCATGCCAGATTGTGATGATGTAGATGTGACACTGCTGACTACATCATAGTTTTCTGTGGGCACAGGTGGCCCAGTGGTCTGTGTCTCCAAATTAACTGATAATGTCTCCAGGTTCCTCAGTACCATACCCATGCTCGTGGGTTTCACCAAAGTGGTAAACATCTAACACCTGCATCACTACAGGCTTTACTCGGGGCGGACGGGTAGCCTAGTGGTTAAAGCATTCACTCGTCACGCTGAAGACCTGGGTTCAATTCCCCACATGGGTATAATGTGTGAAGCCTATTTCTGGTGTCCCCTGCCGTGATATTGCTGGAATATTGCTAAAAGCGGCATAAAACCTCACTCACTCACTCACTCACTCACTCACTCACTCACTCACTCACTCACTCACTCACTCACTCACTCACTCACTCACTCACTCACTCACTCACTCACTCACTCACTCACTCACTCACTCACTTCCTGGAGTTCATCCTTTCACTTTACGTGACAGGATCCACAGGTCATGAGTGTGATCATCACGGAACAATGTGTGAAGCATATATCTGGTGTCCTCAGCCAATGTCAATCACTTATGAGTTTGAATCCAAGATTACCATCCTTGGTTTATCAGTTCCATGCATACCAGGTCCTGTGCTTGTTGTGAACATCTACAACCTCCAAATTTGTCTTGTGATACTGTACAAAATAGCTTCAAACATCATGCCCCATCTCCAGAGTACATGAAATGTATCTAGTCCCTTGTGGGGCACAGTTGGCCCAATCGTCTAAGGCGACGCTGTGCAGAGTTGTGTCTCTTGGGCGCGCCAGAAACCTATGATTTGCCCCGATTATGTTTCTAGGTTTGTAGCACGATACCCGTGCTCGTGGGTTTCACCGAAGTAGTAAACGTCTGAGACCTGTATCACTTCGGGCTTTCCTCCCACATTAAGCTGACATGCCATGATATACGGTATTCGACGTAATCAGCGCCCCGCTCTAATAAGCGCCCACGGCGATATTTGCTAATATATTGGCAAGTGAACAATCCCAATTAGCACACCTTCCGATTGATCAATGTACACAAGACTTATTTATTCGTGTATAATACGCACTCGTGTGTTATATGCACCCTTAATTATGGGCAATTAAATTCTGGAAAAATATATCTGTCGTATATAAACAGTCAGGCCGTCAGTATAAACCACGAAGTTTATCATTCAACTCTGTTTTTTCCACCAAAATAATATTCTAATAAGAGCCCCCCTATTTCTAATTTTGAGAGCGCCCTGGGCGCTTATTACGTCAAATACGGTAACTGGAATACTGTTAAAAGCCGCGTTAAACCCATCTCACTCACTCTAGTCCCTAGTGTGATGACCCTGATTTGTTTCAGTGGAAAAGGCTCGGGAGAACAAGAACAAGATACTGGGCATCATGGGTAATGTGCAGCAGCAAGCGATACAGTCCCAGATGCTGCAGAACAACGTCTCCCGCAACATCCTGCTGCTTCAGGAGCGGATCAGGCTGGCCAGGGAGCTCGCCAACAACGTGAGTGGATACAGCTGTGATGTCTTGTGGGAGAGGGGAGAGCCCCAGTTTGATAAGGGGCTTTTGGGTAGCCTGGTGTGTAAGCATTGGCTCGTCAACATGACTGCCGGGATTTGATTCCACACATTTATAATAATAATAATTATTCCATTTATAATGTATCATTCCGCTCAAGTGAAAACTCATGGTGCTACATTATCATTACCCTGGTCAGTGGATCAGTCTGCTGTCTTGATTTTCAAGGGACAGTGTGTGGGTACATGCATGTTGTGATATGGCCTAAAAATTCTACTCACTCTTTGAAGAGCCCGATATAACAGGGATGCTTTAAAAATGAAGAGGAATTGATTGCTGATGCAGCATTAAGTTTTTGAACTCATGCAGTGCTTATACTTGTCAGTGATATGACATGTACATCTTTCATACCCCTGGGAAATTTTGTTGACACAATGATATGTCATGTCACGTCTAAGGTCATCCTCAAGGTCATAGTCTGTGAAAAGGTTTGCTTAACTCCTTACTCAAGAATTATTTGCTGTCAATCAATGAAACGTACTATGAATGACCTATTAAGTCAGGTTTAAGTCTTTTGATGGATACCCATTGTGCAGATAAGGGGAAGCTTGCAAAATGTTTATGCCATGTTGGATGTGTTGATGCAAACCTGTGGACCACAACTGATGAAAGTGATCTGATTGCCCTGCAGATGAAGCTTTCTATGAAGGGAGATGGGCGCTGTGTTCGATCGTACCGTTCCATCAGTCAGCCTGGTGCCACCAATGACATCAGCTTCGGCTTCAAGCTGAACAAGACTCAGGACAGCATGCTTCTTGTCCTGATACAGAAGTCACGACAGGTAGGCACGGACACTATTGAAATCATCTGAAGTAAGATATTTCCAGATTGATACTCAACTTTGAAAGAGTATCACACTCTCACCGCTAGCCGACCCCCTTGTCTAGACTAACATCTAGTCTCTGAGGAGTGGAAGGGTACCTTAATGGTTAAAGTGTTCGCTCGTCACGCCGAAGACCAAGGTTCGATTCCCCACATGGTGAAGCCCATTTCTGGTGTCCCCCACTTTCATATTGCTGGAATATTGCTAAATGTGGAGTAAAACCATACTCACTCACTCACTCACTCTAGTCTCTGAAATGAACATATTTTACAAAAAAAACCAGTTAAATTATCCTAAAAATATATGAAAAGGAGCCCAGAGATTCTCTTCATTTTCAGCTATTGATACTGCAGTACACTAGACTTGGCAAACATTATAGACTTGCATGGGCTGTATTGGATATATTTGTATCAGGGTCTGTATAACAGACTACCCCTTGTCATGTCTCCATGTATTCTAGGAGTTCCTGGCATTGGAGCTAATCAACAACAGGATCCGGTTCACATGGGACAATGGTGGAGGTCAAGGATCAGTGACCCATGACGTGGAGGTCAAGCTGACCCCGGCTGACACACCCGAGGGAGACAAGTGGTACAGAGTAATTGCACAAAGGTAAAAACATCTCACAGTAAAACATTCTTCAGTTTTAGTTTTATGTTGTCTGTAACCGTTAAACATCCAGCTCATATTCTTATATATATATATATATATATATATATATATATATATATATATATATATATACGTCTTTGGTCTGTATTAGCTGGCATAAACGTTCAGCTGAAAACAATAAGGGGACATAGTTGCCCTAGTGATCTTAGCCACAACAGAGTTGCTTATCTTTATCCTGCAGGATCCTGTGAATGTCAGTTGCAATGTTAGGATCATCCTGATTATGAACCTTGGTTTGTCGGTACCTTCCCAAGGCTCTTGGGGTTCACCAAAGAGGCATTAAATCTGCCTCAGTTGCTCACAGAAAGCAATAACATTATTAAATATAATATGTCTTAGCAGCATCTGTTGTCTATTTGATGATAGTTAGCTTAAAGTTAGATATTGAGAGCAATAGACCCCCAAACAGTGATTTGTTTACTCTTGAGAAAACTCTTTGTGGGTTCAAATCACGTGTATGACTCCACTAAAAAATGTACTAAAATTTGTACTTTACTTAGAAAGTTCAATCCCAACTATAACATATGTTGTATCCTCTGTGTATTAATGGTATTCTGTGGTGCTGCTAGGATCGGGCGTATTGGGCTGCTGAAGGTGTATCATGTGAAGGACTCCGAGACCACCGCCAAGGAGGCCAGTGGGACTTCCCCAGTGGGACACTCCGTTCTCAAACTGGATCTCGAGTCAGACGTTTTCTTCGGGGGAGTTGATGCCCAATTTGATGTAAGTACCCTCAATAAGAACAGAAACTATATCCTAATTATTTTACTTATCAACCTGTTCTTAATTTTGAAAGTTTAATTTGGGAATATTTTACCGACAAGACAAGGAATATGTATCACCTTGTGAATCTATGGTGTCTAAAGCCTGACCAACTGTATAGCTCCATGAAGATCTGGGTTGGAATTGGCCTTCAGCAACCCATGTTTCGTCGTAAGAGGGACTAACGAAATCGGGTGGTGAAGCTTACTGACTTTGTTGATGCATGTCACCGTATCTCATTTGCATAGTTTGATGTTCATGATGTCATTGGCTGTACAAACAAAACCAGCTGTATAACATATATGATAGAAGAAGAAAAAATATATTTTTCGATGGAAATTTATTTATAAAATCTAAATTACATATTACAGTAATGAGAATGTCATAATTCAGACAATGAACATATTTTTACAGACACCTCCAGGCATAAGCCGAAGGAATATGACTGGATGTATCGGAGATATGAAAGTTGACAGGAAAGCTGTGGGCATGTACAACTTCAAGAACACGTCAGCCTCATGCCTCCCTTGCAATGAAGTGTAGGTTAACCCTGCCAGGGTGTATAATACATATATCAGTTTATGGTGTGAATATACACTGTGTAGAGTAGGTTAAACCTGCCAGGGTGTAAATTACATATATGTGTGTATGGTGTGAATATACACTATGTAGAGTAGGTTAAACCTGCCAGGGTGTAAATTACATATATGTGTGTATGGTGTGAATATACACTATGTAGAGTAGGTTAAACCTGCCAGGGTGTAAATTACATATAGATGTATGGTGTGAATATACACTATGTAGAGTAGGTTAAACCTGCCAGGGTGTAAAATACATATATCAGTGTATGGTGTGAATATACACTATGTAGAGTAGGTTAACTCTGCCAGGGTGTAAATTACATATATCAGTGTATGGTGTGAATATACACTATGTAGAGTAGGTTAACTCTGCCAGGGTGTAAATTACATATATCAGTGTATGGTGTGAATATACACCATGTAGAGTAGGTTAACTCTGCCAGGGTGTAAAATACATATATCAGTGTATGGTGTGAATATACACTATGTAGAGTAGGTTAACTCTGCCAGGGTGTAAAATACATATATCAGTGTATGGTGTGAATATACACTATGTAGAGTAGGTTAACTCTGCCAGGGTGTAAATTACATATATGTGTGTATGGTGTGAATATACACTATGTAGAGTAGGTTAACCCTGCCAGGGTGTAAAATACAAGTCAGTGTATGGTGTGAATATACACTATGTAGAGTAGGTTAAACCTGCCAGGGTGTAAATTACATATATGTGTGTATGGTGTGAATATACACTATGTAGAGTAGGTTAAACCTGCCAGGGTGTAAATTACATATATCAGTGTATGGTGTGAATATACACTATGTAGAGTAGGTTAAACCTGCCAGGGTGTAAATTACATATATGTGTGTATGGTGTGAATATACACTATGTAGAGTAGGTTAAACCTGCCAGGGTGTAAATTACATATATGTGTGTATGGTGTGAATATACACTATGTAGAGAAGGTTAAACCTGCCAGGGTGTAAATTACATATATCAGTGTATGGTGTGAATATACACTATGTAGAGTAGGTTAAACCTGCCAGGGTGTAAAATACAAGTCAGTGTATGGTGTGAATATACACTATGTAGAGTAGGTTAAACCTGCCAGGGTGTAAATTACATATATGTGTGTATGGTGTGAATATACACTATGTAGAGTAGGTTAAACCTGCCAGGGTGTAAATTACATATATGTGTGTATGGTGTGAATATACACTATGTAGAGTAGGTTAAACCTGCCAGGGTGTAAATTACATATATGTGTGTATGGTGTGAATATACACTATGTAGAGAAGGTTAAACCTGCCAGGGTGTAAATTACATATATGTGTGTATGGTGTGAATATACACTATGTAGAGTAGGTTAAACCTGCCAGGGTGTAAATTACATATATCAGTGTATGGTGTGAATATACACTATGTAGAGTAGGTTAAACCTGCCAGGGTGTAAATTACATATATGTGTGTATGGTGTGAATATACACTATGTAGAGTAGGTTAACTCTGCCAGGGTGTAAATTACGTATAGATGTATGGTGTGAATATACACTATGTAGAGTAGGTTAAACCTGCCAGGGTGTAAATTACATATATGTGTGTATGGTGTGAATATACACTATGTAGAGTAGGTTAAACCTGCCAGGGTGTAAATTACATATAGATGTATGGTGTGAATATACACTATGTAGAGTAGGTTAAACCTGCCAGGGTGTAAAATACATATATCAGTGTATGGTGTGAATATACACTATGTAGAGAAGTTTAACTATGCCAGGGTGTAAAATACATAGCAGTGTATGGTGTGAATATACACTGTGTAGAGTAGAATAGTCCATAGGTAATGTGTATGGTATGAGTTCATAGCATAAAGGGAAAATCAGGATTGCAGAAGTTTAGGTGTGTAAAGTGTTACAGTGTATATTTATGCCTTTAAACTTGGCAGGATAGTAAGAGGTTACATAGGCTCTTCACACAGGACTGTATGTAGACTTACAACATTTAGATAGGAGAACAAGGAGACATGAAGCGTTTCTGGATAGCAACTTCTTTGTTCTTTATCACATCATTTCAGGGCTACTTCTCGTCCTTTCATCATGTGATGAAGGACAAGACACAAACAATGAAGAAGTTGCTATCCATGAACGTTTCATGTCTTCCTGTAGCCTTAGCTTATAAAGACAAGAAGAAGATACAGTTACAAATGAAAGCATTTAAAGACATAAAATATTGCGTTTCCTTTGTCAAGCCATTTCTAAGATATAGCCATGTTTTCTAATTGCCAGACCTACCCGGCCTATCAGCACCAATGAGTACCACTTTGATGGCACAGGATACGTGGAGAAGGACCGTGATTCCTACCGCAGTGACAGAATCAATGTGGCATTTTCCTTTAAAACCTACTGGGAAAATGCCATGTTGCACTTCTCAGGAAACCCTGATATGGTAAGGGACAATGTATTTGACATTTCAAGACAAATATGCACTGTAAAGTTGAGTTTGGTTGGGTATCTGTGCCCCATTCTTGATAAACCTTGCCTTTTTGGTTGCAAATACTGCTTTTCTGAAGGTTTTTAGCTGAAAAGCTAGCAGAGGTCACATGAATATCTGTTGTCAGTAAGTCTTTGGTCCTATTGAAAGAGAAAGACCTTCCGGTGGTGGTGTGTGACACTGACGTTACACCTCTAGAGACCGTATCATGATATTAACATAGTTTTTAGATTTATTTGGACTTTACCCACTTTCAAATGAGGCCTTCTCAGGATGCATGTGTCTCAGTATATGATGACACAGTCTTAGTGTGTTTACTTTTACTTCCTCTGTTACTAAATATATCAACCACTGGTTTGTCTGGTCCAGAATGGATTATTTACACTCTGCCATGACATAGCTGAAATATTGCTGAGTGCAGTGTTAAACAGTGCGTAGTTTCCCTTTCCTGATATGATGCTATGTTTTGACAGGGTGACTTCATGTCCATTGAGCTGCGCGACGGCAAGGTGATGTTCCAGTTCTACAATGGGGGCATGAGTCTGGGCAAAGGCATGACCAAGAATAAGTACAACAATAACAAGTGGACTAAAGTGGGAATAGAACGCAATAAGCTACAAGGTAGAGGATGGTGACAAAATCTAAGGTTGTTGGTGCTGCAATGACTGTAATGTTGTTGATGCTGCAATGACAATATTGTTGTTGGTGCTGCCAGTGACAATAATGTTGTTGATGCTGCAATTACAATAATGTTGTTGGTGCTGCAATTACAATAATGTTGTTGGTGCTGCAATTACAATAATGTTGTTGATGCTGCAATGACAATAATGTTGTTGATGCTGGCAATTGCAATAATGTTGTTGCTGCTGCCAGTGACAATAATGTTGTTGCTGCTGGCAATATTAATAATGTTGTTGGTGCTGCAATGAAAATAATGTTGTTGATGCTGGCAATTGCAAGAATGTTGTTGATGCTGGCAATGACAATAATGTTGTTGGTGCTGCCAGTGACAATAATGTTGTTGATGCTGCAATTACAATAATGTTGTTGATGCTGCAATGACAATAATGTTGTTGATGCTGGCAATTGCAATAATGTTGTTGATGCTGGCAATGACAATAATGTTGTTGGTGCTGCCAGTGACAATAATGTTGTTGATGCTGCAATTACAATAATGTTGTTGGTGCTGCAATGACAATAATGTTGTTGATGCTGGCAATTGCAATAATGTTGTTGATGCTGGCAATGACAATAATGTTGTTGATGCTGGCAATTGCAATAATGTTGTTGATGCTGCAATTACAATAATGTTGTTGGTGCTGCAATTACAATAATGTTGTTGGTGCTACAATTACAATAATGTTGTTGATGCTGCAATGACAATAATGTTGTTGATGCTGGCAATTGCAATAATGTTGTTGATGCTGCAATGACAATAATGTTGTTGCTGCTGGCAATATTAATAATGTTGTTGGTGCTGCAATGAAAATAATGTTGTTGATGCTGCAATAACAATAATGTTGTTGATGCTGGCAGTGACAATAATGTTGTTGCTGCTGGCAATATTAATAATGTTGTTGGTGCTGCAATGAAAATAATGTTGTTGATGCTGGCAATGACAATTATGTTGATGATGCTGGCAATTGCAATAATGTTGATGATGCTGGCAATGACAATAATGTTGTTGCCGCTGGCAATGACAATAATGTTGCTGCTGCTGGCAATGACAATAATGTTGCTGCTGCTGGCAATAAGAATAATGTTGTTGCCGCTGGCAATGACAATAATGTTGCTGCTGCTGGCAATAAGAATAATGTTAATGATGCTGGCAATGACAATAATGTTGTAGATGCTGGCAATAAAATATGCTAAGGACTACTAGGTGTGTTTAAAAAATTAAAAAATATGAAATTACAATTTCAAGTATTATTCAAGTATTATGAAGACATATCACCGTGAGTGTGTGATGTTATAGCACATTTACAGATACATAGACCCGATGAACAAAATGCTTCAAAATCCATATGTTTCTGAAAGGTATGCCTTCTGGATCCACATACGCAATGTAGTTGGTGTCTTATATTGAGTTGAGAACAACATTGACTGGTTTGGGTTTTATTTCACTCAAAAATCAAACTGTAACATGTCCATGTTTTCTTCCAGCATTGTTAAAGGTGGATGACGAACAAGTGTTCATTGAGGCCAAACGAGGCAACAACGGCCTTGACCTTAAAGGCTATCCATTCTTTTTTGGTGGCATTCCAGCAAGTCTTGACCTTTCCAAGTATCAGAAAATGTGAGTTACATTATTTGTAGTTCCATTGTACACTACATCGCTGCCTACGTAGCTCTAAGTGGCTGTCATCTGAATTTGCTAAATCATGTCACTTGTTGCAATTTCAAAAACTGTTGGGTTTCATCAGAATCTCTTCTCCTGTTTGGATTCATGAGCTGAATCCAAGGACCTGTTAGGATTCATGAGCTGTATCTAAGGACCTGTTGATTCATGAACTGAATCCAAATACCTGTTAGGATTCAAGAGCTGAATCATTTCACCTGTTGGGATTCATGAGCTGAATCTTGTTACATGTTGCTCATACTCTTGACCACTGATGTGTCTGGCCCAAGCTCAAACCTTCTCACAAATCCATAAAACTGTCATATTGCATACTACAACATGAACCTCACCCAGTCCCCCTTTTCACCACAGCACCACCTTCGAGACCAACAACTTCTTTGGCTGCATGCGTGACGTCGGGCTCGGCGGGTTCAGCACCACCATGCAGAACCTCTTCACTGGCAACTCCGTGGGGATGTCGGCGGGCTGCTCCAGCACTGTCAGTGCATCAGTAAAACTCACATCAACTGATTGATTGATAAATCATTAAAATATTTTCCTAAAATGACACAAACAGCCTGCAAACCCAATTCATATATATATTTCATAAAACATTTCTTGTAATATTTATTTGGCAGATGTATGAAGATAATGCAATGACGTCTGCAAATATTTTTTGTCTAATTTTCAGGGTATTCGTAAATCTGGTTTCCATGGTGAAGATGGCTTTGCGATGTTTAAGGCAGAAAGCATGCCTGATGAAGCAGATGTCTCAGTGTCCTTCATAACAAAACAGAGAGATGCCATGTTGCTTCTAGCAATGGATCATAATGATGTAAGCTACAGAGACACCTTGAGTCTTGATGATGTACTCAAGATAGGGTCTGGCACACCAGCAGATCAGATGTACACTATTACTATTTTTTGTTTATATTTAAATAGATGGTGGACACGTTTTTTTCACCATACTCTACAGCTGTCTAAATATGTTTGTCGTTAAATTACGCAGTCAGCAATTTTCCAGCTATATGTTGCGGTCTGTAAATGATCAAGTCTCCACTGACTGACATGAGCACTGATTCACGCGATTGGGATACGATAACATGCAATCAGCGAAGTCACCAAGCCTGACCACCCGATCCATTTGGTCACCTCTTATGACAAGCATAGATAGCTGGGGGCCTGTATTCTTACCCAGAATCCCCATGGCTCCGGTATGTTGTCTCTATGGTGATAATGTATACTCCACTTGATTGGCTATGTGTCAGAAAGAATATGAGGCATCATAGCCAGTAGTATGAGGTGCAGGAACAGCTGGAAGTATCTTCATCGTGTCAGTGTTGAAGTAGGGGATGTGACAGAAGTATGCTTTGTTTTGCAGAATTTCTACTCTCTCTCTCTCTACAATGGCCAAATTGAGGGCAGGTTTGCCGCTGGGGGGCGACCTATTGTTCTTCAGTCAGCTGACACATACAATGATGAAAAGTTGCACAATATTGCTGTCGTCAAGTCTGGCAGAACGTGAGTCAACTCAGTTATTCAAATAATTTGTGTTTACATTATAGAACTGCATTCTTTCAACTCACTAGTCAACAACAGTCAAAAATGCGAAGTCAGCACAATTATGCAATCCAAGCCCCGCCCACTCTTTCATGAGCCAATCAGGAAACAGTAATCTGCAAGGCGTGGCCGCAGGTCTTTTTTGGTTTATTGGAACATAAATGAAAAAATAATGAATTGAATAACTGGCCAAATACCATGGAATCACTTGCTGTTTATTTTATTAGATAGAGACATGTTTCATGCAAATACTGTCTTATGAACCACACTCTTGCACATACAAGTTTCAAACTTTCCAACTTCGTTTAAAATGTTTGATTGTTTGTTTTCTTAGATTGACAATGATAGTTGATGACAAGAGAGTTGCTGAGGAGAGCCTTCCTATCGGGATAAACACCATCCCGATTGACCCTGACAAGGGTCGCATGTTCCTGGGAGGGCTCCCTGGGGGGTTCGATGCCAGCAACATGGTCGCCTCCAGGGAGTCCCTGGACGGCTGCATCAGCGACATCATCGTCAATGGAAAGTAGGTGGTTGAAGACTAAATGTTATATCATATCATCCTGTGGCCAGTCGTGTATTTGGGATGACTTGTAATATTTGAAGTGGTCTACTAATCTGTCAATAAGAGATAATAACGTATCAAGAAATTATTGATTATCCATCTGGAAAAGAGGTCATATGTTGCTGTACTGGGTGAATTAATTGTGTTATTTAAGGGACAGATAGTCCATCATTGTGTATTATTAGAAAGGAAAATATTTACATACTGTCCAACTTTTAAAATGGATTAAGTGCTAAGGATACCAACTTTATGTGTGCTTGAACTTTTTATGATACTATTTGTGTGACAACATCTCCAAGCAATCTGTCATATTCACTTGGACACAGATGTGGAGACATCACATTAAGTTGTGGTTAACAAAGAAATGAAAATATCTTCAAACATCCACATCATGAGCCTCGTGTCAACATTTCGCCTACGCTCCCTAGTTTTACAGGTGTAATACATTTCATATAAAATAAGGATACAAGAAATACCTGTAATAAATAGGGGATTTATCAGACATTGTGTGTACAAAGTTCATGAAGGATTTACATGTATATGTTTTGTTTCGCAGGCTGATTAACCTAAATCTTCCAGTTGAATACAAGAGAGCTGATATTGGACGATGTCCATATGATCTGAACAACTTGTTCAGCTTTGCAAACAACCACAACAACAACAACAACAACAACAACAGTCTGAATGGCTTGAATACACCCAGCTTCCCTGAAACCGCAGCCTCACGTGTACTCGGACCCCCTCCACCTTCTCCGCAGTCTGGGAGTAAAACAGAAAGTACTACTACTACCACCACTACCACTACCACTACCTCTACCACTACCACAACAACAACCCCAACAACAACAGAAAACTCAGCTACAGCATCAACGACAGAACCACCAGAATCCTGTGGCCGCGAGGAACCACAATCATTTGAGGAAGCCGCTTTTGTGTTTGGAAACAGTGAAAACAGTTTTGCCGAAATTAAGTTCAGGAGGAAAGAAGTAGTCAAGACGTAAGTATCGGTTGTTATTGAGATTGTCAATTTTTACATAAAACATTTCATTATTGCCTCAGTATCTGGTGTCAAGCTAGCTCAGCAGTTTGTGTGGTTCCTGGGTTTGAATCCAGACAGTTTATTGTTGGTGTACTTTTTTTAACATATGGTTTCAAAATTGTAAGTTGTGAAAATTCACTCTTTCAATCTTTGCAACTTGATCTTTTCTTCCTCTGAATCATGTTGAATCAATAAATATAGTTAGTTAGTATGCTTTTACACCACTTTTAGGCTTGACACTTATTACACAGGGGCGGTCGGGTAGCCTAGTGGTTAAAGCGTTCGCTCGTCACGCCGAAGACCCGGGTTCGATTCCCGACATGGGTACAATGTGTGAAGCCCATTTCTGGTGTCCCCCGCCGTGATATTGCTGGAATATTGCTAAAAGCGGCGTAAAACCATACTAACTCACTAACTATTACACATGTGGGGAATAGAACCCGGGCCTTCAACATGACAAGCAAACACTTTGACCACTAGGCTACCCCATTGCCCAGCATTAATATAGTACTGCATCAGAGGCAATGCTTGCATCAGTAATAACAGCCCACCATAGCAACATTGTGTTGTCCTTTGAAGATTCAAATTTTATCAAATTATAAAGTCATTTAAAGTATAACTGCAAATGTTTTCAATTTTGTTTAACAACATAAAACTTTTAGCACAGCTAGTTTTTATCCATCAGAAAAATAATTACATGTATACATGAATGTTAATAATTCTTTTGCAATTGGTCTTTGTTTTGACCACCATAATATTGGTTTAAGTTTGCTAACTGTGACCCTTAGCACATGCCTATACAACTGCTGGCTGCTACCTAAGACCACACTCACCCCAATGCAGTTTCACTGAGCTATGCTTGAGGGTACTGATGGGTGGGTCCCATAAGCAGTAAGCAGTAAAATTTAGGGTACTTTTTCATTAAGCAGTAATTTTCTTCTTTTTCAATAAAATCGTCACGAAAATTCCTAAATCGGCAATGGCAGGACGTGGGACTTTTAATTCTACTTTCGTTTCATCCTGACAATTCATATTTTTAATACCGGGTAAATTCTCAAATCGCTAAACATTCTAGACTGGTCCCCTGCATCAGTTGCGCAGCCTGCTTTCTGTGGCGAAGCATTTGGGTCTTGAAGACAGACTGTTTTTGACCATTTTAATCATTTTACGATAATCAGTAAATTATATATTTACATTAAGCAGTTATTTTTTGGTATTTTACGATAAGCATTTACGATAAAAAAAGATGAATTTTACGTTTACGATAGTGTTTGAAGGGTGTTTTACGTTAAGCATTAAAACCCATCACCACCCTCATGCTTCTTATTAGATGTGTAAAAATGGATCCACTGATACAGCCAGTGAAAGACACAGATTACTCTTTGGTGTCAAGGTTGTTGGTTTTCCTCTCAGGATGATAACATTAGGAGACTTCTTTCACTGTAGGACCACAAAATTACTTGTTACGATGTCTTTTTCACTTTGTCAATATGGTTCTATTCTGACAAAAAGCAAGAAATATTGCAAAGAATCTTTGTTTCCTATTCGTAGAATTCTGCAATTTGTAAAATGTTTCATTCCGTACTTTCAGATTCAACATATCGTTTAGCTTCCGTTCATATTACGCTGATGGGTTGCTTTTCTTGCTGACCAACCAAGGCAATACCGACTACCTGGTGGTGCAGCTTCAGAATGGAGAAATAGTCTTGTCCTACCGCCACAAGGCAGACCAGCACAGCATCCGATCTGGCCGACGCCTCGGGGATGGAAAGTGGCATTCAGTAAGCACACAGCCATGCAGACAGCCATATTGAAAATACTGCTTTGATGTATCAGTAATTATTTGTTCAGAGTAAACCAGTTTAATTCCTTGTTTTACAGATTTTGATCTAAAACATATAGCTGAAGCACCCACCTCTTTATGGCTCATTTTTGTGTTTGGTTCGTTGTTGTTTTTGTTTTGTGGTGTGTGTTGTTGTTATTGTTGTTTGGGGGGGGGGGGGGGGGGGGGGGCAGGGGGAAGGGGGTTGTTTCAAGAGGGGTCTTTGCTGCAGTGGCATGAGGCAACAACATAGTCAAAATGTCAATGTAACTTCTTTTTAATTTGAAAGGTTTCCAGATTTTATTTCAGGGGCAAAATAGCTATAAAGTGACAGACAGTAATAAATATGATCAATCATCAGATTGTTTATACATTTTCTACATTTTTCTTTGAAATTCAGAAATAGTGTTAAAAGTTTATGGTGTTTATGATTTATGTAGTTCTAGCTAGACATACAAGCTTGTCAGGATTGTTGCTGGTTTGTTTTGGAATCCTCTGACCTTTTTCTAAGAGGCACTATGCTGGATTGTGGACTGCCCATACCCAGTCGAGGCATTGTAATCTAGGGCAGGTACGAGTCCAAATTTACTACCCGGGTACCCACCCACCTATTACCCGACCCACCCAGGTAACTGATGTAGGTCTCAAGAGATAGGTACAAAATGTCCGAGTTTGACTGTAGCCCTGGACAAAATGTATTTAGATACATGTATAAAACGATCTGGTCATGCATACACTGAAGTTGACTGAAGTTTTATCTTTATTCGCACATATAAAGGTCTGGGTGCATAGTCAGAAAGAAATGCCAACATTAATGACTTGTGGTGTAACGATATAGTTCAAGATCATTTTTGTCATAAAACAGTATATCACATGACCAACCACGGTTCTGGGTAGTTCTGTGGGTACCCTTGTCCTTCTCAGTACCCACGCGACCCGAGTACCCGAGTTACCCATCCCAGCCCTATTGTAATCAGTGGGAAACTGGGACATTGCCTCTGTGTCATTGTTGTTATTATTAACTACCAGATTGGTAGACATAATGAAATTTTAATAGTCAGACAATATTGTGTTAAAATGATTGGAATCAAACATGCTCGGGCTGCCATTTTGCTCGTACCTAGTTTCCCATTACAACTTACCATGGATTATACTCTGCAACTAACAGTAGTATGATATATGGCAAGGCACTGAAGGCAGTCATGTTCTGTTGACTATATTAGCAAGGAAGGCAGTGTATAATGAAATGGTTAGGGAACTCCAGGATTAGTTTCATTGTTCATGCCTTGCAGGTGGATAGTTTTGAGATCGAAGATCCATTTTAGTTCAATGGATTGGCATCTGGCTATGCTCTGTTCTGACTCGGAGTCTGATTTAAACTGTTGTATTATCTGGTATTGCAGACATCTAGTTATATGAGGTAGGCAGAAAGAATATGTACGAGAAAAGTTTTAATACTGAAAAGAAGCTGAAACAGGATGAGTATAAGGTCTTTATCAAGCTTGTCAGGCTGCAGCAAATAAATGGGCATCAATGAGTGACTATGGTTTTACCCCACTTTTAGCAATATTCCAGCAATATCATCAGAATTGGGCTTCATACATGTGCCCATGTGGGGAATTGAACCCGGGGCTTCAGTGTGATGAGCAAACACTTTAGCCACTAGGCTACCCCCCCCCCCCAAATGGGCATCAAACTGGCGGTTATATCTCCCTTTGAAGGTGAGCTACATAGCCTCATCGTACTGTTTCATGTTATTGCAGGTGGTTGTTCACAAAGGCAGCCGAAACATCCACCTGAAGGTGGAGAACGAGAATCGCATCAAGGAGCCTATTGCCCGGAGACTGGACATTGCTGCACCCATGTATGTTGGGGGGCTGCCCGACACGTACCCCAGCTCTGTGGAGAACTTTGTAAGTCACAGAGTGTCACATAGCAGTGTGTTCTCACTACTTACCCATTACTCACTACCTGTGTGTGGTCTACTATTATTTAACATTCGTATGAACTAAGTTGATTTTTCCTGCATCACTTTAAGCTTGATAACTATAAACACATGTTCTTTCTGCACCAATATGGATTTGACACAAGTATTATTTCTGCATCAGTATGGACTTGACACAAGTATTCTTTCTGCACCAATATGGACTTGACACAAGTATTCTTTCTTTCTGGATCAGTATGGGCTGACACAAGTATTATTTCTGCATCAATATGTACTTGACACAAGTATTCTTTCTGCATCAATATGGACTTGACACAAGTATTCTTTCTCGATCAGTATGGGCTGACACAAGTATTCTTTCTGCATCAGTATGGGCTGACACAAGTGTTATTTCTGCATCAATATGGACTTGACACAAGTATTCTTTCTCGATCAGTATGGGCTGACACAAGTGTTATTTCTGCATCAATATGGACTTGACACAAGTATTCTTTCTGCATCAGTATGGGCTGACACAAGTGTTATTTCTGCACCAATATGGACTTGACACAAGTATTCTTTCTGCACCAATATGGACTTGACACAAGTATTCTTTCTGCATCAATATGGACTTGACACAAGTATTCTTTCTGCATCAGTATGGGCTGACAGAAGTGTTATTTCTGGATCAGTATGGACTTGACACAAGTATTCTTTCTGCATCAGTATGGGCTGACACAAGTGTTATTTCTGCATCAATATGGACTTGACACAAGTATTCTTTCTCGATCAGTATGGGCTGACACAAGTGTTATTTCTGCATCAATATGGACTTGACACAAGTATTCTTTCTGCATCAGTATGGGCTGACACAAGCATTATTTCTGCACCAATATGGACTTGACACAAGTATTCTTTCTGCATCAATATGGACTTGACACAAGTATTCTTTCTGCATCAATATGGACTTGACACAAGTATTCTTTCTGCATCAATATGGACTTGACACAAGTATTCTTTCTGCATCAATATGGACTTGACACAAGTATTCTTTCTGCACCAATATGGGTTGACACAAGTATTCTTTCTGCATCAATATGGACTTGACACAAGTATTCTTTCTGCATCAATATGGACTTGACACAAGTATTCTTTCTGCATCAATATGGACTTGACACAAGTATTCTTTCTGCACCAATATGGACTTGACACAAGTATTATTGCTGCATCAATATGGACTTGACACAAGTATTCTTTCTGCATCATTATGGACTTGACACAAGTATTCTTTCTGTATCAATATGGACTTGACACAAGTATTCTTTCTGCATCAATATGGACTTGACACAAGTATTCTTTCTGCATCAATATGGACTTGACACAAGTATTCTTTCTGCATCAATATGGACTTGACACAAGTATTCTTTCTGTATCAATATGGACTTGACACAAGTATTTTTTCTGCATCAATATGGACTTGACACAAGTATTCTTTCTGGATCAGTATGGACTTGACACAAGTATTCTTTCTGCATCAGTATGGGCTTACACAAGTATTCTTTCTGCATCAATATGGACTTGAAACAAGTATTCTTTCTGCATCAATATGGACTTGACACAAGTATTCTTTCTGTATCAATATGGACTTGACACAAGTATTCTTTCTGCATCAATATGGACTTGACACAAGTATTCTTTCTGGATCAGTATGGACTTGACACAAGTATTCTTTCTGCATCAGTATGGGCTTCCACAAGTATTATTTCTGCATCAATATGGACTTGACACAAGTATTCTTTCTGCATCAATATGGACTTGACACAAGTATTCTTTCTGAATCAATATTGACTTGACACAAATATTCTTTCTGCATCAATATAGACTTGACACAAGTATCCTTTCTGCACCAATATGGACTTGACACAAGTATTCTTTCTGCATCAGTATGGGCTGACACAAGTATTCTTTCTGCATCAATATGGACTTGACACAAGTATTCTTTCTTGATCAGTATGGGCTAGCTGACACAAGTGTTATTTCTGCATCAATATGGACTTGACACAAGTTGTCTTTCTGGATCAGTATGGGCTGACACAAGTATCCTTTCTGCACCAATATGGACTTGACACAAGTGTTATTTCTGCATCAATATCACTGATACTCAAATGTTGTTCCTTCTTCATCAGGTACCACACAGTCTTCGTGGTTGTCTGCGGAAGTTCACCATCAATGGGGAAGTGATTGACATCGCTGATACAAAGGTAATCAGCGGAGTTGGGCCATGTAACAAGAATGTGGAGCCTGGAGCCTCCTTCCTAGGCAACTCCTGGGGAATTTACTGTGAGTATTCAGAACCCTCAAAGTATACTTAAAGTATTCACATGTTAAACAGTTAACACTCGATGAGACAAAACGAACATGCAAGCTTCTTTGATATGTACCTTGTCCATTATAACTACTTTGTTCTCTTTTACTTTGTTGTTATTTCTGGGCCAGATAGTAAAGAATGTCTTTTACCAGGTCCTCATTTCTGATAAGTGGCAACAAAACTACTGAACTGAATACTATGTTCTCAATAACACTTGTGAAAAATAAAAATTGCAGGGTTTTTTTTCAGTTTTTTTTTTTTTAATCTTCCTTTTTCTTATTTTTGTCCCCAAATATATTTAGATAGATAATTTCAGTCTACCTTCTTCAAGAAAGTCATAAAATGATGGTGATAAAAAGTAGGGGGAACTTTCACTGATCCTTGTTGTTGGATCACTATATGAGATATTTACATCTACATAAATGAAAATTGTAAATTCTCCACAACCAAAAATATTTACAAACTCTCTCCTAAAAAACACACACTTTTAGTTCTCATATCTAAGGAACAAGTAATGAAAATGGTGTGGGCATGCAAACTTGAAGTAGCTGTACAGATCAAGTGATGTGTTTATATGCTTGATGTTTGACGTATATGTTTGTTTGTTTGGTTTCATCTTCACACGTCAGTATAACTGAGACTTGGATCTTTATGCCATGATTCAGCATGTTAAGTCAACATTCAAACGTTTCATGTTTACCTTATTAAGAGGAAGAATGTTTGTTTTAGCCATTCCATCAGGACCCAATATTACTTGTAAGTTGTGTATTGTTTTCTTATTGTACACTGCGGTGGTAAAACATTTCTTGCTTCCTTTCAAATGCAGAACACATTACTCTCATTCATGTTTGGAAGGTTTAGGCAATAAACATGTCTACATTTACTCCTTAGCAAAAAGGGTCAAATTAGCTGTTGTCACAATTAATTGTTTCACACATTTGTTGTTTGCACCTAGCTCTTTCAGCTTGTCAGCATGTAGTTGAAGATACAGAGGGTGTGGTAGTTTGCTTGAACATTTTATTTTGTTTATGTTAAGTATTCACACTTAAGTTAAAAAGTATTAGAAATAACTATGTTTTGAAACAAAAAAAAAAATTATTTCTTTTAGTTGTGATGTAAATTAAATATGGAGTTATATCTATAAGAATGTTATGTGTTTACTTGCTCTTTGATCTTTTCTACAATAGTTAGCATTTTTGCTTTGAATGTTTGCTCTGCTCTCTAGCCAACTATGCCTTTTGATAGACTACTTTATTTGTTTGTGCATGAAGCTCGTGTTTATTTCTATGTGAATCACTGATTGACTGACAGATAGTTCATGTAGTACTGGTTGTGGCGTATGTTTGGAATCAAGGCTTGAATTCTACCCACAGAATATGGTTTATTGGGAACATTTTGTCAACATATTACGATATAAGAATCTTAGCATTTCTTTCTCGATTTCATTTTCAGACAGTGCCGGTAATTTTAATCATGGATTAATAGCATGGTGACATAGTCATGACAACTGACCTTTCATTGGCATTCTGTTTATGATCGCTCGTCACGCTGTAGACCTGGGTTCGATTCCCGACATGGGTACAATGTGTGAAGCCCGCCGTGATATTGCTTGAATATTGCTAAAAGCGGCGTAAAACCATTCTGTTTATGATCATCAAAACCAATTGTGAAAAATAATATAGAAGAACATGGATATAACAAACTACAAGGGACAAGAGAAATCAGTTCATTATATCCGTTGTTCGTTATATATGTATTCGCTCAGAAACACCACCATCTTTGATAAAACAAAACACAATACACGTAATTGCAGCATTGACTTATATTAGCAGTGATCATTTCATAGCATTCAATGATAACATTTCATAACATTCATTTAAGTTTAACAAGGTTGATCCGTCACCACTGATTGTGTTGATTCGCTGCGATTGTGTTGATTCACTGCTGATTGCGTACAGCCAATTGTCAGTGACACTTGACACTGAGTGAGATTTCTTAGTTATACACGTCACTAATTAGTGGTAGATTGGCTTGTCGGTGATCAGACATCAGTTCGCTGTATCCGTTAGTTTGCTGTAGAGAGTTCGTTATATACGTAAATTTTATATGATAATATATAGGAGATCAATCAGGGATTTTGTAACAGTTCATTATATCCGTTTGTTCTCTATATCCGTGTTCATTATATCCATGTTCTACTGTAGGTTTTTTCATTACTTTTACTCCCCTCCGTCACACTCAAAGAAACAAGATTATTGTTGTTTTGTTGGGAATGGGTCAGTGAGTACTGATAAAAACTTTCAACATCTTTGTTTTCTGTGTTCGGAATATAAAACGTCAAGAACTCCTTGAGACTAGCTTACATTACACAATGAGGTGAGAAGAAAGGATGAATTGAGACATCAAGATTTAAAGAACTTAAGACAGAGATGTCAAATGAGTTGAGTTGTCATAAGTGTATGTTGAAGTCCTGGTCCTGGCCGCCAGTCTTGCTGTTTAACACAAGGCAAGTTGGTTGTCTGAACTGGTAAACTCTGTAATGGTGTTTGTAGGCCAGCTTACAGTGGGTACAATTTACAAGGTCCCCTCCCTCCCAGCACCTATTCTCTGGTTAAGAAACCGGGAAGCTGGGTCAATCTCAAAACAATGGGCATGTGGGATATTGTCCATTCCACATGACATACTGTGATGTACTCTAATGAAACCATGTTCAGTTACAACATTTGTTTATTCATATTTTTTATTGACTTTTACATCCATTTGCACATTCCATTGTTTCATCACTAAATTTAGCCCTGCACGATACACTAAAAACAATGAACATGACAACATTTGTTCATATATGTAACATTTAGATTGCCATTTGTTAAATAATATTTAGTGTGAGTAATGAAACTGAACTACAGCTCACTTGACACAATCAGTACAGTGCAGTATCTGTGAATGTTCACTCACTCTATACAGGGCCCTCTATACACATCCAGACTATAATGCCATGTTCATCCAGGCAGTACACTGCAGTATCTGTGAATGTTCCCTCACTCTATACAGGGCCCTCTATACACATCCAGACTATAACACCATGTTCATCCCGGCAGTACAGTGCAGTATCTGTGAATGTTCACTCACTCTATACAGGGCCCTCTATACACATCCAGACTATAACACCATGTTCATCCAGGCAGTACAGTGCAGTATCTGTGAATGTTCACTCACTCTATACAGGGCCCTCTATACACATCCAGACTATAACACCATATTCATCCCAGCAGTACAGTGCAGTATCTGTGAATGTTCGCTCACTCTATAAGGGCCCTCTATACACATCCAGACTATAACGCCATGTTCATCCAGGCAGTACAGTATCTGTGAATGTTCCCTCACTCTATATGGGGCCCTCTATACACATCCAGACTATAACACCATGTTCATCCCGGCAGTACAGTGCAGTATCTGTGAATGTTCGCTCACTCTATACAGGGCCCTCTATACACAGATTATAACGCCATGTTCTTCCCGGCAGTACAGTACAGTATCTGTGAATGTTCACTCACTCTATACAGGGCCCTCTATACACATCCACACTATAACGCCATGTTCATCCAGGCAGTACACTGCAGCATCTGTGAATGTTCACTCACTCTATACAGGGCCCTCTATACACATCCAGACTATAACGCCATGTTCATCCCGGCAGTACACTGCAGTATCTGTGAACAATCACTCACTCTATACAGGGCCCTCTATACACATCCAGTCTATAACACCATGTTCATCCCGGCAGTACAGTGCAGTATCTGTGAATGTTCGCTCACTCTATACAGGGCCCTCTATACACATCCAGACTATAACGCCATATTCATCCCAGCAGTACAGTGCAGTATCTGTGAACAATCACTCACTCTATACAGGGCCCTCTATACACATCCAGACTATAACACCATGTTCATCCCGGCAGTACAGTGCAGTATCTGTGAATGTTCACTCACTCTATACGGGGCCCTCTATACACATCCAGACTATATAATGCCATGTTCATCCAGGCAGTACAAATAATACTTTTAATCCATGGTGAGGTAAACCCCAGTTCACAAAGTTGAATGTTGCGATGTTTTTTTTAATTCCAGCACAAGCATTCCATATAGGAGAGTTCCTGAAGATCAGCCTGGAATTCCGAACCAACTCCGGAAATGGCACACTTGTCACAATTAGTAGCGAATCTGGGGACCTTGGTATGACCTTGGAGGTGTACAAAGGAATGGTAAATATTATGATTGTATGGACACGAAGTAATGAACTGGACGAGAACAAGACTCAGATTCAAGGTTGACTGTACATGAATGATATGATACATAAGGATAAAGAAATATAATAGTCTTGGTTCACAGGCACCGCCCACATCATCATAAAGTCAACTGCACGTTTCATTTTTAATTCCATTTCCTAATACTTAGTAACAATGCAATCCAATATAGCACACAGTAACTCCCCTTTACATGCGCACTGCTTTGCTGAGCATATCTTGTTATTGCCGTGGCGGCAATAGAAGTTTGTATGTTTGTTTATGTTGGGAGGCCCTTTCCCAGGTTCATTGTACACAACTGTTTATTTAGTTACATACTAGTTTGAACAAGCAACAACAAAAAAACACCACCCAACCGCACTATATTGTCAAAAGTCATTGCCTGAGAACCAATGTTTATATTTCTTGTAAGCATAACTTGATATATTTAGGAAACTAGGCCTTGTTATGTATTTAGTGATAAAATACTATACTTATCTGAGAAATATGTCAATATTTTAATTAAATAACACTCAAAGACAACTTTATATTCACTCTGCATTGATGACATATTTTGGGAGTCAAAGATCAGTAAGAAAATGCTTTGCTTTTCAAATAACATGTTAATCTCATTAACAAAGTAATCTAAAAGTTTGAATCAAATATTCTATCTATTATAAACTTGAAAACATGAACAAATATTTGATAGGCTTTTCAACTTATGCTCATAACGGAACCTTTATGAATTAAATAATTGACATTTCATTCAGTGGAAGTGCTTCCATTGATGATGTTGCTGATGGCAGCATGTATAGACCTTTCCAGGATTACTGCGGCAACTGCCATGATCTTAGACTAACATCTAGGCTCTGAAATGAACATATCCTACAGAAAAGAAATTATCTTAATAAAAATATAATAAAAAGGAGCCCAGAGACTCTCTTCATTTCAGCCTGAAACTGCAGTAATCTCGACTTGCCAAACATTATAGACTTGCATGGGCTGTATTTGATATGTTTGTATCAGGGTCTGTAAGACAGACTACCATGATCTGTGCAAGCTGCAATATTGATGACCCCCCGTATGTCTAATTTAAACACTCTTTCTCCAGGTTCAATTCACCATTAAGAACAATGACGACAAGTTCACAGCTTTCTCGCCAAATACAAAACAGTACATTCCCTGTGATCAGAAGTGGCACCGAGTGACAGCAGAGGTCATACGGAATGTCGTATCCATAGAAGTGGATGACTGGGGCAAGAGATTTGGGCCAAGCCTCGGCAGCCTCCGCACCACCCCGACAGACAGCCCCATGTTTATAGGGGGCATGCCAGGTGAGCTTCAACAGAAAACCAAAACACTTGAAAATATAAACATACCTGTTACATGCAGCATTGAATAACCATGGGCACTGATCTTCAGCAGTGTTCTGCCAAGGTACTGAACAAGTGGGAACAGGGGCCCTTCAGCATAAATACACGGGGTCATTTACAAAACTTATCGGCCACACTCTGAGATAAGATATAGGTTATTTGTCGCAGAGGGGGCACGGGCGGCCCAGTGGTCTAAGGTGCCGCAATCGCTGTGCAGAGTTACATCCCTTGGTCACGCCAGAAACCTATGATTGTGGGTTCGAATCCCAGTTCGCCTTGATTATGTTTCTAGGTTTGTCAGCACCATACCCATGCTCGTGGGTTTCACCGAAATGGTAAACGTCTGAGACATGCATCATTTCGGGCTTTCCTCCCACATTAAGCTGACACGCCGTGATATAACTGGAATAATTTCTGGCGTGCCCAAGGGACGCAACTCTTCACAGCGAATCACAGCGCCTTAGACGCCTGGGCCACCTGTGCCCCCCCTGAACAGTAAAGAATGGCATCCCATAGGTGTACTTGCACCAAATGCTTATGGTTTGAACAAGTTTGGGCTTTCCTCACACATTAATTTGACATGCCATGGTCTGATGGAGAAGTTGTTCAAAGCAGTGTAAAACCCAACTCACTTGATGTTAAGCCATATCAGCAGTGATATGTCTGAAATACTGTTAAAGCGACTAAAACCCGACTTACTCACTCCCTGAATGTTATCTTGGTGTTACAGAGAGTTTCCCCCAAGTCGCAGCCTCCACCCGAGAGGGTTTCAGTGGCTGCATGAGGAATGTCAACATTGATGGGAACGTGGTGGACTGGTACTCGCTGGTCGATAGCCGCAATATACGGAGAACTGCATGTCCAGCTGCATAAATCCTCATTCTAGAAAACATGCAAACTTTGGTAACATGTTAGTTTGACAAATTTTACAGTTAAAAAATAGATATGAAAGGATTATGAGTTTCATATTTACTCATTCATTCAAAATTTTAACCTTTTTAGTTGTTGCTATTTGTTAATACTAATTTTTGATAGAACTAATTTGATTTTATCTGAAGTGAAGTGTTTGTTTTTCAAAAGTGCTAAGTATACAATTGTTACAGAAGCATTTTTTCATGGGGGGTTCTGATGATATCACTTTTAACTGAGGATATTAGCATACAAATATATTTACATATCATGTCGTATATTTATCTAGTGATATGAAAATTGAAAGTCTTTATACAGAATGTGTTCTCATGTATCGCTTCATTGTGTAAATCATAACTTTCAATGCAGATTCCAGTGGTTTTTTTATTGATTCACCACCCATGCATTGAAATGTCTAATATTTCTGATGCATTGTGGGTTAGAGTGTTTTACCTTCAGACGTCCTTTGTTTTATACTTTTATACGTGTTCATATCATATTCAATATTCGCAATAAAACATCTTCATAACTTCCCACTATGCAAAACTTATAGAACTGGAACTGTAATACATGTCATTTTGCACTTTTGCCCAATTATAATAAATTCACCTTGTAATGAATGGAATACGACATGGAAAGAAGTTTTAATGAGACCATGTATGGTTTATTCTTTTTTAAATGGACCTGCTAAAATTCTGCAACAGTGAAGTTGGTATAGGCCGAAAATTTGAATATTTGAAATTATTTTCTTTGCCTTGATACAATGAGATACATGAAACCTAGACACATATCATGTTAAGGAGTCCTGTTCCACTCACATCCTGTAACAAATTACTGTGGTGATTACGTGGATATGGAAACCTTGATACCAACACAGAAACTAAGCATCTTGTGTCTGAATATACTGGTTGTCCTCTATCCATTTGAATATTTTAGTTGAAATTGACCTTTCTCTTGCCTTATTCATCTTGGTATAATAGCCTAAAACCCTATGAAATCAGAAATAACAAGGATGCGACTATACAAGATATTTCTACTTACAGTTCCAACTTTACTATAAGGAATGATACACCTAAGGTACAGTTTCTCTGTCAACAATGAAGTTATATATCATATATGTATTAGGCTTAACAAAATTAAAGAATTGCTCCACAGGCAATGGCTTTTGAAAATATAGTGTGGGCGGGTCTTTTCTTTTTTTGTTGTTGTTGTTTAAACAAGTATGTGACCAAATAAACAGTTGTGTACAATCAACCTGGGAAAGGGCCTCCCTACATAAATGTATTCCTTGATGAGTAAATAATGGAATACAGTATTTGACTACCATTGGACTTGGAATATTTAAGGATATTTTTTTTTAAATATAAATAAAATCGAAACTTTATGATGATGTGGTGCCTGAGAACCAATACTAATATTTATTTTAGCCTTAAGTATGCAAATTTACATTACACAGCATCAAGAATTTCATACTTTTGTACCCTTTTCTCTCAACACCAACAGGTGAAGAACTGTTACCACATTTAATCCTTTCAATGCTATGACTATTTGTCACGGAAGGCTTGCCAAGTGATGTACAGTGGATGTTAATGTGTGGAATGTACATTATGTTAGAAACTGTTTGTATTTATCTTCACTCACATGTTGTTCTCTCTCACGGGTCACGCCTTTTCGTGCTTTGCATGGAAAGTGGCTACAACTAATAAGTATTGTATTTATGATTTATGGAATTGTATATAGCACTGTATGCATGAATGTAGGTCACCATTCTATTAGGGCTGGGATGAGTCCAAATATACTACCCGAGTACCCGACCCCCTACTACCCGACCCTACCCAGGTTCCCGCTGTGGGGCTCAAGGTCGGTACAATATGTCAATTGAGGCACACCTATAAAACAATCTAATCATGCACTGAAGGTGACTGAAGCTTTATCAGAAGGAATACATGCATAGTCGGAGAGAAATGCGAACATAAGCGACTAGTAGTGTTGCCATGGAATTTTATTGTTATTTTCTTTAAACAATATATCATGCTACGTAACCACAGGTCTGGGTAGTCCTGTGGGTTCCTGGGTCCTAGTTAGGACCCACCCGACTTGAGTACCCGAGTTACCCATCCCAGCCCTACACTGTATCATAGCATATGCAGCCTGACCAGTAGCGACATAGGAGTGATTAATGAACAATGTAATGTACAACTAAAGTACATTGACAGTGTGAACAAATGTACAGTAATCTGTCAGATAACTAACATACTCTGTGTGTTGGATATTGTCAATGGCAGTTATTGATTACTGTAGGAAGGATCCTTGCTTAATCTCAGGGTGGTGATATAGCACTTCATATAAGGTGTTCATTGTTTAATGAAAGGGTGGGGATAACTTACTTCAAGGGTGGGATAACTTACTTCAAGGGTGGGGATAACTTACTTCAAAGATGATGCTTACCCAGTACTTACTTCAAAGTGCTATAACACACTTCAATGGTAGTGATGACTTACTTCAAGGGTGGTGATGACTGACTTACTTACTTCAAGGGTGGTGATGACTTACTTCTGGGGGTGATGACTTACTTCAAGGGTGGTGATGACTTACTTCAAGGGTGGTGATGACTTACTTCAAGAGTGATGACTTACTTCAAGGGGGTGATGATTTACTTCAAGAGTGGTGATGACTTACTTCAAGGGGGTGATTCCTTACTTAAAGGGTGGTGATGACTTACTTCAAGGGGGTGATGACTTACTTCAAAGGTGGTGATGACTTACTTCAAGGGTGGTGATGACTTACTTCAAGGGTGGTGACGACTTACTTCAAGGGTGGTGATGACGTACTTCAAGGGTGGTGATGACTCAGTTTTCTATAAAGAGGATTAGGGCCTCTTTCCATGTTAGGCAAGACATATCACCCCAGCAGTATGGAACCTGCATTCTACAAAACCAAGCAACCTCCAAGACGGTCTGGAATTGGTATCTGAAGAGGTGTAAGATAGATATTTTTGTACATTTTGTATTCCGACTGTACATTATATTATACAAAACATGCATAATTCACATAGATGCCTCATTGTAATTTTATGTGTCGGTTTCATGCAAAACATGTACATTTTCCATACAGGGAACTGATGATGGTTCATTTGCAGAAAATATATACTGGATACATTATTGTATTTCCAACAGGAACTCGTTCAATTTGGAATTTTTTTGTTGTGGGTAAAGATGAATAAATTATTTCATTAATTATAAGTATTTTGTAGTTTGGCAGTATCTACTGTGAACAAACACATACAGTGTTACAAATATGCACATGTTCCGACTTTGTAATTAATTAAAATCCATCCAAAGTAATTTTCTTTTTAAACATCAATTGTCAGAACAAAGACGTATATAGATATACATACATGTATACGTCTTTGGTCAGAAGTATATTATGTACAGTATGTATGGAGAAAAACTTTGGCTGAAAACCCCTCTTAAACATTTTATTCATGAATAAATAATGAAGATTCAATTTTTATATTTTTGACATTCAGTTATTCATTTGAACCAAAATCAGGTGTAGATGTTGTGTAGCAGGTGCCATATTTGATATTGGAACTTACTGTGTTGATTGTAAGATGCTCAACACATTGTGACTACAAGTGGGAATTGTCACAATTAATGTGTATTGTCATGATGAATGGTAGATGTGACAAAAACGTGTGTTGTGGCATCAAATGTTAGTTGTGACAGCTCATGTGACTTGTGACAATAGATGTGACTTGTGACAATAAGTGTGAATTGTGACATCAAATGTTAGTTGTGACAACACATGTGAATTGTGACAATAAGTGTGAATTGTGACCTCAATGTTAGTGGTGACAACATATGTTACTAGTGACCTCAATGTTAGTTGTGACAACTCATGTGAATTGTGACAATAAGTGTGAATTGTGACCTCAATGTTAGTTGTGACAACATATGTTACTAGTGACCTCAATGTTGGTGGTGACAACACATGTGAATTGTGACAATAGATGTGAATTGTGACAATAAGTAAATGTTGTGACCACAAATGTGAACTGTAGGGCATGCTGTATGTGTGTGATATAACCTTGACATAATAACGTAGGCTGATATCAACTGATATCCAGCATGTGCCTAAAGCCAGTGATTCGTTGGTGCTACGATGTTCAAATTCTGACTTGCTGATATTCTGTTGAAAGATTGGGAGACTTCATAGATCTAGACAGTTGCCAAGAGTTTATGATCTGTACCCAATGTCATTTTTTTCCAAACATGAGATTTCTGGAACTACCTATTATGGGCTTGCAAGATTTCCCTCTACAATGTTGAACAAAAGGTCCACAACACAATAATGGAGCAAATTTTCAACATCAGTACTTTCGATATTAATTTGTGAAACGCATCACGCTTGATATTTGATTTGTCATTTTTGTGTAGTAGATTTTATTTTTGGATCTTCATTTTGGAATTTTAAAAAAATATTTTAAACCTGTACAACTTGATTTTATTTATTTTGTAATGAACTATTATATCAATTGATCAGTAATTATTTAAATGATGGTATTTAAATTTTAAGCTCATCTCAGAATATTTGTAAATGAGTTCTTTATTTTACATCTTTTAAATAACAATGTGATAAATTTATAATGCATCTGTCATTGGATAAAGTTCAGTTTTAGTTAGACTGAAATATTGATTTATTCTGGTGTTTAAGATTTTCTTTAAAGCATCTTGTCGCATTAAAAAGACTGTGTTAGCCGATTCAATGCAATGTACTATGAAATGTTCCTCTTGTGCTGATATTATAGTCAGTGAAATCACTTGTTTCCGGATCTTCTTGCAGTAAGCATTTGTGTAACCCGACTCAGGCATAATGGAGATAGGATGTAGTTTATGTAAACTATGTTTATTTTAAAACTTATTAATAAATTACATTGTGAAAAAAAGGTATGTGCTTTGTTGTCCGTATGAACTCTTTGGGAACGTGTGTAACAACACGTTCAACCACCAAGGATGACTGATACAGGTGGAGTTGTCCAAGCTGCCAGAGTTTGCTGTGCAGAGTTACTTCCCTTAGCTGGGGCAGAATTCACTGATCATTGGTTTGGATTGCCGAGAGGATCATGTGACTGAGTAAGAGTGAGTGAGTGAGTGAGTTGGGTTTAACGCTGCTTTTAACAGTATTCCAGTTATATCACCGCGTGTCAGCTTAATGTGGGAGGAAAGCCCGAAGTGATGCAGGTCTCAGACGTTTACCACTTCATTGAAACCCACGAGCACAGGTATGGTGCTGACAAACCTAGAAACATAATCGGGGCGAACCGGGATTCGAACCCACAATCATAGGTTTCTGGCGTGTCCAAGGGACACAACTCTGCACAGCGAATAGCGGCGCCTTAGACGACTAGGCCACCTGAGCCCCCCGACTGAGTAAGAATGTATAGAGTAACCACCCACAAAATCTGACTCAATATCAAAATCTTCATGATAAAAAAACTAAACATATATGTACATTATTTTATTTTCAATTGATTGGAAATTTCATACAAAATTATGGACAAATGTGATCACCTTTGATCTAGCACAAGAAACCATGGTAATATTTATATGTACATTCACAACTCTTGTCTTCTTCAAGAATTAACTTGGTCCTTTATAATCAATGCAAACAGAGATTTGCTACAGGCATGTCAACAATGTGAGCGTCCCACTCATGAGACGAGGAGAAACGAGATGAATGATGGACATGTATGTACATGCATACTTGTCAATTTCAGTCCTATAGAAGACATAAATATGGCAAAAATGCTCAAGTTTCCTTCATGACGGCACAAAGAACCACAATATTTACATATCATATTTTAACATCTCACATGGACTTGTGACAAATGAAAAAGACAAAGTAGTCAAAAGGTTATGACAATAGACTTGTCAATTTCAAACTTTGCATTTCTGATAAGGAATGAGATAAAACGCAGACTATTTCTGAAATAGTTTAGCTAACACAAAATTTGCTATTCATGAGTACTAAAAGTCGAAGACTTCACAAAACCAAATATATCCTGCGGTTTATCAGGAAAATCAACTTTGGATTTCTTTCTCCATGTAACAAACATGTTTTCATCAAGTCTATACATATATTATTCAAAATAATTTTTTTAACCTGTGAAGGGCCTTTTCCCTTTCACACTTGATACTTTAACAAACATGAGTTTAATGCCATTACTGGGATATGGCATGTTGCCAGGAAGACAATACATTACACAACAGTGTGTTAACAAGTGACTATACAATACTATCCTAAAAACTTGCAGATTTTGCATGAATGTGACCACAGCCATGTCATAATAACTTGAAAATAAAAGGTCCAAATTTTCTAAAATGGCTAAAACTAACAGATTTCAGCTGTAACTTACTATCCAGATCTGGTCACAGTTTCTTTTCAGTTAGACAACACAGAAGTGTACATCCAGGACATAATACATAAGGTAAACTATGTACACAGATAGCACCATCGATGCTTACAGCACTCTATTGATGGAAGATTCACCTCGGGCCATAATAAATTAACTATTAGATTTTCGTCTCAAAAACGTATAATAAGAAAAATTGCTATGTATGTCTGCTTTCTATACTTGATGACAAACACTGAGTACGTAGCTCTACCTGTCATTCTGAGTTTGTTTTAAAAAAAAAAAAAGCTCCATATTTTTTTAAAAGTGTGGATGAAAATGTTATAATTAATTTACTGTGGCCAATAATGAGGCTAATAAATAAGTGAAGGATAATGTCTACAGCATTAAGGCCAGACCAAACCATTTGGTAGATTTCTGTATACAATGGATAACCTTTAAAGTCTCACCCATTTTTCATAGACAGCCCTTTTGTGTTATATTTCCTTTAATTCCACTTTAATGTTTTCACCTAACGTTTGGTAAGTCGTATTTGGAATGAATTCAATATACATATCACTTTTCTGGTCCCACTTCAAATTCCAAGGGGATATATCATCAGTATTTATGTCATTTTCAAATGCGCAAGCTTTGGATTCTTAAGGGAAATATCCTTTTTTTGTGATCAACAGTACACCTAGTACACACACAAACAGAAAAAGTTTGGAACCGCTACAGAACTAGTAAACATATGAAAGCAAAATATAAAATCAGATCGCCATCAGAAGTTTGCTTGAAAATAATTACTGTGTACAGAGAAAATCACATGTACGGTATTTGTAATTGCTTTTTAAGTAGATAAAGATACTGTTATGAAAAGATAACTGCAATCCTGGACATAAAATTAATATTTCCTCATGAAATAACCCATCACACCAACTTAATAATCATATTAAGATGACATGGAAATAATTAAGAAAAATAAACAAAAAGGTATAAAAATGCATTGGGCTTCTTTTTTTCTGATGCCAAAGCATTCTAAATATCAGTTTTCATGATCTTATCAGATCCACCTACAGTCTTTACCCTCACGTAATACTAAAACAGGATTTAACCAAAACCCTCTGAAAAATAGCAGTCGGCAAAAATGCATTGCAGTGAAAAGCAAAATTAAGGTTGAACTATGTAACAAACAAAATGTTGAAAATGGATATGACAGAGTAACATAAAAAGTTTGATGTTCAAAAACAGCAGCCACTGATTGTTCTAGGAACATCATGGCACACAATATAGAACAGTTTTCAGTAAATGAGAATGATCATATCATTCACAAATATTAACGAAACTCATATTCACAACATTTTAAATAGGAATATCATATCAATTCCAATGTAACTGACACTCTTTTACTGAAAAATGTTTTATAAACAGTTCACAAATACCAACATGACAACAACAATGATATGTTCATTTCTTTGGAAATGCCAATGTGAATACATACTGTAATATAGTTTGGGATAATTATATCTATTTCAGCAACATGAACTCAAATGTTATCTTAAGGCACACATTCTTGCTTGATTATCTTCTAAATAACACAAACATTATCATGTTTGTACTGGGGTTTTTCAGTTATGTTTTAAAGTAAGTGTACCGGTATTTTGATTTAGGAAGATGAAAACAGTTAATACTGTACCTCGTTAAGCAGTGCAAGAACAGTCTACCCGGCAATGTTCATAACTAAAAATATTGTTATTACGTGTAACAACTTTGTAGTCTATTGGCAAGGTGGATGATTTGGGAAATGCAACTTTACAATCTGTAAGTGTGTAACAATGAGTTTCTCAAAACCAAGAACATATTTCCGACATTCATTAGAAAAATACTTTTTCTATCAACAGATAAATTTCAGCAATCTAAGCTTTTTTCAAAGTTGAAAATTTAAACTGTTGAAATTTCAACAATCCGTTGACGAGAGGTCAAATCGGTGGGGATCAAACCTTATTTGAATATCTGAACTCAGCCGTTTGACCTTTGATTTGGTATTCACAAAGGTCAACGGTTCCACGTGTCCATTAGCTGTGGTCGATTCCCCTCCAGCTTTGGAACTTAGATCTGGCATGCTGTGTTGAACAACACTGCTAGCGTCTTTCACCACACCTGCTTTGCCCTTAGAGTCTTTATACTTGAGATTCGGCGTGCTACTATTGACTTTATCTTGCTGTGGATCCACCTTACAATCATTGATGTTGCCCAGTGATGGAGACTGTTTTCTCACTTTGGACACACCGTTCTTCCGAGACCCTGGCACCACCAACCTGTTGATAAGATTCCTCTCCATATCTCCTGTGAATCCAGTCTCACTGTTCCCGTCCTCATCAGTATCGGAGATGAATGAATCGCGATTCTTGGCTACGGAATTGTAAGAGAGAGCGGAGAGTCGGTCATGTTCAATTTCCTCAACTGGTTTGAAATCTTCTGAGCCGGAGGAATACCGCTTCTTCTCTTCACAGACTTGAAGATTGTTGTGGCAATACTCGGTCACTGCCTCGCTGTCAATCACGGAGCAGTCAATGACTTCCGAAAGGTCGCCGGCAATGCCGCCATTTTCAAAGCAGGGAGACAAGGGTGTGAATCCCTTCCCGTTACTCGTGGGTGACTTGTGGGGGTCGTTGTTGTTGGCGGTGTACACATAGCCATTGATGGTGGAAGGGTACAAGCTGCTTTCCCGGCTGGTGGAGCTGACAGTCAGACTTTGGCGATGTCCTACAAATTACAGAATTTTTTTTGATAGGAAAAACTTTTATTAACTGTCATCTTTTTCAATTTCAGTTAAACGGCCAATTTATCAACGTAACAAAAGGACAATTTACTCTAACATATCTGAAGGCATCATCAAGTGAATTTAATGTTTTCAAAAGCAATAATTACTTATTGATTGCAAATACATGTTCTGTTTGTTTGTTTGTTGTTTAACGCCACATACAGTAATATTCCAGCTATTTGACGGCAGTCTGTAAAAAAATCGTCTGGACTATATAATCCAGTGATTGACATCATGGACATCGATCTACAGAATTGGGATACAGTGATATGTCTGACTCCTGGATCCTTAAGACAAGCATGGGTTGCTGAAGACCAATTCTAACCCCAAATTTCACTGGGGTCAAATACTGATTGAGTGAGTGAACGTTGATTAATTCTGCAATATTACAGTTATATCATGGCAGACTAAATAATCAAGATTTTACCAGGTAAACAATGCAATGATGCATGCCATTGGACACTGTGACACACATTCAGCCAAGTCACCGAGTCTGACCACCAACCCATTGCAGTCACTCTCACCACAAGCGCTTGGTTCCAAAAAGCTTGTCAGAATATCTGAGAAGACCTGTGAAGATCCGGGATAGAACAAGTCTTCAGCAACCCATGCTTGCCATAAAAGGCGACTACCGTATGTCGTTAGAGGCCACTAACGGGATCGGGTGTTCATGCTCGCTGACTTGGTTGATGCATGTCATCATATCCAAATTGCGTGGTTCGATGCTCATTATGTCAATCACTGGATTGTCTGGTCCAGATTCGATTATGTACAGACCTCCATCATAAAGCTGGAATATTGCTGAGTGCGGCATTAAACAACAAACAAACAAAACAATATCTGAGAAGGCCATTTAACAGCGACTTGCTTTGCCAAAGTCAGCAATTATACTGCATGTGTGTCTGTTGCATTGATGATCAAGGTTGTATGAATTAACCCATACCTTTGCTGCTGAGGAACGGCTTGGTGGAGCTGTTGGTAGAAGCTGATGGTGACCGGTTGCGACGTCGGCCCGGAAACAGTCTCGAAAAGTACTGGAAAGGAAACAAATACTACCATAAATATTGTCCATGAAATATAAAGTAGTTCTCATGAAGTAAATTGTGTTAAAATGCAGCCTCAATTATTCTACAGTGTGAAATGAGACGTCAGGAGGACATTTGCTTCCACTCACATTGTGGCCGGATCCAGACGACTGGTTTGGGGAGCTTGACAAGTGTCCGTTGTAGCCGCCAAAGTTGACACGGATACATTTGGGCAGCCATGTTGTCCTACGGGCTATCTTGCGATATTCCTTCTGAACCTAAAACAAATACACATATCATTCATGAGTCATGATATATAAGATAGCCATTTGATAAATCGCAAAGAACAATGAAGAACAAAGCGTGGTTTATTTCACAATAAAACATTATTTTATCATGACGTCATTTCTGGAGATTCGAACACGCGCTCGCAACTTGATGACGTCATATGTTTCATGACATTATTTTTTAGAGGGGGGTGTCTAGTGAGTTGTTCCCCATAGATGTAGCTGGGCAATGCAGATAAACGCCAAGGCCGATTGATCGCATCCAAAACTGGGAGAGATGTTACAATCGGTATTGGGAGCAAAAGTACAGGTAATCGACATGAGGATTGTGAGAATATGCAGGAAATATCAACTTGTCCATAAAATCGACTTGTCTGACGTTGCTAAGGTCGGATTCTATTGAGGGAGTCATCATTTTTTAAATAGGGGTTAATATTTTAAAGCTTGTACATTTTATCAACAGTACATAATGTTGATGTCTCATATAAGAAATAGATCCTGATATATAAATGGCTAATATTGACACAGTTTCTGGTAAGGATCACCTATGTTATCTCAAGGGTGGGCTAAGACAGTAGAAAAAATGTACTGGATTTCATCGAAGACAAACAATTGTTGTTTTCTATAATATGCATTTACATATATATCTGTCAGAAGAAGAAATGTTTTCATCTCAGAAATCTTTTGTGGGTACAAAACAGGTGCAAAATTATCTTTATAACAACATCTTTCATCTTTGCAAAAAGAAATAATAAACTTAATGGTTCTTCAATAAAGGAAACTATCAAATATACAGCTAGCATAGTACAATTAAACTATTTGCCAACTCAGTAAATCTCATTCAGAGTTCCCTTAAATATGAAAGATCAGATTATCATTTTCAAAGACCTTTTTCATATTATGATATGAAACATATGAAAAATGCCTTCTCAATTTTCAGGAGGGCAGGACATGCTTACCCTTTTAGGAAAACCTGGTGTGATCACTGATTTTCAGTGATCCATTCATATAATTTTCATCACTATTTTGCCTTTTATGCCATATGGAATCTGTTTCAGCGGATAATCAAGACTGGTTATTCTCTGGCATTGACATTGTATATTCAAGATTTGTGTATGTATGTTTAATTCAATGCTACAAGTAATGGCCATATATTTTGTTGCTGTACCTTCTCATTCATGATGCAGTGGAAGATGAAAATGAAGGCTCCCTGCAAAGAGTTGAGGATCGTGAAGATGTACGCCATGGCAACGGATTCCTGATTGAGGAACAGAATACCAAAGCTCCAAGTCAACCCTAGCAGCACAACCAGCACCAGCGACCCCTTGATCCAAGCTCTGTGGAAAGGGAGATTACTCATATATTTCACATAAGGGGAAGTAACTCAAAACCCACAATATTCAATGCAATCAAACTCACTTCAGTTTATAACCTTGATCGTCAGTGTTGGAATGAGATGGAAGTATCTTACCCAAACAATAATCAGAATTGAAATTATCATCAACAATATTTATTTTCAAAAACAATGCTCTGTTCAGTGGATAGATGTGAACATTCATAAACAATATGATAAAAATGCTATGAGTTAAAATGACTGGGGATATTAAAATAATAAAACAGAAATTAACATCAAATATCTGTAAAATAATGATGGTACTTAAACTATCCAACAAATTATTCCAAATTTCATGCTAATAACAGCTGCAAAAAAGAAAATGTACTTCTTCTAATCAATATAAATAATATAATAAGAAAAACATAAGTGATAACTAGTTTGTTTTATTACCCATGATAATTAGCAACTTTGTTTTAATGCAACTAAAACATTTGAGAAATAAATGATTGTGTCAAAGTGCAGTTAAGGTCGTATTTTCAATTGCTAATTAAATCTGAAATGAAATGTGCGATGGAACAGGAAACCCATGGCAGGCTCACACTTTATCCCGAACGCTTGGAGAGCAATCAAGGGGAGGCAACTGCTCCGAACACTCGATGGTTGAGACAGTTTGAACAACATCACTGGGTGCAGCAGTGAAATGGAATAGTTGTCTATTTCATACATGGAATACTTGTCTATATCATTCATTATACAGTAACACGATTAGGACAAATAATTGAAATATTTACACATGAAAGTATACCAAATTTCTTAATATTTGCCAGATTGAACATTTGAACAAAGTGTGTTTGTCATAGGACTTATTTTTGCAAATTGTTTCCATCTTTAAATATATTTACAAAGTAAATAAGTTAGGTGATATTTACTAGTTTTATTTGTACACAGAAATTACCTTGAACCCATCACATTTTGCATGCTTAGTGTAAATTCAAAGATTCCTTTGTCACACTTTTAAATACATGTATAAGATATATAAAAGTCAAACAAACTGAAAATGTTATGGGATAAACAAAATGGATATATTTCTAATTTGTATGAAAGAAAAGATGGGTATTTGAAAAGAACAAAGCAAAAACCAATCATCTATCAGCATTCCGTGAATAAAAAAATGAAGTGAACAAGGAAATGGGAGGTTTGATAATCAAACTTATGTAGAAACAAATAATATCAGTATTTTGTCCACACATATCAAAGCTACTTTAAAACAGCATAGAATTATCAAATAGGGTAATCAATGATACTAATAGTGTTTTTCACGTCAGCTTCAATAGATTTTTTTTTCAGTCTAATAAATTAACATATTTAAAAGAAATTTGTTAAAATGATTTTGTCCAACAGTAGCTGATAGTTATGGACAAAGACCAGACACTGGAATCAATAGAATTGCAAAATCAAAGGGATAAGGGTTTCTATATCACTCCAAGACAATCTTACGGAAGTTCCTTCAACACTTTGGGTAAGCACTGTGGTCTACCAGCAATAGAGGCAATGTCACTCTCACTACTGCCATAGACGCAAGCACAAAACAGAATAACAGATTTCCGTTTTCACATTTTTCAAAGAATTGCACCTTTTTCATTAAACAACCATCTTCCCGAGGCAAGAGAGTTAACTGACTTTAAAAGTCCAGTTTCCACCCTTGCCGAACTAGACTGGAATTACTGGGCTCTATCGTTGCGCCACCAGTGGCTATTACGAGTTATGTCCCTTCTAAGCCTCTCCTTTAGACCAATCAGATTCCACCTCTCGTAACATTTGCATTTGCTTCAAACAAAACAGTGGCGCCCAGTCAAGACGATCTGATCGATAATCAAGGTCTATGTTGTGATAAAACGGGTCTTACATCGCGCAATGCGTGAGCACCTTGATTAAAAACATGAAAAGATTTGGAAAATATCTGTTGACAACGAGTTGACGATGCACATGCTTTGCAAATCCTGCAATCGACCAAAATCTACACGACAGTCTACACTATTTTGATTGGACTATGCAAAGACTCGTTAGTCCAGCCAACATGTAACTCCATAATACCAGCCTAGTTTGGCAAGGGTGGAAACTGGACTTTTATAGTCAGTTAACTCCCTTGCCTTGGGAAGATGTTAAACAGCTTGCATAACAACACTTACAATGCTGTAATCTCCATGTGAGAAATAAACAGAGCTTTGTGTTTACTTTTGCAGAAATACATCATTCAATACAAGATTTATTTTGTAAACAATTGTTTGAAGCATAATAACAATTTCTAATAAAACAATGTCATAACAACCTGATTTCCATTAATAACCTTAATACTGCCTATACTTTGATACAAGTTTAATACACCAGTCTCTCTCAACTTGTCCCCTTTAAACCATTAACCACCTTAAAATAAAGTATCTTAGCATACAATATACCATGTAGGAGTGAGTGAGTGAGTGAGTATGGTTTTACGCCACTTTTAGCAATATTCCAGCAATATCACGGCAGGGACACCACAAATGGGCTTCACACATTGTACCCATGTCGGGAATCGAACCTGGGTCTTCGGCGTGACGAGCAAACGCTTTAACCATTAGGCTACCTGACCGCCCATACCATGTAGGAAAGAATAGAGATAAAGAACGAAATTATTACTCAACACAAACACAAAACCCGGATGTTGAGTAATCAACACCCGGGAAGATAATGAGTAATCCGGCTGAGTAATGCGGGTAAAATATTATTATCAGTTTGTATGTCTACAGGCTTTCATTCTGACATTCTGACTCTGACAGGGTATCAACAAGTAACATCTTTTAACATCTTTGGTATGACGTGGCCGGGGTTCAAACCCCTGATCTTCCGCTCTCCGGGCGGACACTCTACCACTAGACAATGGAGGCGGTCCATATATTTGGACAACCAGGAGTACTGGGGACCTTTCCTGCCTCAGACTCCCCACAGGGTAAAGTTGTATTCAATCACTGCACAAGTGTGAAACAGTGCAGCATTGTGAGTCGACACAGACATTGTATCTCAACCACTCAGTTCTACCAGCACATTGAAGGATGATCTAACTTGATAGGTTAACTGTTCTAAATTTGACATGGGAAATGAACGATAACCCTGACTGATTTTAGGGCTGCTTTACATCGGGCAGGAATATTTTGCATGCAATGACTCTGGTATATCTAAACAAACATGTTGTCTGACCTAATAGGACTATCGATACAATTTTCCATTGGCGCCATTAATGACATTTTAGACCTAGTTGAAAATTTGAATTGGAGCCGACTCGGTTTGATGAAAAGATTAAATTCCTAGACTAGATGTATAAGATGATTTTCATCACGCCCACTTTTAAGTTTATTTATTAATAACACATTTAGGCCCACAGCATTCCGACCACATCACTGCACTGAATATGTGCGCATGGAAAAGAGTCTGTTTTGGAAAAAATCATTTTAGTCATGGCAAAAGGGAGATAAACCTATCCTGTATTTAAAAATTGATGGGGTTCATCGTTGATTAAACACCGGTAAATAATAGAATATATTTATCTCCTAAATGTAAACAAACACCCAGATATACAATGCCTCCACCTAACAAGAAAACGTATTACTACTCCAAGTCAAATATGCTTGCCTTGCAGATCTACGTTAATGCAAAACTGTAACTAGTAGCAAACCTATAGTTCTACCTGGAACGTACAACAACACACTTTGCACGGTAAGTTTTCTCACCTGAGTTTCTGCAGCTTGGACTTCTCTTTCAGTGAGTTGGCAGTGTTAGCGTGCTTGCACATCATGTATATAGCAATACTTAACATGGCCACATTCACCTGAAATTAACAACACTGACATTAGCCCCAAATATATTTTCTACACCATGACATGCCTACACTTTATCAAATAACTGTTGAATGCTGCTTCATTTAAAACCAAGGGTCGGGTATGATAAGGAACCATTTTGTCTCACTGGAAATTTTAAAGTTACATAAAACTTGTAAATAATGTTATGAAAAGTATTAGACATAATGGCTAAAGTGAGTGAAGAAGGCCTATTTTCAAACTCTGACTATGAGAGAGTCTGTGATCCCAGGTTATTTTAAATTAATGTTTGTGTTGAGTCAAAGACTTGCATTATACTATTAGAAACACTCTTTATGAAAACCAATAAAATCAGCCTTCTTGACAAATGTTAGCTGTACCTTCATATTCAATGTTGTTACAAAAAGAAAAAATGCAATTGTTGAAAATACAAAAGACTAATTCTCATTCCTAAGAAAACATTTGAAAAATGTCCTAACAATGTCAACAGGTTGTGAGCGAGTGAGTTGGGTTTAACGCCGTATTTAACAGTATTCCAGTTATATCGCGGCGTGTCAGCCTTATGTGGGAGGAAAGCCCGAAGTGATGCAGGTCTCACACATTTACCACTTCGGTGAAACCCACGAGCACGGGTATGGTGCTGACAAACCTAGAAACATAATTGGGGCGAACCGGGATTCGAACCCACAATCATAGGTTTCTGGCGTGCCCAAGGGACGCAACTCTGCACAGCGAATCGCGGCGCCTTAAGACGACTGGGCCACCCATGCCCCCTGTATACTTGGTGAAACGTAGCAGCGAGTATTGTGCTTGGATATCTCTGAACTTACTGTCATGACAAACAAGGCCGGCCCCACAAAGCTCCAGATAAAGTGGTTCTTAGTGTTTATCCAGCAACTGAAGAATAACGAAACATATAACATTATTTTTCATATAAGTATTTGTCGACTAAAAGTGCCATAGACACACTGACTTTACAAATATCATTCTTGTTTTCCATACTAAACTTACCGTATTCGACGTAATAAGCGCCCAGGGCGCTCTCAAAATTAGAAATAGGGGGCTCTTATTAAAATATTATTTTGGTGAAAAAAACCGGAGTTGAATTTAAATTTCGTGGTTTATGCTGCCAGCCTGAAATGTTTATTTATGGCAGATATATTTTTCCAGAATTTAATTGCCCATATAATGGTGCATATAACACAGTAGTGCGTATTATACGCGAATAAATAAGTCTTATTTACATTGATCAATCGGAAAGGGTGCTAATTGGGATTGTTCACGTGCCAATATATTAGCAAATATCGCCGTGGGCGCTTATTAGAGCGGGGAGCTTATTACTCGAATGCGGTACTTCATAGTGCTGACATGGTTGTAAAAACAACTAGCGTTGTATGTAAGGCTACTTATAAAATACAAAGAAAAAATTCGGAATTGCAATTCCAAACTTCCCTACATGAAACAAAAACCATAACTGTTTCAATAACATAGAGTAAATCCTTTTCAAAGATTAACATGAGGACATGTCTGATCAATGATGGTGCCTTATAACTAAAATCCAATGATGAACTCACTGAGCCTCGGTGCCATAGCCCTGGTGGTAAACGGCAGCAGAGATAGCCACGATCATGAGGGGGACGCCTGAAAAGATAAACATCCTTTTAGAATTTCATCTTTATCCCTTTCCATACAATAACAGAATTTCAAGTTGTATTAATTTATCAGCTAAGGTTGGGAACCTTAGTAATTAGTGTGAATCCTTGACTGGATCTCGGATAAACACTGATTTGAACATTATTTCAGTAACATCACAACATGCCAGATTGTTACCACTTCATATTATATCGCGCATGGGTATGGTGCTGACAAAACTCAAATCATAGAAAGGGTGAATTTGGGATTTGATCCCACCACCAACAGATGATGCAGCAAAGGGAAGCAACTCTGCACAGAGCAGTGCCTTAGACCACTGGGCCACCTGTTCCTGTGTGGTTGTCAGCTAGAATGGAAACAGTGCTCAGATGTGCTCCATAAACGTGGCATGGTTTGAGTGAAAAACACCATTTCTTGAAGCACGAGCCTAGTGATTACTGAAATTTGAAAAATCTAGTGGCCACACTTTTTTATTCAGTTTTCTAACAATGTTTACAATCACTAAAGAAACAAGTCAATTACTAAAGACAACACTTCGATGATCCACCTGTCTAATGTAGTGCAAGTTTTTGGTACACACTGTTTATCATTAAAATGAATGAATGATTATTGTTTTATGCCACAGCCACCAACATTGCAGTAAAATCACAGTGGCTGGTAAACAATCATGTCTAGGTGGAACAAACCAGTGTTTAAAAACATGAGCAACCATCAACGTTGTCAGGGCATGATGACATACACAGCCAGGTCACAAATTGTGACCACCCAATCCCCATTGAAATTGACTCTTACAGTAACCATGGGCTAGAGCTGACCTATTCAGCCTGAGTGAGTGAGTGAGTGAGTGAGTGAGTGAGTGAGTGAGTGAGTGAGTGAGTGAGTGAGTTGTTTTAGGCTGCTTTCAGCAATATTCCAGCAATATCACAGCGTGGGACACCAGAAATGGGCTTTACACATTGTACCCCTGTGGGGAATCGAACCAGGGTCTACGGCAGGACAGGCAAATACTTTAGCCACTAGGCTACCCCACGGCTCATTTAGCCATTTTTGTTTTAACAAACCGAATCCTAGGTCCTGCTGCTTACCATAGCCGAAGAGGTAATACCACTTGAGTCTGGACCTCTCCGTCTCGAACACCTCGATGAGCATGACGTACAACTGGACACCTTCCAGACACATCCAGGCGAAAGCCACTAGGAACAGGAAGTGGAGCAGTCCGGCGATGATTGAACACAGGATCTAAAACACAGAGATCATGGTTACTCAGTCATCTGTACTCAGACAAAAGATCAGATTCAAATCACTGATTCAAGCCAGTATTAGAGCTGTTAACTCTAACAGTAACAACTTATATAGGCACTGTTAACTCTAACAGTAACAACTTATATAGGCACTGTTAACTCTAACAGTAACAACTTATATAGGCACTGTTAACTCTAACAGTAACAACTTATATAGGCACTGTTAACTCTAACAGTAACAACTTATATAGGCACTGTTAACTCTAACAGTAACAACTTATATAGGCACTGTTAACTCTAACAGTAACAACTTATATAGGCACTGTTAACTCTAACAGTAACAACTTATATAGGCACTGTTAACTCAAACAGTAACAACTTATATAGGCACTGTTAACTCTAACAGTAACAACTTATATAGGCACTGTTAACTCTAACAGTAACAACTTATATAGGCACTGTTAACTCTAACAGTAACAACTTATACAGGCACTGTTAACTCTAACAGTAACAACTTATATAGGCAGAGGTTCTCTGTACACAGATTAACCCTTACTGAGGCACCCATGGTATTTTATCCCTGAAGCGTAAGAGTGAGTGAGTGTAATTCTACTTGGATTTTGGTTATCAAGGACAGCAAGCATAGTCTTAAACCTCTTCGCTTTACGAGCAATAAAAACCCTTGTCTTCCAATGGATGAATCAAGGCTTTCACTGCCAGGCCACTCAACAAGCATATAAAGAATCTAGGTGATATACATACCTTTAGATCTGTTTGACCAATTCCGACCACAAAAATAATCTCGGCCAACATGAGGCTGTACACCAAGTGTTTGTGGATGGTGGTTCGGTCACACTGGAGGTTCCTGGTAAGACGAGAAAGAGAAATATCAAAGCAACTGAAACAGCTTAAAATCTTTCATTTATAAAAGGCAAACATATTACAGCTATACTACAGAAGCTTAAAAAATAGTCAAATCATGACCCTACAAACCAATGATTTGGAGTAATGGGCAACAATCAACACAAACAACCAGGTCACACACTGAACCAACCTCAGCCCTGTACCAGCGTTCCACAAAGCGATCATAGCACTACGGCTGTCAGAAGTCTATGTTACCGTATGGGAGTTACGATGGTCTTAGCACTAACACTGCTTTGTGGAATGGGGCCCTGATCTCTAAGTAAGTTATTTGGGCGGTCGGGTAGCCTAGTGGTTAAAGCGTTCACTCGTCAGGCCAAAGACCCGGGTTCTATTCCCGACATGGGTACAATGTGTGAAGCCCATTTCTGGTGTCCCCCGCCGTGTTATTGCTGGAATATTGCTAAAAGCAGCGTAAAACCATACTCACTCACTCACTCACTCTAATTAAGTTGGCTCTCAGACCAAGCATTAGGAACTAGGACTTATTCTGCATGGATTTCTCACATGGGATCCTGTTTTGGGGGTAAGGTTTACAAATATATGGTCTTCCACTATGCAACTACAACACATTCACAAAGCAGCTATCTTGTGCATCAGATTTCCATATAATTTAACTTAAGTACAAGCAATTTAATTTCAGACAAATTCAAATAAGAATAGCAGACTAAAAACATACATAGTAATACCGATACAAAGACATATCATTTTGAAAAAAGCAATTCAATAATGACCATAACACTAAAACAGACGAAGCTTTTCTTCACACATGTCCATGTTCTCGGTAGAAACACAAGCAGGTGCTTGTAGCTATATGCGAGCTACTCACTTGAAGGCAACGAAGGTGATCCAGGTGAGGAGGAGGCAGATGATGGAGATGATGCAGCCCACGAGGGTGATGATGCGCAGAGACAGGATGTGGCCCGGCGACAGCTGCAAGGTGGAGCAACATTGTACTGGTAATGGGTGAACACTTGTCTTTGTTTGACTGGTAGATTGTTTGTTTGTTGATCATTGCTGCACACAGCAATATTCCAGCTAGGTGAAGTTTGTCTGTACCTAATCAAGTCAAACCAGATAATCTAGTGATTGATATCATGAGCACCAATCTATTGGTATACGATGACATTCATCAACCAAGTCAGTGAGTCTGACCACCTGATCCCCTTAGTCACCTCTTATGACAAAGACAAGAAAGGGTAGCTAAAGACCAATTCTTACATGGTGAACAGTGAGTGAGTGAGTGAGGTAGGTTTAACGCCGCTTTTAACATTATTCCAGTTATTCACGGCGTGTCAGCTTAATGTTGGCGGAAAGCCCGAAGTGATGCAGGTCTCAGACGTTTACCACTTCGGTGACACCCACGAGCACGGGTATGGTGCTGACAAACCTAGAAACATAATTGGGGCGAACCGGGATTCGAACCCACAATCATAGGTTTCTGGTGTGCCCAAGGGACGCAACTCTGCACAGCGAATCGCGGCGCCTTAGACGACTCGGCCACCTGTGCCCCCACATTGTGAACAGAGCTTAAGTTACTCAATGAATCCTTTCATAAAGTGATATGGTTTGATGAGTCGGTGCTCTTATATCATAATCAGTTCAGACACATCAAGGGAGATAACTCTAAAGTTACCTTGACTCATGATATAGCTTGTTGCAGATGTGATGATTCAAGTCAAAAATGTGTTAACTGCACTGAAATGTTCACTCAAGTATATGTAAAACTATCTCATCTCCTACAAACCTTGGTGCCAGTGATGTCCATGAGAACTGCGAAGTTGGTCAAGTGGTTGCACTTGCAGGTTGTATGGGTGTCGTTTGTCTGGATCATGCTGCAGCCATCTTGTGACCACTGCCCTCGCTTTTGACTGTAACAGACAAACATCCTCTCAATACTTCACTCTGGTTAATGTTGTGTACTATAGTACAGTGAAAAACTTGTTACATCTAGGGCTGGGGTGAGTCCAAATTTACAACCCGGGAACCGGCCTATTCCTGGGTACGAGCTGTATTTCGACCTTCACAATGCCATTTGTCAACTACATTATTCACATTCACATCATAAATAAAAACCTAGGTTTTTTTGTGTGTAAAATACTCATATTTTTTTTAAATATCACCATGGGGATGTCACTGTGAACGATTGTTTTTATTGTTACAGTTGTTGTACAATATCTCACGCGACGAACCACGGGTCCGGGTAGTCCTGTTGGTACCCGGGTCCTACTAAGTACCCACCCCGCCCGAGTACCGGAGTTACCCGTCCCAGCCCTAGTTTCATCCCCATTTTATTTGTCTGCTACCTATACTGTTATGAGCATATCGATCCAGCAGGGGATGATTCCCCTATATTACAAATTACACTGAGAAAATGTCTCAACATTACAAATGGCACTATAATAACAAAATCGAGACGTAGACTGGAATACACATAGTCCACTGTGCTTGTCTTCCTTTAATTGAGCAAATGTTGATCTATTTAATCATAAGTACAGGTCTGTAAAGGGAGATAACTCTAAAGTGTAGCAATGTCCAAGCTGGTTGGTTGGTTGGTTTGTTGTTTAACGCCGCACTCAGCAATATTCCAGCTATATGACGGCGGTCTGTAAAAACGTGAGTCTAGACCAGACAATCCGGTGATTAATATCATGAGCATCAATCCAGGCATTTGGGATCGATGACATGCATGCAATGTCCAAGTAGAAATACCTATCCTATAATGACCCAATGTATTTACAACAAGAGGTACTCTTACCTGTCATCCATCTTCCAGTATGAACACAGGGGGTTGGATTTCACTTCAGGCTGAAACAAACAAATTAATCAAACTCATGTTTAAACAGATCAAGAAAACTAGAAAATGTGAGTCTCAGCTATTCATGTTAAGCACATTGGTCGCCAGTTACAAGCTTTGATGCTGTGAATTCCTATGTTAAACACAATGTATCTACTGAACTAATACACTGACATAAAATGTTGCAGACAAATACAAATCGAATCGATTTATGGTTTTCAGGTTCTTTGGGAGTATACAAGCCAAGCTGCCAGTGAGGTTCTTGACAGTCACCATCTCATCCTAAAAGGTACCCAATCACTGCCGCAATCATGGTGTGAACACCAGAAATGGGCTTCACTCATTGCACCCATGTGGGGAATCAAACCCAGATCTTCAGCTAGACAAGCAAACACTTAACCAGTAGGCTACCCACCCCCACCCCACCCCTCTATTCTCATAGAGGACTATAGCATGTTTTTGTTTTTTGTTTGTTTAATGCTGCACTCAGCAATATTCCAGCTATATGATGGCAGTCTGTACATAATCGAGTCTGATCCAGACAATCCAGTGATTGATATCATGAGCATTGATCCACACATTTTGGATACAAAGACATGCATCAACTAAGTCAGCGAGCCTGACCACCCGATCCCGTGAGTCACCTCTTATGACAAGCATAGTCGCCTTTCACGGCAAGCATGGGTTGCTGAAGACCTGTTCTACCCTGGATCTTCACGGATCACTATAGATTGCACCAAGAAAAAAAGTTTGAATAAAATTCCACTCACATTTAAATGTTGCATAGTGTATTCGACAGGCTCAAAAAGCTTGACCTCCTCTCTGTTGTTGATGGACGCTGAGATGATGTTGGAGTTGACGACCTTCTCCTTCTTCTTCTCCTTCTCCTCCTCCTCGGGGGAAGTAACGATGATCTCATTGGACATGTCTGAGGTGCTTCGACCTCTGACCTCCTTCTCGGGCTGATCCTCTGACTGCATCCTGGGCTGCATGAACTGCTCCAGGTTGTTGTAAACAACGAAAACAACAGTCACCACACCTGTAATAAGAAACACACAAACGTTATAGAAAACAACAGTCACCACACCTGTAATAAGAAACACACAAACGTTATAGAAAACAACAGTCACCACACCTGTAATAAGAAACACACAAACGTTATAGAAAACAACAGTCACCACACCTGTAATAAGAAACACACAAATGTTATAGAAAACAACAGTCACCACACCTGTAATAAGAAACACACAAACGTTATAAGATCTTTGTCACCAGATTATTTTTCAAGTCCATACAGTTGAATCTAATTAGAATATAAATTCAATCACTCAAATCAAAATAATTAAAATAAGCCTTATCATTGATGTTTTTATCAATGTTTTTAAGTCCATGGGTATAATTTGAGCATATATTTTCTTAAAAATGAATTATTGGTTACTGCAGCAGTTATCCATTATATCTCTTGTTTGTAGGGTGATAAAATGGATTATTACAATGGCTGCTTATATCAAGAGCAGTGAATTACGATCTGAGAAACAAAACACTATCTCCTCTAACCAGGCTTTGAAACTGGTCATTAATAATTAATTATAGGGGAGGGGGGTGGGGCAAGATTTAGGGGTTGGGGGTGGGGGGATGAGATTGGGGTAGGGGGGGGTGATGAAAAAATAACACAGGGAAAGAGGGAGGTCGCCAAATGAATCCCAACTATAAAGGGGGGACTGAAAAAATGAAAAATGGTGGTCAGCAAAATATGATGCAGTCCCCCACCCCCCCTCCAATCCTCAACCAGTCACTTATTGTGTGTCATTGCATCCAAATGACATAAATGATTTCAAAGTAATGACACTCCCTTTTTACAATTCAATCCCTATTTTTTGGCTCAATCAAACAGAAAACTCTATGAACTAATTGTGAACATTCCTTGTGAAGGCACGAATCAATCTCACTTACTCACTCACTCACTCACTCACTCACTCACTCACTCATATTCTTCTTAATGAGATGATGCAAACGAATCACATTCTAAGCCAGATTCTCCTGTCCTCCCGGGGACCCATAAGACAGCCACGTCTTACCTTTTTTGGCTGCATTGACAAGGCTTCGAGCTGGGATGGAGATATGGTTTGACCTCTTATTCCATGAAGCATCCTCCTTGACCTCTTTGGATGGGAAGGTCATGGGTTCAATGCCACCAAGGACATTCTTCACGTTAACCTCCAACACTGAAACACATCGAGAGATCACATGATGTTTGTTGTTTGACACATTCCAGCGATACGATTGCGGCCTGTAAATTGTTCAGACCAGACAAACCTGTGATTGATATTATGAGCAATGGGAAATGATGACACGCAATCAACCAAGTCAACAATTCACCTAATTATAGATTGTTCCCCGACTCCCACCAGCGGACATCACACGATGTTTTCAGGGAAATGCAAAGTATTTGCAAGAAGACAGGGTAAAAACTTTTAACATACTTAATGAGGATGTATATGTCTTTTGATGAATAGGGGCTGTCGGGAAACCTAGAGGTTAAAGCGTTCGCTCGTCACACTGAAGACCTGGGTTCAATTCACGACATGGGTACAATGTGTGAATCCCATTTCTGGTGTCCCCCACATGATATTGCTAGAATATTGCTAAAAGCAGCGTAAAACCATATTCACTCACTCACTCACTCACTCACTCACTCACTCGTTCGTAACACATCATGAATACTGGTAAGACAAATGTACTTGTATATGGTTATTGTGAGCTACAGATTTGAAAAGCTTATATATGAGTTTATATATGAATGTTAATGGTCATTATTGGCACAAAAACTCAAAATGGCATTGAACTGCAAAAGTTCAATCAATAATCTCAATATTTCTTGATAGTTTTGTCATATAATTCTTTCCATATCATAAAAATGTACAGAGAGTCTCTTGAGATTTCTTTCTTCTAGTCTCTCAATGTCAATATTCTAACATACATGATTTTCAGAACCAACAGAAAATTTGACAATGTCCTGCATTCACCAAACTGTATGTTTAGATAATCAGTAACGGTTATTACCGAGATTCTCGCTGACCATGGTGCTGGCATCATTGACCTCCATGACCTCGGCTACATGGAAGGCGGACTTCTCCACGCTGATGATCAGTGAGGTCGCCGCCTCCTGGGACTGGGACTTCGGCAGCAGGTCCCACGACTTCTTCTGTTTCCGTGACAACAGGTTACTACTTGTGTTCACAAATGTCTGCAAAAGACAGATTCTAAATATGTAATCGCAAACACGTGAAGTAAATTGAAGTACTAACTAATTACAAAGGGGCTTCATAGCTGATTCTCCTGTAAGCTCAGTGTTTCCGCTGGCTTTTGAAACTGCCAGTCCTCGTGGACTGTCAACTCCAAAAATGACCAGTCCCCCCCCCCTAAGTTTTGTTAGTCCCAACTTTCAATAAATATAAAATGTATGAAATTTACCTGGTTTTAATTCCTTCAACATCATGTTCAATGCAATGATGTCATCTCTGCAGTAACATAGTTAGATCTACATGTCATTCACATAAAGTTCAGTCACAATTTTCTTTCTTATTTTTTAATATTTCGAGACAAAGTCACTGCACATATTTAACCTCAAAGCAAGGCAAAATGTTATTTCCTTCCACTAAAAGTAGACAAGGGGAAACCCTGATGGTAACAGACAAGCTGACTTCGTTCGAAAAAATTTGAATACTGCATATGTTTTGTTCAACAACAAAGATGTTTATAAGGTACTATATTTGCCAGTCCACAAGGACTGGCAGTCACATGAATTACCAGTCCAAGCCTAATTTTACCAGTAAAAAACTGGTAATTACCGGTAAATGGGAACACCAAGGCTACATAAAGAGAGGTTGAGTCAACTAACAGTTGGAATCTCATGAGTATTACAGTTATATCACGGCGTGTCAGCTTAATGTGGGAGGAAAACCCGAAGTGATGCAGGTCTCAGACGTTTACCACTTTGGTGAAACCCACGAGCACGGGTATGGTGCTGACAAGCCTATATACATAATCGGGGTAAACCGGGAATCGAACCCACAATCATAGGTTTCGGCCGTGCCCAAGGGGCGCAACTCTGCACAGCGAATCGCGGCACTTAGACAACTGGGCCACCCGTGATCCCGGATGAAGGATGAAGTGTTGTAATGGCACCAACCATACCTGAGCAAACTTCTTTATCTTCTTCCTGCGAATGGCAACTGGCACATCCTGAGCGGCTTCCATCTCCGTTCTCAAAGCCTGGTTCAGCTTCGGCAGCAGTTTTTGGGTTGTGCGTTTCAGATCGCCTGCATTGATCTCGCGTTCTGTCACGTTCTCCAACATCGTCATCACCTCCTGGGACGACGCATCGCCTTGGAGCTGTGGGGAAAACATCTTGTGTCAAAAACATTTTCTAAATAAATAAACTTTTCTGTGGCAAAACAGTGTGTTATTCAGTGCCAAGTTTCATTTATTATAAGCATAAACAAAAGGTTTTTATGTGGCAAGTTTGGTGCAAATGTCAGATTGCCTGACCACAAAGAATGTTTTCAACCTTAACACTGTGGAAACACCCATGTCTGTCTGAGTGCATGCACACCAGTGAAGGGCCCAAATTTAGTTGTGGTCTGGCCGTCTTCATCACACTTTCACATTTCACAGACGGACAACAATGCACCAACAGTAGTCATGGCGCTAGGATTGGTAAGATTTGTTTGTTTGTTGTTTAACACTGCACTCAGCAATATTGCAGCTGTGTGACGGCGGCCTGTAAATAATCAAGTCTGGACCAGACAATCCAGTGATTGACATCATGAGCATCAATCTACACAATTGGGATATGATGATATGCATTAACCAAGTCAGTGATCCTGACTACCCGATCCCGTTAGTAGCCTCTTACACCAAGCATGGATTGCTGGAGACAAATGCTCTTCCTGGATCTTCACAGAATGGTAAGAGAAACACCTCATCACCCCACTGCAAGTTCCATGGGTTACAAGAGGGCTCTGGGTGTTAGCTGTAATACCACAAAAGTTAAGAGGTCTACAGGCCAACATTGTAATGTGAGGTGAAATGGGGTTTAACGTCGCGTCCAAGATTATTGCACTTATATAGCAACGTGCATACACATGTATGTGTGTGTGGCTGCTTGTACTAGTCCGGACTGATGCCGATTTATAGTGCTAGCCCACTGAGATACCAGGCCACAGTTTAACATGAATACCCCACTCAGACACAGTATACTGACTCCTGGCCGACCAGTCCTTGCTTTAACCCCTTAATGCCCAGCGCCAGACAGGGTAACAACAAGTACCATCTTTTAACGTCTTTTGGTATGACGCGGCTGGGGATCGAACCCCGGACCTTCCGCTCTCTGGGCGGACGCTCTACCATTAGACCACGGAGGCGGTCCCGCCTACATTGTGGGGAATGACTTCATGAACTAGTTTCTCACCACTTCATCTATACTGGCATCAATCGTCTTCACCCAGGGAGAGACACATTCACTGAGGTCAGGGCCGCCCACCCAGCCTCTCTCACTGCACAGCCATCTCGCAGTGCCTGCACAGGAAGACGGAGAGGGTACATACATATTGGCTACAACCAGAAAGTATGGAATACTAGAACATCCATTACCAATACTCAGGAACATTAATTATGAAGGGATGACATTTTATCATCCAAAACTGGTTCCCACAGGAGATATTGCTTGGATGAGATCAAGCGATATCTATACTGTAGATATCGCTGCAATGAAATTACATTACAATGCTTTGCAGACCATTCTGACGTCACTGGTTACCATGACGTCACAATCAAATGACATCACTAATGGCTCTGCTACAGAAGCTGTTAGCAGTACTTTTTACACTAAAGACACTGCTAATTACTGTCTACAAATTGGAGAAGTTGGAAGAATGATGTTGGATGATAAATAAAATCTCACCCTCGTGTCTTTTGATATCAAATATATCAACACTCGTTGATAAAAGTGGCAAAAATCCTCGGCAAGCCTCGGAATTTTTCCACTTTTATCAACTCGTGTTGATATATTTGATATCAAAAGACACGAGGGTGAGATTCTCTATTTCATTCATGAACTGGAAACAAAATAAGGAAAATACAGTATTACATCATCTATACTATTTTATCATTTTACTCAAGCAGCACCATGGGCACTTCATGCAATATTTAGTATTGATGGCAGCACTGTTTTGGCCCTATACCAGTATATTGTGACCATGTTCATTCAGGGCCTACCAATAAGCTCCCCAGGGCAAGCTGCCTTTGCCCATCTTCCAATGAGAGTTGTTGGCCATAACACCCCCTCAGCCCTCACGGTCTTGCACACCCGAATATTGTATGGTCGGTTTGTGGTTGGCGGTCGAGGAGGAAGAGTTGTCTCCCTTCCACTACTAATCTCAGCTGGTGGTAGCGTTGGCTTTCTGGTGTTATTTCCTGAAGATAAAAAGCAAATACTTAGATAAAAGTGTTTTCTTTCATATTTTAAATATCTTAAATATTTTTTATATTTACTGCTGCGATTGATACAAAATAATAAAATTATTCATCATGATTCAGTATGATTTCCGGGAACAAAATATTAAATTAACAAAAAGTGATGAGATAGTTAAGGATGTTTTCGACATCATTGCTCAGAAAGTGATCCTCTTTACTCATTGATACAGAATGGAGATCAATTTCGTTTTACTTATAAAATCCCTTTTTTGTTATAGTGTTAATGAAAAAAAAATGAAAGAAATTTGTTCTTGTTAGTTCAGAGGAATTTTTAATATGTGAAAAAAGTGAATATTATTTATATTAATTAGAAGATATTAGAAAAAAGATAATATTAAAGAAAACATGTCGAAGACGTGTGAACACAGTGTTACAGTGAGTGCCCTTAATAAAATACAAGTTGTGTTGGTGAAACTATGCTGTACAAAACAACAAAACTTAAAGCACTAAATTTGTAAATAATTAGCAAAAGAAAACTGTTCCCCAAAATATAAAAAAAAAAATTCCACAGGCAAAATTCCATAAATAGTTAAAATAAAATACCAGTTCCCCTCTGTGTAATAGGTTAGATTGTTGTTACATCAAGTGCTACACAAAACCAATACAACCATATAGAGACCCTGTATATCACAGTACATAAAGCTGTGTGTATATGATCCATATCATCCTGGTTAAATATAACTGTTAACTGTTGGCAAGCTTGGCTACACCTCATGACAACTGATCATATATAATATTTATACCTGTAGGAAATACATAAGTGATGTGATTAGATGTCTGCTCATCTGTTTGAAATTGACATGATATCAACATCTAGTGTTTATATGGCACACAGGAAGCAAGCACATGCTGTGGTCATGCTATAATGTGGTACATCTACATAACATAGAACAGAGAGTGCAGTGACGGTCACACCTACATTTTAGTCATGGTCCCTTGGAAACACTTTTCAAAATCTCATTCTTAATTAATTGAAAACCAATCATCTTTTTTTATTCTTAAAAAAAACATTCATTTATTTATCATGTTTAAATACCATACAAATTGTATTTCCTCAAGCACAAAATTAATTAGTGAATATCATTTATGCTTATACAAGCTAGTCTGTTATGGATCATAGTGCTTCATTCAAAGGAACCATTTAGCACCAAAATGTATTATTCACAATTTAGTACTCTATTTAACAAGTACCACAGTCAAGAGGTGCAACATAATTTGTGTTTCAAGGGTCAGAAGTTGCTTATTCATGATCTTAACTTTAACTACTTTAGCTCAGATTGTTTTCATAGAATATCCTCGATTATCTAGCATATCATATCTCAATTCTATAAATAGCCTGGACACATTCGTTAGGGAAGTGACATCACTTCTCCACATCTCTAATTAGTCACATCCCACAAAATGTCTCTTTCACTTCCGTGAAATTTGAAAGGATGGTTATTTTTAGAATTGTGTAACTCGAAATCTAACTTGAAACAAAGTTGTGGGTCCAGGGACCCGTTCCGATCTTAGCACTAAGATGATCTTAACTCTCATACTGCATCATAGACGTGTGACAGTCATAGCAGTAAGATTGCTTTGTGAACCTTCCACAATGCCATCTTAGTGCTAAGATGATCTTAACTCTCATACTGCATCTTAGACGTGTGACAGTCATAGCAGTAAGATTGCTTTGTGAACCCTCCACAATGCCATCTTAGTGCTACAACTATCATAAGTCTATGTTAAAGTGTGGGAGTTATGATGACATCTTAGCATAAAGCAATCTTAGCGCTAAGATGATCTTAACTCCCATACTGCATCATAGACGTGTGACAGTCATAGCAGTAAGATTGCTTTGTGAACCTTCCACAATGCCATCTTAGTGCTACATCTATCATAAGCCTATGTTAAAGTGTGGGAGTTTTGATGATGACATCTTAACATTAAGATATCTTTGTGAGACAAGGCCCAGGGTACTTCCATAATAGAATGTCGAGTTTATATACTGGGCGGGTTGCTGGATGATCAAGGATATTCTATTACACAATAGGACAAAACACAACATTAATAATGCTCATTAATTTGAGGTGGAGTTTAGAAGCAATTACCTCTTTGATAGCTTTTCTAAATTGGAATTTCCTAAGCTACAGTTAATTATAACTGTGGGAATAGGGTGTTTGAGATATTGGTATGTATATGTGCCACATTCAGATGAAGAAACGAAACAAGCACAAAAGTTCACATGTTAGCAATACGCACAGTGATTAGTGGGTTTGTGTCATTAACAAGACAAACATTTGATGACATGCTAGTTCAGGGCTTGTGACTAGAAAAAAAGGTCTGCACATAGCATAATCATCATCTTATTTCACTAGATAATTGACCGGTGACATGCTTTGTCAGGGCTGGTAAAAGAAAGAGGAAAGGCCCTTACTATGCATAGTCATTAAAAACTTGTCTCACCCACACATAGAGAAAACACCTCAAACTTACTAGGTAGAACCATTGACGATGTTTGCTGGGTGGGGGTGGGGGATGGGGTGGGGGTGGGGACGGAGGATATAGGGGGTGGGGGATGAGCAGTGGTAAGAGCAGGGGTAGTTGTTGTCGAAGAGGGGATGGGGGTGGTGCTGGGGGTAGTAGTAGTAGTAGTTGTTGTGGTAGTCGCTGAAAAAGGTTGCCAGATATGCTTATAATCTCATTATTTCATGAAATCATGAACCTATCAAAATCCTTTTCATTACTAAGGTTCAAAGATTGAGATTTACTATAATTAAGTACAAGTCTCCTAATAATCTGTTTCAAAATGGCTACTTGATAAATAGAATAAAATCAAACAAATGTTTACTTGGGATATTTAAAAAATAATGTCCATATAATAATTCAAAATATAAACAACAAAAGCAATACATGACTCCTACATTTCATAAAACATCTAGAACCTTAGCTTCAGCTGATAGGAGTCAAGAGAAACGTCAGCAAAGTTATGAAAGAACAACATTTTTCAACTTTCTCAGTCCAGCTTGTTCAATTCACACCATCAATAAAAGTGATAGACTGTAAAAACACACATAGAACCATGCATTGCCTCATTTCATACAATTCAAAATAACTGTAATTACTTTCAAGCACGTCCACGTATGCTATATTGATGTACGTTTCATGACCTTGTACATCTGGGGGGTAACATGTATGATACTTACTGCTTGGCTCTGTAGGTATTGTACTTTGCGTTGTAGATGATGTTGTGGCAGACGTAGGAGGAGAAGGGGGTTTTGGAGTATCAACTGAAATAGCAGGAAAACAAAAGGCATGCCAGCATGCTCTAAAACTCAACAGAAGAAACCAAATATCTCATTCAAAAGATTGGCATCACATAGTCTTATAATGAAATATCTCATTGACAAGATTGGCATCATAATATATTACATGTATTATGAAATATTTCATTGTTAAGATCTTCTTTTGTATCAATGTCATTTCTTTCATTTGATCATATATAAACCGAAAATTAACTCACATGACATTTGAATAAACACTGCAGAATAATTATATTCAATGGTAAAAACACAATTGATGTTTATGTGAGAAAACTCCACAGTAATGCCATTGTTCTCGAATATATATCACAAGTATATATAAAAATCTGTTGAAATTATTGGGTTTTCATCAGTCATACAAGATAGCAGTCAAAGGTTACTATTGTGTAGATCTACAGTTATTACCATCAAAAGATAACAAAGAAGAGGCTAATTAACAGACAAATTTAACAATTTGTGAATCAGAATTTCAAAAATCATTATTAACATAAAACCTTTCAATAAATCAGGTAAGTTTTTCTGGATAATAATACTGAAATATTTGTCCTCACTTTCAATAAAGATTCACAAAGGGTTAAGGTGTCCATTTTCCCTACCAAGGGAGATAATTCCTCATACCATAGCGGTTATCTGCATTCCAAGTTGACAGCTTTGACACTATCTAATCTACAATTGTCATCATTCCCATGTCAGCTACTTCATTCCAATGTACAGCAACATGCTCAAATGCACGCACAATGCAACCCTACATATTCCCCCTGAGAAAGGTGTGATGCAGTAGAGCGTACTTTCTCTACCCACATCAAATAGGGCAAACGTTTGCTTGACAAGATCTGCTATGCATGTGGATCAAAATCTAATAAAATGTGCACAATAATTTATGAATTACAGACATTTTGCAACCATATGCAAATATTTATTCTTTATAGTGTGGTATCAAAGAAAGATTATTTGGATTTGCCTCAATACTATTTCTAGATCATGAAAATAAATAGACTTGTTTTGTTTTGGAAAGATCAGTTTTGACTAAATTTCAAATGCATTCACATCAGCTGATTTTGTTAATTAAAATTAAATTTTGAAAATAAATTAAAGGTGTAAATTTCCTTTTAATTCGCACAAAAATCCATGAGATTGTGGGGACATATTGAATAAGTATCCTTCAGGTTACAGAAATACATATGATGTTGTAAGGGGTCAGATTTGAATTCGTGCCTATGGTCAGGTTCCGAAAGAGACAAAATTCACCTTAGTGCCCAATGGTCAATAGATTTATTTGAACAATGCTTGTTTAATGTAATGTTAAACCCACCCATTATCATGTGACATCCCTGTTCTGGGGTAATGGAACACTTCACATAGTCTGGTTCTTGGTTGTAATTGCGTAGCGTCACCTTTCTGACTTGTAGAGATTCTTGTCATTTTTTTATTAAGATGATTCCAATTTTAGCCAAACACTAGGTTGCAATTTCCATTTTATTCACATATGTGCAGTTGGACTGTTAATTGGTGCTATATTTTCAATTTATTTTAACCATATCAAACCCAAAAAATGAAAAAATAAAATCTGAAAACCTGATCGCAAGCCTTTAAAGAGGGCTTTACTTTGATCTATCTAAAAAATCTTTCCGTCAAGTAATTTCCATGTTCATTTCAGTTTGGGCGGATCACTGTCTAAGTCCTCATCTGTTAAGCCCTCTTCTGCAATGACAAGTTACAGGCTGTAGACATAGCCGTCAATCACTGTCAGGGACACCGCTGGATCTGCTCACTAGATTCAGGTAATAACAGTCTGTTCTTTTCAGATATCAAAACACGTAATTTACTTACCTTTCTAACTCCCCTATTTCTACAATGTATATACCTGAGACGTCTAACGAGTACTCACCAGGTTGGCAGTAGTATTTCACCTCTGCGTATTTACTAGTATCGGGGCACGGGTCCCCGAAAACATTATTATTGGCCATCATTTCACACTGTCGTCTCCCATCACACCTAGAGCAAGAAAATTCACATGCAGTTAAAAAAGCACTATGGCATGACAATGGATAAGTAGAATGTATTAGTTCAGCGACATTAGATACTTGAGATTTGGAAGAGGTCTAAGACTATCATCTTCCCGAGGCAAGAGAGTTACCTGACTATAAAAGTCCAGTTTCCACCCTTGCCGAACTAGGCTGGTATCATGGAGTTACATTTTGGCTGGACTAACGAGTCTATGCATAGTCCAATCAAATTCGCGCACCGAAATCGAAATCCGGTTCGTAAACTGTCGTGCAGGTTTCGTTCGATTGCAGGATTTGCAAAGCATGTGCACAGCCAACTCGTTGTCAGCAGATATTTCCAAATCTCTTCATGTTTTTAATCAAGGTGCTCACGTGATTTGATGCTTTGGCGATGTAAGACCCCTTTTATCACAATAAAGATTTTGATAATCGATCAGATCGTTTTGACTGGGCGCCACCATTTTGTGTGAAGCAAACGCAAGTGATACGAGAGATGGAATCTGATTGGTCCATAGGAGAGGCTTAGAAGGGACATAACTGGTAATAGGCACTGGTGGCGCTACGATCGAGCCCAGTAATTCCAGCCTAGTTCGGCAAGGGTGGAAACTGGACTTTTATAGTCAGTTAACTCCCTTGCCTCGGGAAGATGAAGACTATCAGCTCACTCAAATTCAGTGGTATACGAGAACAGTGAGCTGATAAGCTCACTGTTCTCGTATACCACTGAATTTGAGTCCAAGGAGTTAAATAGATACTTGTTGCAGTTAATTCTATATAGTTCTGATGTCTTCAATAGATTAGTTCTATTGGATCTGATGGTAACCGGATTCTCCACAAAACCTTCCCACATACGTATGATACGTCTAAGTGTGCATTTCAAGGTGCCACCTTTAGAAAGGTACAACTGAATAAACTATGGAGACAATCCTATTTCAAGTGTGTGAAAATTCACTGAGTACTTTTAAATGAAACTAATTTTGAAAAATATTTTGAACAAATGTTTTATGCAAACATATAGAAATAAACAAGAACTGTTTATCAAATGAAAATATTAACAAATTCAACATAATTTAAATGTCTGATAAAAAAGCATAATCAAATTGTTATTAAATGAAATAAAATCTGAAAGTACATACATGTATTCTAATTAAATGAAATTATTTAAACTTATTATGTCTCTAGAACTTATTATGTCTGTAACACTTCATTCATATAAAGCTGGTTTAGAGCCATGAAAACTGTTCTTAATATTTCTATAAACTAATAACAAAACAAAAACAATATTTGAATTTGAATGCTTTGAATACTTAAAATCAAAAATGAAATATATAATCCCAGGTGACAAAAGTCCTTGCACACCATTTTGTAAACATTCACTTAAACAGAGAAAAGTCTGATTGATAAGCTGTCATCATCTCCTATTTCATTTGATATGTCATAATATGTTTCCACGAAACCTGAACGTGAGAGCATTCAGTGACAGCCATGTCTGACATGCTAGTGTTTATGCAGTTATTTGTGTGAGTCACTTCACTATTCCGGATATAGCAGGCTGAAATGAACATGGTCATCACTAAAACAGACATGACTTGGTATGACACAGAGAGAAATATACATACACAAGTGATTGTCAAATGTGTATCACTATTGGTTAGAACAGCAAAACATATAGGCTTGCCTGCTCATGCAAAATGCAGTATTTCATAGCAGTACTTATGTCAACATTCATTTTACTATATTTGTTAGCATTTTAACAATTCTGTGGAATTCTAGCCAAAAAGTATTTCTTTATTATATTAGAAATAAGAAATTGTCATAATGCATATAATCAATTGCCAGAAATAAATTAGACATGAAAACAATGATTTCAATATTCCTGTTTTTTAAAGTCCCTTTGAAAGAGATTTACTTTAATTCTTTTCTAATTTTTTTTTCAAGTGGCTTCTAAATATGAAGACAGAATTCCACAGAGATGGTTCCACATTAACAACTGGCACTACCTGCATCTAAGATACATGTAACACACATTCTCATCCCAGCATCTCTCACCAAGTTTACCGACACAGGCATATTCGACTTTGAGATATTTGAGAGTTTCGTTGCACAGGTCGTCAAAAAGTGCATCCGACGCCAATATGACACATGACTGCTTCCTGTTACATCTATGCAGCACAATTAATAATAAGTCATAGGTTTGTTTAAATACCAAACAAAATCTTTTCTAACACAAAACAAATTAACAATATAACAGGGCATACCACTGGATATCATATTTCCAAAATGGACACTCCATTGATATTATATGATTACTGTATTTACTTCAGTACAGTGCCCACTTTTTTCCACTACAGATGTGTAGGGGTGAGTGAGTTTGGTTTTACGCTGCTTTTAGCAATATTCCAGCAATATCATGGCGGGGGACACCAGAAATGGGCTTTACACATTGTACCCATGTCGGGAATCGAACCAGGTCTTGGGCGTGACAAGCGAACGCTTTAACCACTAGGCTACCCAACCACCCCTACAGATGTGTAGACCGATGCACATAATACACGCCTACATAGTGTCTTGATTATCACATTAGGCCTACCGTGAGCACATAACACTGGAAATACCATGTCAACAAATCAGTACTAATCATGTTATTATTAGAAAACCATGATCAAAATATTACATTATCTTTTTTCCATAAATGTTTTTCTCATTTCCAATAAATATATAAAGTGCCTGTGGCTGGCAAATTTGGAAAACAAATGTGATACTCTTCAAAATTGGATTTGTATAAATGTTCTTATTCTCATAAATATCCTGAGAATTGGGAAATTTTAAATTCAAATTGAGAATTGTTACTGTCATTTGCAACAGACTTGGGGCTGAATATCAGACTCTGAGCAGGTTAAGATAAACCTGAGCCAAAACACACTTACAAACAGAAAATCAAATACACAAATATGCACTAATTAGCCTGAGTTTTAACAAACCTAATTTGGCACAGCTCAGAACATATGCCTGACCAACAATGCCTTAGCTTTTTCAAATTGGAGTATTTATATTCCAAATAGTTGTGTTATGATTGCTGCTCAGTCCTCAACAGGATGTGTTGTAGCATCCGCCTCCATTACAACAGAATTGGCAATCACATGTGCCACGATCAAAGTCTCTGATATCAAACAGATCAGATGAAAGAACGCTACTAAAGTCTGAAATCTTTCAGCAATAATGTTTTTATGAAGGTGATAAATATTATTATTTCATAAGGCAAATATTCTCCTTTAATTCCAGTGTCTTAAATCTTTAAATTTGATTTGATTCTTATCATTAAATTGATGTGAAATCTGCCATTCCATAGAGATTTGTTTTCCATTTTTACCTACATTACAAATATTAACATGAATTTAGTGAGAGAATGAATGTCCTGTTAAAGCACATTCTGTCAGCAATTTCAAGATACAGTAAACTATATGAAAACAACACGCTTATAACAAACTGACGGATAAAATAAAACTTTATTTGAGTCCCAGCCATTTGCTGTAGATATGCTTATAACGAACTACGGTTATAACAAACTAAAATTAGTGGTCCCATTGAGTTTGTTATAACCATAGTTTACTGTACGTCATGATGGTCTGAAAACAATCAGTAATGTCCATCCTCCACATTGTTTGGCCAAACAGTATAAGCTTGTCATACATTGTAACCACTCAATTCTCATAAGTTGGCCCTTATGACAAGCCTGGGAACCTATTCTACTCCTGAATGCCCGCAGGGGTTAAAGATAGGTATCAAATTGGAACTATTTCTTTACTCAAGTGTGACATTAATGCGTGTAGACACTATTCACCTGCTAAAGATATGTGTGTCACAGCACTGGGTTCATCATAGGGGGCAGACAGATGTTGTCACCTAAAGTCTGTGTATTGGAATCTCTCGGCATTCAAGACTTGCATCATGGAAGACAATTTGGTGAGTGAGTGAGGGAATGATACATAACGAGGGGTAGGACGAGTCCAAATTTACTACCCGGGTAAATTTACTACCCAGGTACCCACCCCACTATTACCCACCCCACTATTACCCACCCCACTATTACCCAACCCACCCAGGTTCCCGCTGTAGGTATCAAGAAATAGGTCCAAAGGTCCAAATGTCCGATTTGGAATAGTTTGACCGTAGCCCTGGCAAAATGTATTTTGATACTCGTATAAAACGATCTGGTTATGCATACGCTGAAGTTTTATCTTTATTCAAACTTTGAAACGTCAGAAGGAATGCATGTATAGTCAGAAAGAAATGCAAACATTAGTCACTTACAGTGTAACCGTGGAAGTTTTAGATAATGTTTGACATTTTGCCAAACAATATATCACGTGACGAGCCTAGTGGTTAAAGTGTTCGTTCATCATGCCGAAGGCCCCGATTCGTTTCCCAACATGATGGTTCAATGTGACAATCCAGGGATTGACATCATGCGCATCGATCTACACATTTTGGATACGATGCAATGAATCAACCAGGTCAGCGAGTTCTGACCATCCGATACCATTTGTCACTTCTTATGAGGAACGATTTGGCATCAGCTATATAATATCTATCACCAAACTTTAATATGTTAAGTGACTGGACATTTTGGACGTTTAATCAACTTTGAAAAGAAGCTAGAATATTTTTCTCAGGCAACTAAAACTCAAAAACAACTCTGCCTACAGCTGATTCTTGCAAAAGTAACAAGTATGATGAACTTATTATTTCCTATAAATATAAACGATCAATTATTGGTCTCACCTCTCTGACACAACCCTGAAGGACAGAACGGAGATGCACTGAAGGTTCCAGCCCTCTGTAACGCCGTATCTGTTGCACACGGAGATGCTGTAGCGGCCGTAGTTGGCCAGCATGATGCGGATGACCTCATCCTCATTGCACTCCACGTGTAATTTGCTGTTCTCACATGCGTACGTCGTCTTCCACTCCTTCCTCGGTGGGAGACGACCACCAAAGAAAGACCCTGCAAGAAGACATCATTTGTTGAAAGTTGTCAGGTGGAGGTAATCCTACACATGGTTCATGAAAAGGATACTATTGAGTTGGGAAGGGCAGAACACAGCTCAGACATTATGGAGGCAGTATCTAACAGAGTGAGTGGTTGAGTGAGTGGTTGAGTGAGTGGTTGAGTGAGTGGTTGAGTGAGTGGTTTAGCAAGTGGTTCAGTGACTGGCTGAGTGGTTGTGTGAGTGAGTGAGTGAGTGAGTGAGTGAGTGGTGTAGCAAGTGGTTCAGTGACTGGCTGAGTGACTGGCTGAGTGGTTGGGTGAGTGAGTGGTTGAGTGAGTGGTTGAGTGAGTGGTTGAGTGAGTGGTTGAGTGAGTGGTTGAGTGTGTAAGTAAGTGAGTGAGTGAGTGAGTGAGTGGGTGGGTGGGTGGGTGAGTGAGTGAGTGAGTGAGTGAGTGAGTGGTTGTGTGAGTGAGTGAGTGAGTGAGTGAGTGACTGGCTGAGTGGTTGTGTGAGTGAGTGAGTGAGTGAGGGAGGGAGGGAGGGAGGGAAGGAGGGAGGGATAAAACTGTAACCTTAAACAGTATTCCACCTATATGATGCTGGCACATACAAAATCAAGTCAATCCACAGATTGAGCAATGGAATACAATGAATACAGTCAACCAATGCACCCAATGAATCCACTATTTCAACGTGTATGACAAGCACAGGTTACTGAGGACCTATTCTAACCCACAATCCCAGCGTGGAGTTTACATCAAGTACAAGCACCTACAGAAATCATGTCCCACCTTCACAGTACACAGCAAGCCAAAAGGAGATTAAAATAGAAAGAAAGAAACTATTAATTACTTTGCATCCTACATAGATAAATCTAAAAACTTTTAAAAAAATTGGAAAACTTCCATCTAATAACACAATAGATATTTAAATCCTGAACATGGGTGTTTTATTTTCTTTACATGGTTTAAATCGAAAATATATTTTAATTTTGTTAGCAATTGATTCCAACATCGAACTGACAATGTAATACTGTACTACGATCTGCAGACAGGAACTACAATTACACAATGGGAGATAACTTCAACTGCTGAAGTTTGAAGCAATGGGGGACATAATCCATGGCCATTCTGCAAAGAAGTAACGCTAAGCCGTCTGACAAGTTGACAGTGAAAAATAATTTAGAAAGCAAGATCAGCTTAAATCTGAAAAAACTAAATTATTTTTATAGATCTAGGAGTCACAGAGGACAATCACATGACTCTAATGTCATTCAGAACATGCTCAACCATGTTCTTGATCCTCGTAAACATTCGCATAGACCCATTAATGTTCCTGGCAAGATTTAATGGTTTGAGGAGCAGGTTAGATATCTGACCCGTAACAGGACAGGAGGAGACAGGAGGAGACTTTCGAGGTCACTTTCACCATTAAGGCCGCAATATGATAGCAAGGAATAGCTTCAAGTCTCCCAATTTGGATCATGTCCGGAAAAAAACCTTCATCTCTTCAGTGAGGAGCTAACACATTAACATCTTGGCTACCCAAAAATGTACTATAGTTCACTGAGGTGTTACTATACTAACAAATTATTTACTTTTATACTTTCCTTGTCAACAGTATCATTCTCATCAGAACAACTAAAAAAAATAGGTGAGGTGAGGTGAAATTGGGTTTTAACGTCGCGTCCAAGATTATTGCACTTATATAGCGACGTGCATGTACGTGTGTGTGTTTGTGTGGCTTATTGTACTAGTCCAGACTGATGCCGATTTATAGTGCTAGCTCACTGAGATACCATGCCGCAGTTTAACATGAATACCCCACTCAGACACAGTATACTGACTCCGAGCCGACCAGTCCTTGTTTTAGCCCCTTAATGCCGAGCGCCAGACAGGGTAACAACAAGTACAATCTTTTAACGTCTTTTTGTATGACGCGGCCCGGGATCGAACCCTGGACCTTCCGCTCTCCGGGCGGACGCTCTACCACAAGACCACGGAGGCGGTCCCTAAAAAAAATAAGGATCACCTGATTCTTTCATATTACTACAGTTAAAGAATTGGGTGATCCTTAATTCTTTTATTAGTAGGAAACATATATACAGTGGTATCACAAGATGAGAATATGTACACTCTAACAATGAAGTTAGCAGCCATGGAAATGAACCATTTTGTTTTCAGCAATCACAGAGCCTTACCTAACAAAAGAAAATAGAAATATACACAGTCATTATCTTTATAAACATGAGAGTTTATATTCTGTATCTGCCTCACAAACAACATACTTAAATATTACACACATTCCCCACCTTCACTTGATAACAACAGTTGCTTAATGACTAAACTAAACACAATCTAATGCACAAATCAAGTCTCTAAAATTTCAGAATTTCATATTTCCAAACAAAATCTAGAATTCGAGAGCTACCGTTGCTACAACTGAAGGTCCTGATAACAGATCAAGAGTGAAAAACTCCCTCTGATAATACCACGTTTTCCTAATTATGCTTCTTTAAGAAAAAATCCCCTGGCCATTTTATGCGACGAATCCTGTAATTTCATCCTAATTTAACATTTTCTTGATTCATCAAAATCCAAATTATTAGTGATATTCCCTCCTGGACATTGCATCAGATGGCAATTCTAAGATTCCGTGCCAGAAAAAAAGTTCTTCCCTCTCTTCTAGCATCAAATTATAAAATCAATAAATATGCTGAGATAATGAGATCACTTGGAGTCTTCAAGTGTGATAACTTGTTCCACTTAAGACCTACTTCTATCAATCTTAAACCAAAGAGCACAGCATGGGGCCTACAGCTAGGTGTAAGTGTTTATAAATAAGACATTTATCAAGCAGTGTTTTGAACACTACCAGTAACCTTTTCCATTTTTTTGTGTACACTATGATCCGGTACACGCTATACACAAAATTGTACTAACGACACTGATTTTAAGTGAACATTTTTTTTTTATCACATGCAACATTGCCATGTCAGTTGTGATGGTTGAAGGGAATTTACAATATCATTCTGAGAGTATTAACATGTTGATAATTATGTTCCTTCTGTGAAGTGTTAAATAATACATTTTTTTGTCAAAACCAGAAACTTGTTGAAATGTTATGTAAATGAATAAGAAAGTTACTCGTAAATCACAAAATACAAAAATACATAAACTATTTGAAAGTTTAGTCCGCAGAAGACATGGATTTGTATCATATTCAACAAAGATCCCAAAAAGTGCAATTATTAGCCCTAATCAAAATACCTCTCCATAATGAACCAAGTGATCTTTAACTCCAAAACATCAATAAGAAGATCATTATAAGTTGTAAAATATAGAAATAATCCAATGTATAACACAAAGTGTCTCATTTGTCAAGGTCAGTCCAAACTAATGACATCAGCGGAACAGGAATTTCAGCTCGCAATCAATAAGAATATTCAAACATCAATGAAAAATAAGATCAATAGGATATCAAACTTTAAAATGAAAGACTTAAACAAATAAAAACCGAGACAATCTTGTTACCAAGGCAAATTCTTTGAACGAAGGATTACAACTACCAAGATTGTTCCAAGACAAAAGTACCACTTTATACAAACAGCACTAATTTGAATTTTTACAAAAATATCTGAAAAACTACATTTATGATGAAATAATTTCACAATATACTTGTCACAAAAAATCATTTACAAACAAAAGTCTTATAATAATCCAAGATGTTATCACCATGATGTGAAATATACGACTCTCACGTTCTGCCACACAGCTACTCATGTATATATCACTCTGTTTTCCCACGTTTCTCGCACACTTAGCTTGGATATACACAGAAACCTATTGTCTCTAAAAACAGCTCCCTCCTGCCTGTTTACAAGGGGAAATTAAGTTGTTAGGATTCCGAGTAGATATCTTACAAATGTCTGATTCAAACCATCTGAGTACAACAATAAATGCTTATTTCATAAACTGATTCCTGCGACCTTGAAAAAATGGCTGAACGTGTCTGGGGTCCAAGATATGTATGTGTCAAGTTTTCTGTTCAATGGATTGATTATTTCAGAGCGAGAACATAAGCAGCAAGGATACATCTGAGGTGGTTTGAGCGGAGCCAGGGTCTAGGGTTGGACACACAGTAAAACATGGAAATTCACAGGAAGCATGTCTGTTTCTCTCAAGATTCATTTCTTGGGTAATTTGGCCCTTCTTTATAATTTTCTTTTTTTGATGGGATGGGTGGGGCAATGTCATGACTTCACCCATGACACAATGGGATATTAACTATTTTACATTCGTTTTCTATTTTTATCTGATGTATAATTGCCTATATAAATAAACTGTGACAGGCTCTCACCCCTAACTATTTGTAACCTCACATTAATAGTTAATAAAACTAATAAAACTAACCTAATAAAAGTAAATGAAGATAATTAACATTACTATTGTGATGTCGAGACCAAACTAGTGGTCGATAGCATGAGTGTCAGTCTGACCTGTCAGGGTAAACTGACACATATGATTAATTGTTTGTTGTTGAACGCCAGACTCGGCAATGTTCCAGCCATGTGATGGCAGTTTGTAAATAATTGAGTCTGGACAAGACAATCTACTGATTGTCATGTTGAGCATCAATCTACGCAACTGGGATATGATGACATGCATCAACCAAGTCGGCCAGTCTGACCACCCATTCCTGTTCGTCTTCTCTTACGACAAGCATGGGTTGTTGAAGACCAATTCTAACCTGGATCTTCAGGGTCTACAATCAACAAGGTCACAGTTGGGATCTCTGACGAACACAAGTCCAAGTACAATACATTCTTGGTAACCACAACGACCACCAAATTCCCAGTTTTATCATCACTTTAAACCACCATTTTAATTGCGAGAAATATTTTTCTTTGGACCAATACTGCCCCCATTCCTAAATGTAATCATTCGGAAGAGTTATCATAATGCTTTCATCTCAGTGGCGCCTCCTGTTCCGCATGAACAAAGACTTCATAAGCACTCCACAATAGTGAGATTACCTATTGTTACACACAATGGAAGAATGTTAACGATGCTCTAGAAAAGGCTTCAATGCATCCCCACGTTTCAATAAGACACCTACCTGGTACAGCAGCTGCCAGCTGACAGATGACCACTGCAGTGATGACCAGTGCCCCCAAGTGTCTCCCCATCCCCCTGACTTCACCACACACCATGTCCAGTATCAACAGTGTCCACTATAGCAGAGTGTCCATGCTATTGCCTGGCCAGGTCAGGCCTGCAATCACCACCTGAAATGTACAAGAGCACACTAATTACACCTGCAATCAACACCTGAAATGTACACACTAGTTACACCTGCATCACATAGTGTAATGTACACACTAGTTACACCTGCATCACATACTGTAATGTACACACTAGTTACACCTGCAATCAACACCTGAAATGTACACACTAGTTACACCTGCAATCAACACCTGAAATGTACACACTAGTTACACCTGCATCACATACTGTAATGTACACACTAGTTACACCTGCAATCAACACCTGAAATGTACACACTAGTTACACCTGCAATCAACACCTGAAATGTACACTCTAGTTACACCTGCAATCAACACCTGAAATGTACACACTAGTTACACCTGCAATCAACACCTGAAATGTACACACTAGTTACACCTGCAATCAACACCTGAAATGTACACTCTAGTTACACCTGCAATCAACACCTGAAATGTACAAGAGCACACAAGTTACACCTGCAATCAACACCTGAAATGTACACTCTAGTTACACCTGCAATCAACACCTGAAATGTACAAGAGCACACAAGTTACACCTGCAATCAACACCTGAAATGTACACACTAGTTACACCTGCAATCAACACCTGAAATGTACACTCTAGTTACACCTGCAATCAACACCTGAAATGCACACGCTAGTTACATACACAACAGATTTATAAATGTCAGCCTCACATTGAAGAAACAGACATGTTATTCAAATTGCAAGTGGACATGTTCATGTAAAACTATATGTTAACATCAACAGTCAAAAAGAATTGCTCTTTTCTCATAAACCAAGCCTTTTATTGTAGAACCTTTGTTGAAACGAGTACCGAGTATTTAATGATGTCAGTCTTTTTGGAAATGTATATTATCCAACAACCATGTTACTCGAGAATGATGGTTTGTGTTGTCAGGCAGTCCGTTGTTTCAACAAACTAAATCATTTTTATCAGTTTTATAAAAACAATACTGCAACTCAATTTTCAACATTCATACCCTTCTGCCATGAATCATTACGTTATTAGACAGTGTGTCATCTCAATGAAACATGACATTCGGTATCCACGCAAAATGATACATGACGACATCAGCTGCTGGTATCCCGGACACAGGATTCAGTATCAGCAATATCTTGCCGATCCTTCGAAGTTGTTTGATCAAATTTGACATTTTAAAAAGAACAGAATAATTTTTTGCTTTCATGATATATTACACATTTAAGTGTATCTAGACCTTTTTATCTTATCCAGAAAACTAGCATCTTAAGGCCAACCCTGTATTTCGCAATGAGTGGTTCACATGTTACTGATTATTATACCACCTGTGTGATGACAGATTGACATAACGGTGTACACAGCTGGTAATTAACACTCAGTGGGTGACAGGAGCATGGAAAAATACAACACACACATGTGAACTTTATAAATTTGTCTTATATTTCACATACCTACACGGATATTTAGTTGGAACAATAAATATAAAACGTCAATGCAGGAGAATAAGCAGTCTTGATTATCCATCGAAAGCCTATTGGCATAAAGGGCAAAATTGCCCTGACAATTATATGAATGGACTAACATGTTTACTTGTTTTTATAACAATATATTTTCAAGTTTATATTGACTCAATAATTTTATTTAAAATTCACCTTGAAAACATATACATCAAATATGATGTGCGGTAAATTACAAAAATCATGTTTTTATCACCATTATTTGTTTTAATGCATCGGTGTCAGAAATGCACTTTTCACCCCACACACCTACTCCACCTTGCCACTGACATCTATGTCCGACCTCTGACCTTTCTCCCTTCCCATCCCAAACTTCCCAACTTCCCACCATCAAAATCCTTACACAAAACCAACATGCTACCTCCCTTTGTCCCTCACATCAAACTACATATCCAAAACATAAAACAAGCAAAAACATGCAAGGAAAGAAATCTACGAGCAGCAATTGACATTACTTGTAAAGAAATGGATGTGATATATCTACCATCTCCACACATAAAAACATACCTTACATACGTGCTACATCATTGTCTGTATCAGGAATGCAAAACCTTTTACAAAATGTCACTATCAGCAGTTTAAGCTTGGAGCACACTTTGATGATTAGGTTCTCAACATTGACCGCTCCTATCCCCCAGATTGTCCGAACCTCATGCTTCAGCTGGACGAATCTGGTCAGTGTAAACAATAGTCAACATGTCCAAGGTGAATTTCAGCTGATCTGGACCTTACTGCAAGCTTTGGGATCAATATCGTCTCTGATAATGGTGCCATGTGGCCAAGTCGGCTGAACATGTTTCTCAGATAGCCAACTCCCAGCCACTTGTACCACACGGATGCTGCTGCTATTGGGGGACTTGGAAAAGGTGATTTCCCCAAATACACAGTACACAGAATATTTATTATACTTTTAAAATCATACATCTATGATTTAGCATTACCATCAAAAGAATTGATTTCTATAAAAAAAATTATAATTCTGTACCTCTCTGATATAGTATAAGACGTTCATGTTGCAAGCTTGCCATTATTCTATTACAGTACAAGGAAGAGTGCACCCTTGTATATGCTGAACTCTGCAGTTCCCTGGCTGCACAGTGTTGTAAGTTAACAGGGAATACAGAAATAAAAACATGTCAGTATTTTAAAAACAAGGCAAAAAGTGAGCAGGGCTCACTAATACCGCCGACCGACTCCAACATATTTTCAAGTTCAAAACATGAAAAAAAGCAATACTTTCTTAGAAAATCCACTTATCAAAATCAAACTTTGCACTGCGCCTTTCCTATTGGTATAGAAACTCTACCCCCAATTGGAGAAGAATCCATGAAGTTTATTGTCAAGTAAAAGGTCGCACAAATCTTGAAGTAATAAACAATTCTAAGTTCAAAACATGAAAAACAAATACATACATCAAAAACAAACTGCACTGCGCCTCTTCTGTCAGTATGGAAACTGTTCCCTAAATTTGAAAAGAATCCAAGCAGTAGTTTTTGAGTTTCTCAAGTCAAAAAATGAAAAATAGCTTTATCTTTTCAGAAAATAATAAAAACAATAAATTTACTTTTTATAATTTCAGCAACTAAGCTTAGGCTTCTGTACCTATATAACAAAATTTACAATTCAAACTGAAATTGATTAGCAATACAGCTAAAAACTTCATTCTTCAAATATTTCAATAAATTCTGAATGTTTAAAGTAAATACATATTTGAAACTCTCCCCCATTAATAAGTACATGTCCTTGGTTTTATTGTTCTTAATTTAATTAATTTAGAATCACTGCAAAATTAATATTTTCAGACATTTTGCATAGAACATAGTAAGAAAAACTGTTTAAATGTACAAACTGAGCAGTAAAGGATAAGACACTGCCATTATGCTGCTTATCTCATGGTGTACATTTCAAAGGACTGTGCCAAGCCAGGAATATGAGATGAAGACAATAGTTATAGTGATGACAGCGATATTAACTTCCATCACTATCACAAACATATTAAACTATATAGGATATTGAAAGGTTCGATGCTTATTAAATTCAGCAATATTACAACTCTATTAGTTTAATTTTGATTTACAGCAGGAGTGAACTTCAATATTTTGACACGAAATTTGGCATGCCAGAATGCCACTCGTGTAAGATAATCACACACACTCCCCCTCATATTCTCATTAACACATTTCCCCCCTACTTAGATGGTGAAATTAACCCCTGACATTTGACGGGCATCATCACATGGGTCTACAACCTGTGCTGTAGTAGTGCTTACAACAGGCATCACGGTACCACTGTGAATGGTTGAAAATTTCATTCACATAATGGCATAAAAAATATGAAAATATACAGAAACAACACAAGGATTTATTGTTTTTTCTCAACTATCAATTTATGATATTAAATGTTAGTCTTTAAAGTGTTTTAGATCGTCTAAATTATATTTCTTTCGCATGTAACAGTAGTGAACTGTCCTTTCATTCATGTGTCATGAATACTTTAACCAACATACACAAAAAAAGTAACTACCAAAAGGGCACCACATTAAAAGAACTATAAAAATATTTATCATGTATTTTAAACGAACGTACCAATGATATGTTTCTACAAAATGTTTTCCTTCAACAGTTTAACTGATATGTAAACCACAACTGCTAATAAATATTACCACAAAGGCGTCACAAAAATATTACCTTCAGAACATGTAAATCCATTCCCTCACGCTGACAAAGAACTTCCCAGAGTACAAGGCCTTACAACCCTCCCTCCCTCTGCAAAAAACCTCTTGTTTTGATTAGCACATTTCCTCTCACCAGATATCATTCCGATTGGCCACCATTTGCCGCATGTCGACCCACCTGTCTCCCATAAAGTCAGGAGGCGGTGTAGGTCAGTCCTCAAAACAATAGCGCCAGGCAGAGACGATAGACAGACAAAAATTGGACCTCCACATCAGTGAAGCTAATTACAAGTTGGCGTACACCAGGGCTGCATATTCCCTCCAGTCATATTTACATGTGTCTCATACAAATTGCTCATAACTGGCATAACTCAGTTGGGAGACTGGGTGCTTTTACTCTTCAGTCAGGACATGTATACTCATGTTGTTTTTTTATGTCACAGCAATCTTTTGTGATACATGTTGTTTTAGAAATTTAAACACCAATTGAAATATTTAAGCTGAGCAATAATGATATCCTTTTTCATTTGTTATTTGATTATCTCTATCTTGCATAAGTCCTTACATAAATGTTTTAGTTTGCATTGCATTCTATGTAAATTATTTTTATTTGTTGTAAATTTCTTTCAATTTTATAAACAAGAGCATCATTTTCTAGAAGGTCATGTTCTGATGAGGAGGTAGACTAACATCTAGTCTCTGAAATGAACATATTTCACAGGAAAAAACAGTTGTTAAATTATAATTATAGGATATAATTAAAAATGAGCCCAGAAACTTTCTTCATTTTCAGACACTGCAGTAA